TGAAATAGTTTTGAAAAGTCGAGAATTATTCCATTTTCCTTTGGTAATTATTTTTTCAATACTTTTAAATTTAAAAAAAATTTTCAAATGAATTATGCAAATTGAATTCATAGCTTTGTAAAGAACCTTTAGCAAAATACAAGGAATTAATACAAATCCTCATTAACTTATAATTAATCAGATCTGCAGTTAATAATAATACAAATTGCAATTAAGAAGCAAAGGTACTTTGGCATTTATGTTTATTACAAAAATTAATTATGATGTATTTTACAATTATTTTAAATGAGATATATATTGCAAATAAAAATTGTACAGAAAGTTTAAATTAGCAAAAAAAATCTAAATTTTGGTCATTTCAACGACAATAACTTGCATAAATGTTTGGCAAATTAAGAAATTGTAAAGATGCACTAAGTTTCGGGCTTAGGCTTAGTTTTTCTTGGCTCTTAGGCTCAAATAGTGAAAGCTAGGAAAGATATTTGCCTTAGCAGTGGCCAAAAGCATTCATTCACCCATCAAAGAATGTATAAACGGATGAGTGGATTTCACTTCCTGTTGGATTTGCTAAAGAATATAGTGTGGAACCAGGCCCAAGTCTAAGTCTAAGCCAAAACCGAAAATTTGCTAACTAAGCTAACTCCAAGGGGACATCTCTCTTCTACTCTATTCAACAATTTGTTCAATAATTATTCTAAAAAATCAATTTATTAATCTGATCAAATGGCTCGAAGAAATCATCGAAGATCTAAAGTGACTCGAGTAATTAACCTTCTTAAACGTATTATTGCCTTTTTTTTCTCGCATGTTGGATTATGTGCTTTAGTAAGTTTCTTAAAGTAATGTATACTTTTGCTAAAACATAAAAACAAAATTTCTATATTTATTATCTTTTTGTTTACAAGCCGAATTTAATTAGCAATGCTTATTTTACCTTTTTAATTAAAAATATCAAATATTAATCAATATTTTTAATTAATATTTGATATTTTTAATTACTTATATTAGACAAAAACACTTTGAATTAATTTGAACAAGAAATGATTATTTGATTTGAAAAAATGATAAAATTATAAACTAAACTGAAAATTGTGTGCATAGTAATGTAAATAATACGCACTAATTTGAAATTTGATCAGAGAAGTAAAAAATTAGCCAAAAATAACATAAATTTTAATTTATAAATAGTAATTTAGAGAAAAAATAAAATAAACAACAAAAAAAATTATTAAATTTGGCGAAACAAAGCAAACTGCAAAAATTAGCACTGAAAAATGGCTGCAAAGTACTGTTGTGAGAATTTTTTCTTAATTTAAAATTAGTAAATAATAAAATAAATTTCATTCATTTCAGACAAACTTTGCATAGATGTTGATTAACTCTAGCACAAAATTTGAACCTTTTGAACATTTTGAATTTAGCACTTTGCTTTATTTGTTTTGGCATTTTTGAGCAGTGCCTATGTTAGTTTGCTGCTTAGTATTACTTGTTTAATAACTGCCTTTTATTTTTTCATTTTTCAGCAGATTTTTTGCTTCAACTAAGCAAAAGCTCTTCACTGAATTGCTATTAATTTTTGGAAGCTTAAGTGTATTTTTCTGAATATTCCGTTAATATTATTAAATCAAGAAAGCTTAAATATGGATTTAGAATAATATAAAACCTAGAAAACTAATTTAAAATATTTCTTACATGAAAATTACCACAAATTTAATCTGATTGACTTTAAGAATTTTACCAGAGCTAACTTTTTTCGCAATTTTTCCCTATATTTTTACTTGTTTTCCAAGTTTTATTATTATAAAATATTATTGTAAACTATAAACATCACTTAATTGTATAAAAGGTTTCGTTGCGGTAGTTAATTTTAGGTGGTTGGATATGCTTTGCTAGGTGCAGTGGTATTTCGAGCAGTTGAGGGGCCACATGAAACTTTTATTCAAAGCCAAGTCACAGCAGCAAGACAAAGAGCTGTAAATATCGCTTGGAATGCTACTTTTAGGTTTTGTTAATAATTGTTTTAATTGTTAACAATGATCGTTGTTTTAACTACTTTTGAAGCAATTTGTTGCTATGATTCATTATTTCAAAAATTGAAAAATTATCTTAAAATTTGTAAAAGTATTGATTGAAGGGTCAACAAATTAGATCGTGCACATTGGGAACGTATAGTTCATGCACAAGTTCGGCGATTTCAGCGAAAATGCGTTTGGGCTATTAAACGTGGATACGATGGTAAGGTTAGTAAGGTTGAAAATTTGCATATCAGTAGTTAACTATTTTAGTTATTTGCGATATGTCTGCTAATTGATAAATTTTTACAAAAATTATAATTTAGTCCATAAATTATCACTTTTTTACTTTTACTCATTGAAACTTCAATGATTGCAATAATAATGAAGAAGAACTGGAATTTATAACTGAATCGTTTAATTGAAGCAATCAGGTCAGCTTATGCAATCTTCACGACTGATCAAATAATTTATCTTTCAAAAAAATATCAAAATATTCTAAAAGTTTAGATCAATCACTTGAAATTGCTAGTTTTTTTTGTTATTTGCTTGTTTAGTTTCTAAAAAACCTCAAAAATTCGAGAATTCGAATTAATTCTTGCGCAGTCCATTTTGGAAATAAACACAAAAACTTCAGGAATATGGTCTCTCAGCTCAGTGGACTTTTACAGGAGCTTTTCTCTATTCCCTAACTGTAATCACAACTATCGGTTATGGAAATACATCAGCTAAAACATATTTTGGAAAAACTCTTACGATTTTATTTGCTATTATCGGTAGTATTTATTGATTTGTTTAACAAATTATACTCTTAGAACGGATTTCTTTGAAAAGCAATTAATTAAATTCATAGAACAGTTCAAAAAGTTTACATCTTTTTAATTAGCAGTAATTGAATTGGCATTATCAGATTAATAATGCTAATCATAAGTTAGTTATAATTGTATTTAATTTAGGCATACCTTTAATGTTACTGTTTTTAACAAATATTGGCGATGTTATGGCAAAAGTTTTTCGATTTTTCTATGCTCGATCTATTCGTCTCAAATATCGGCTCATTCTATGGCATAAACGGCGAAAAACTGCCAAACTTCGTAATGCCAACTTTTTAGTTTCCAGAATTTCTCGAGTAAGTTTATTTGCTTGTATTTAATAAATACTATACAAATTTTTGTAACAACTTAATAATTTGTAGGGTGTCAAGACAGAATTATCAAATGATTCATTTGGACTTGGCTCGGATGTGCAAGATTTACTAACTGCTCGAGCACAAATTGAACAACTTGAAGTAAGCATATGTTATTATTTATTATTTTAAATAATTAACAAAAAGCACATAAATCTATTCACTATCTCTAAGCCTTCTAATTTACCAAATAGATTTTAAAAATTTATTAAAGCAAGTTTAGCTACAATTAGTTGTAATTAGCAAATATTCGCAAATTGTATTTTAAGTTTAAAAATTCTATTTATTATTTCAAAATTTGATAAATTTTTTATTTTCTATTCTGGTAAATCAGAGAATAATGATACAAAGATAAAGATAAGTTAGCTAATCAAACGATACTGCCAAAATAAATCATAATTTCGCACTATTTCTGTTAAATTTAAATGTAAAGTGGCAACTTTAAAAGTTATTGCTATAAAAATTTAATTGAAGTAATCGTATGCTATTAAGAGATTTATTTCAATAATGTTTTAAAAATCAAATGTTATAAATTAAAAATTAGAGTACTGACTTGGAATCTGCAATAGCTTATATCATTATTGCTGTAAAGTTCTATTCTAAAAGTAGAAACTCATTTAATGGATATATTAGGTAAAGGAAAGCGTTGAGGCGCAACTGCAACGTATATCCGTACCTCTGAGTCTGGTATTCTTCACAATGTTTGCATATTTGGTCGCTGGTTCCGTATTATTTTGTTTATGGGAAGGATGGACATTTTTGGACAGTTTTTACTTTTGTTACATCTCATTAACAACTATCGGTGAATTTTATTGCAATCATAATAATTCTTTTATCCCTAGTGTGACATTTAAAATCACTATATTTCAATCAAAATGTACCAAACAATATACGATCTAAATTTCAATACTTCTTTTGTAATCAAGAATATAACTAATTCCATAAAACAAACTTTTACTTATATTTATAAATACAACTGACAGGTCTGTTTTGCAGCACTCTCAAATTCGCTATAACTGTTTTATATTCACAATAATTAAACAAGAGAAACTACGAGTCTTAAAGTTATTATTGTTAATGATCTTTAAAGGTTTTGGTGACAAATTCCCAGGTGCATCGGTAGGAAATGATAAAGATGCACAGAAGAAATTAGTAATAACGTCAGTTTATCTCTTATTTGGCATGGCACTACTAGCAATGTGCTTCAATTTGGCACAAGAAGAAGTAAAAAATTATTTATGTAGTGTAAAAATTTAAAACAACACTTCAGATCGTAGTTGACTCAAATATACTCTCTGAAATGTCATTCCAGGTTGTCAATAAGGTTAGTTGGTTAGCAAACAAATTCAGATCAAAAGAAGACGAAGATTACGACTAGACGTGCCATCAAAGTATGCAAATTACACTTCTGCCCGCCTTATGCACCAAAAAATGTGATAAAACTTACTAATTTCATGTCAGAAATAAACAGTCAGTTAGCAAATGCCCACGAAAAAATTTACATTAAGCTAAAAAAATCAAACAAGCTCTGAAAAGCCTTACTATAGTATTAAAAATGCACCTGTGTACATTTACATAACACAGATATTATATTATATGGTTTTGAGAACTTGTTCTAATTAACATTATAAATAATAAAATTAATTTGTATGTGTGAGCTTTTGTGTTCATGTTTGACCTTCCCGTTCTTCGGGTACACGACTCTGAAAAAGAAGACTACAGAAAAGGATATGAGCAAAATAAAGCTTAATAATATTTTCCAGAGAATTTATCCAAAATATTCTCTTTAGGACACTGAAAAGTACATCTTCTCCAAAAACTGAACAAGCATTGATGATTCAAAGATAGTTAACAAAATCTGGTAAGGTGAAAGATGTAGTCACCGAAGAGCAACTAACTTTTGAATCCGATGAAAAGGCAACCAAATTTAAGAGCTAGAAAACCTTTTGCTTCTTTTCGCTGGGAGATCGCCTGAGAGTGTTTGCACCAGAAGTTGATTTCGGTTGTCGATCTTTAACTTTATCAACACTACTAGGCGTTTTTCCAATAGCATCTGCTTCACTATCGACATTCTGAATACAGCACACTTAATTAAATAATTTAAAAAGACTGACGCCAACATATTCTTTCATCGTTTTCAATTATTTGGTTATTTAAACCAGATCCATTTAAGTCTTAATTTATGTACAATTCAAATTTATGCGTATAAATGAAATTTCTGTTGCAGATGTTAGTCATACCTCTGAATCTTCCCAGTCAAATTTTGAAGTTAAATTAGTATGCCTGCGTGCTGCAGCTCGCTTTAACATCGTAGCTATATAGTCATAATCGGGTGTGTTTTGAAAACTCAGCTCATCAATGTACTTTAAAATCTTGTGAATTTCTTCCGGTAAACTAGCTATATGCTTTGTATCTAAAAGCTCACTTCAGAAAGACTGCATAGTGAGTGATAAGGAGTAATTCTTTATGTATTCGATAATCTCTTGAGATTTAAAATAGATTTATGAAATAGTAACGTCACATATGCCCGATTCCAACTAATACTGCCAATGCTAACTCGATGCTTTGAATAATTTTTAAATCATATTCAGATGAGAGCGATGAAACAGACAAGTTCCGGCAAATAATCGTTCTTTTTCTCGACAGACAACGTCTCGATCAACAGATCTTGACCATGGCAAACAAGCATATTCTGTGAATTCAATCACCATATATACCCACGATTCGAGATCATCTCTTCGACATTGTTCACGAGAACGGTGACAATTCCGTGATGCAAATCGTACAGTTCCCAAAAATCGTACCATTTCTCGAGGTAATCTTAAATTTTTGTTCAATTGCGTAACAAATGTCATTTTTCAGAAATATCTGACGTGAGACAAGAACTTGCTTTGATTTCGATTAACCGAAACAATAACTAAAAGAATACATAATTTGATAAAAATTAAAAGAATACATTATCAATCGAATATTCTGAAGCATACGTATATCACAGTGTCTAATCTCACCTGATAGCTTTACTGTCTTTTTCTATATATCGACGTGCAATACCAAAGTCAAGAAGGTAGACAATGCCTGCCTTATCTTTCAATCCGATCGTGAAATTTTGTGGTTTGATGTCACGATGAAGATAACCAAGTTCGTGCAAATGTGATATGCCTTCCAAAGTTTGAATTGCTAACTTAATAGTAGTCGAGAAGCTGCACTTACAATTATTGAAATCTTGAAGTTAAACTAGCGTGTATTTTGTTTCACAAATAGGGAAGTGAAAAAAAGCGTGTTACATCCGTGTGAATTCGATTAGAAGTAAAAAATGACTTTTACCAAAAAAAAGCGCGCGTTATTGAAAAAATAAACAGAAAGGATTATGATAAACTTTCATTTCAAAAAAATCTTTCAAAAAACTCAAAATATTCTAGTAGCGTTCAAGTCTTCATTTTCCATACAATAAGGTACTAAAAACATTATACCTGAAATGTCTTTTGGGTTGTTTTTTTTGAAGTTTATCAATGCTAGTTCCTACCAACTGCATCACAATAAATTTAAACGATTCTGTTCGCCCTAATAAAACAAATTAATAACATTTATAGCAAAATAAACTAATTAAAGTCACCTAAATCGCACCATTGATAACCCCTCAAGCCGTTTCATGTAACACAAAATATGAACGATAATATGTGTAATTATAAGTGATAAAAAATACCTATCACCTCATTTTTAATTTGATATCTGACCTTTTTTATGGTGTATTGGAAAAATTTACTAAAAATTACTTGTAATGAGTGTTCAATAATTATCGCTATTCAATATTAAATAAAAGATTGTTTTAGAGACCACTTAATGTGTCAATAATACATTATGTAAGCGATACAGAAATTAATTAGTTCGAGATTTACAGTAATCGTGGCTGATTCAGCATACCTCTATCAGTCATTTTAACAAAATGCGTTCGTTTTCCATCTGGTAGACTCTCACATTCTTGCAAAATTGTCATTTCAATCTATCAAGATTGAGAATAAGTAACGGTAGTATGCAAAAAATTCTATATTCTACGAGCTTATCTCACTCAACATACTACTTTAGTAATGCAAAAACTGATTATTAACGAGTAGTGGATTAGCTAACAAAGAAATTTCAGTAATTACAGAAGTACTCAAATATTTCACTTTATATTAATGCCAAAAGATATGCTTATAATTACATCCAATGACTGAGAATTGAACTTACCTTAAGTCGATTAAGAGCTTTTCCTGCAGTAGTTGTTTCAGTCTTCAAAGCAAATATATCGTCACCCTTCTTAGCCCCATCTAATTGCCGTACCTTATACACATCACCGAAACCTCCAGCTCCCAATACTTCAAGTATTTTATATCTGAAATCATCAATGGTGTAGAACCAAAAGAACTGCTACACATATCAAATTTTCCTAACAAACTTTAATAATTTTGTATTCAAAATTCAAAAAGCATAACAGATGCATGGCTTACTTTTTATTCCTATCAATTTAGCTGTACTTCGATGAATAACCAAATAGCACAGTGCAGTAAAAAATGTGAAGTTCAAATTACCTGCTTTTGTCAGTGTTGATAATAATGCCAATTGGTAATTTTGGTCTATTCATGGGTGACCTACGACTTTTTTTTTCTTTTTTGCGCCTTTCTTGCTCTTTTCTTTCTATTTCTTCCTAATTTAGGAAACAGAAGCAGCCGTTAAATTGTGTAAAATAGAATCTACGAGCAAAACTTCAAAAATTTCTTTACAATTCAAACAAACTACGAAAAATGAGCCTAATTATGATCTCAAGAAAATGTTGCAAAAACTTTAGGGCACATTTTTGCAAGCATTTAAAATACTTGTAACAATGCTAAAAGTAAGCTAGACAGCACTTTATTAGATAATAAATTGCTATCTAGCTTTTATTATAAGCCAGGTAAAATTTACAATCATCTTTCGAAGTTGTTCCCGTTCATTAGAATGTTCATCCAAATCTCCCACCAATCTTTCATCATCATCATCAAAATCTACATCTTCTATCTGATCACCCAAAAAATCTGAAATAACAAACAACTGAATTAGTTATCAAGCAGACTAGAAATCATTTAAATAAAAAGCTTTAAAAAAGCACAACATTGTTGTTTCTATAAGCAAAACTATATTCAAGCACTGAAGTAAAAGTAGGTAAGATATGAAGAAGAACCGAATTTTCGACGTCTTCTAGACATTCAAAAGCCAGACGATTTCAGCAACAGCTTTTATGTACTATAGTCCTATAAGATTCCTAAATTCCTGATCATTTAATTGCAAAAACCCCCACCGAATTGCACCGACCAGTCTGTCCACAATGCTTACGAAATGATGAATGACCTCTACGCCAAATATTTATATCAACTTAACTGTACTTTGATGAATACCCAAATAACGAAATTTGTACAGAATTGCTATTATGGTGAAGTTGACTAACGTTATCCATTTACCCACAATGGCAATCAAGTATTTTAACACTGTCATTCTGTATCTCACCAATACAATGCCCTTACGTCTCTCTTCATTTCAGGATATTAAACGTTAATTCCACTTTTAGAAATTTCTCAGAGTTCAACATTTCCCAAAAATCAATCACTTTCTGTTTCGTGTAGGAAAAATTAAAAGTGATAACTCACTTTTATCAAGCTGTTTTAACATTATATTCCAACAATAAACTCATTTCAAATAAATTCTACAGACCATTTCAAGAAAAATTATGTCTTACAATACAATGACCCATTCGTTACACACGTGCATATTTTTGATACATTAGTCAAAAGAAAGTCATGCTAAGCTTGCAATTTTATTTTAATCCTAAAGTTGCATACATTGAAAAGTATGTTACTCACTTAAAACATTTAAAACTTAGCGCTGTGAAATCAGAATGAACTAGAACAAATAAGAAATACGAATAGATGCATAATGAAATGTGGCTCGAACTCTATGCAAAAAATTCACTACCAACTGAATTTAGTAAAAAAACAGAATATTTACTACGTCACATTTTCCAAAACTCACAGTTTTTAAAACTAAACTGATTTTTGATTGGTTTCAAAGGCTTAACTATGAAAATCTTATAAGACAGACATCTAAAAACTTGGAATTCTTCTTTTTTTCACACGATCATTTCGAGCTGTTTTGCATAGAAAATAGTTTGCTTCACGATTCTTTTTGTATCCAGCTGTTCCTTTAGAATGGGCTAGAACAATTACACTGAATTAAATATAAATACAGGATTAACATTGATATTTTGATCAAGTTTCTTAATTTCCTCATATTTCACATTACAATTGAATAAAAACTTACACCCGTCAATGCCTGTTCGAATACATATGTGTTGCCTGAGCTTTTCCAAGAGCGCTAAAACAGATATTTGAATTATGGCGTTTAAAATCAAACGCAGAAAAAATAACTGAAGATAATGGTAGGAACAATCTGAATTCTAAAACACTGACTAGAAAAAAATTTTTAAATTCCAATATATTTATAAAACAATACGAAAAATACTAATAACATAAGACTGAAATTAAACTTATCAATACATTGTTTGCGAAAGGGATAACTTCGTTAACAGTATTGAACAAAAGCAACTGTGCCGCATCCTTTTGTGAAACCTTAGTAAAAGAGCACTCGATACATGATGCTATTTCATTTCTGTAAATAAAGTTGGATTAAAGACCAGAAAAACACACGCTTCCCGTTTATAATCAAAATTATGTGCAACTAACCGCACAGCATCCATTGACATGCGAATAAAAAGAGCATAATATGGACTAGGAATGTTCTTTTCGGTAAGAATAACCTGAAATTATATTTAATACAGCAAGCACAAAGAATAAAATGGTAGGAATAGAAACAATTTGAAGTTTTGGGGAATTAAGTCCATAACACACCTTGTTATAAACACCTTCCATAAGCGACTGTTCTAACTTGACCGGTGTTGAGATGTATGGATTATTTTGCTGGATATTTTGATCAATTTGCTCCAATAACTGCAAAAATTACTGAGTTTCCAAAAAAAATGATATTCAAAGTTTCTAACAACAAATTTCAAGTTTCATTTCATATTCCAGCAAGATCGTTAAAACAATGAACATTTTTCTGTTAAAAATCACTAAAAAAATCCCTATGCTGTATATTATTACCACATTAAATGAAACTGAAATCACGCAAATTTTTTATTGTGTTTAAGAAAAATGGGAAACACACCATGTGAAACTGTGCATGCTGATTTGTAGCTAGTAAGTACATCAAGTTCAAACCGATCATCAGATATTTATTTGGAGAATCCTCATGCAATCTGAAAATTTAACTATGTACGGCAACAATTATCAAACAGTTATTTCAGAATTCGTTTAAAAACAGTGACCTATAACAGTCGTAAAAGCTCATAACAACACCAATGGCTTCTCGAAAAGCAATGAGATCGGACTGAACAACCGCAAAAAGAGCATCAATTTCGTAAACATCACCTAAAAAATAATTAGATATTTTTACAACTGTAGTTGATTTTTTATTAAAAATTTACAATATTTCATCCTATAATACTAACACTTTAACTAGTTGTGAACTTACGATGTATTGTATGCAATGCAGCACTATTCAATCCTTCCAACATTTCAGGTTTGTTCATCATTTCCTGGAATACCATAGATTTATAAGCTGGTACCTTTTCTTAAGTCTATTATATATATATAAATTATAAATTTTAAAACTGAATTTTAAATTATATATATATAATTTAAAATTACAGTTTTTGGCATAAAGCACGTAGTAATTAGCGAAAAATATAAATCATTTTACAAAATTAACAACAAAATATACAAAATTAGCAAACGCGAACTCGACTGCACATTACTAATAATACTATATATAAAGTATTTCTTACAATGAATATTCAACATTACCTTGAAAAAAATAGAGAGACATCTTTCTACATGAATTCACATAGAGACCTTACATCTTTTTATATGAATAGAAAAGACTACCTTAATTTCTTTAAGCAACTTGTCCATGGCTGCCAAAACTTTCGGTTCCTTGTTCCATTCAATTATTAACTTTTTGTGTATGGCCTCCATTTTTTACAAACAATTATCTTATCCAAACCAAAAAAATTCAAAATGGATGAATATGCAAACTTATTTCTGTAATTTATTCTTGAAACAACTCTTGCCTGAAAAGTTAAAGAGAAAAATATACTATTCAGAAGACTAAGATTTCCTCAGCCTTGTTTAATTTCAATATTAGTTTTATCTGAAAGATTGCATTGCTCACTTCAACTAAACTGATTTTATCCCTTGAAATGATTCTTATGGTTAAAGATTATATTTATGAAAATTACGCCAACTTTTATAATAATTTTAAATGAAAGCGTTTGCCAATTTAAAATCGAACACAGTGGACAGGTATTACAATTTAAAATGATAGTTTTTGGCATAGAAAATTAGCACATAAGAGCATATAGTAATTAGCAAAAAGTATAAATAGCTTTACAAAATTAACAACAAAAATACAAAATTAGCAATGCGGGCTTAACTAATTTTGTATAATCAAAAGTTTAAAAAGTTGCTTAAAAGCCGAAAGTTTAAATTAATTACGTAAGTAAGATCAATAATCAGAGATAATTTATACATTACTGAGGAAATTAAGGAAGATGTAAGGTATGATCGCAATTTAGCAATAGTTAGGTTACTCGTACAATGCTTAGACAATAAAAAATATCTTACAAAAATGGGATTTCAGTCCGACATATTAGCATTGCTGTTGCATGCAACATTTACGTAACAATTAGAGTTTGTATGCTTGCGTTTCGAGATATTTTGTTGGTGTCGGTCGGCAGAGAGGGAGACATTGTCAGGTGGTATACTTGAGTGTAACTGCTTTAAGTGTGATGAAACATGGAAGCTGTTTTAACGAAATAATGTCTAGTTTAGTAATTTGTAAATTAGTCTTTGGTACTTTTTCACAGAGATATTTTCGTAAACTATCTCTACTTCGGTATTTCCTCGATTTTAATAAATTTGAAATGTAAAAAAATTTGCATTGGAACTGTACATGCATACAATATTTCTAATATAAATAAATGAAGTCATAAAAGTTTTCAGCATAAAAATCTAATACAGATTGCGCACCGTTATGTTGGATGGAGATTCAACAGACGACGATGTTGTAATTATTGGGTATAGTAGAGGTGGCATAGTAAGTAACAGGAGACGTGGTCCATTACGTGTTTCTCGTTGGGACCATCAAGTAAGAAGGAGTTCAAGAAGGGCATCTATTAGAAGTAGTAAGCAAATAGATGTTGTTAAACTTTTCTCAAGTGTGATATCATAATATGTAACTTAAAACTTACAATGTGGTTTCTTAACATATAACTAAAAGTCAGTTTATCAAGATGAGGTTCTGGAAAAAGATATTGAAGCTCAAAATGGGTTTAATATCTGTCAATGCCTGAAGGTGGTAGGAACATCTAGCAAAATACAATGCCAAGTGATTAATATTTTGTTATCTTGTCAGATTCTGATTTGTTAATTATCATACTTATATCGACGAAATAACAAAAAATTTTACACGGTTTTTGCAGTGCGTATTATAATATGTGATGCCAATATTTTTGCTGAATATAAATCCACACATATCTGACTTGCTCAATTTGGTTATTTTTTATCATCTCAAATCGTTGACTTTTCTGATTCGGAGTAATATTATTGATATTTTGATGCTAATGTTTTAAGAACATTTTAAACATATCTATCAACTAGTTTAAATAGAAACTGTTGCTTTAAATATAAGCAAGTCTTGTTAGCAAGAGTTTCCATTCACTGACAAAAATTTATGTCATTGAGATATCACCACCGATATGCTATATGTAAAGATGGTTTTAAAAGCCAATCATTGCAGTATATCGAAACAGTGGTAGCTATTCACGTACGAACAGCAATGGCGAAAGAGCGGTATCAGATGCTGATCTGTTGCTTTTGAAGTTAAAAATCAGGGCTTTAAGAAATTTCTGCTCGATGTATCGTCGTAATTCACATCATCCTTTAAGAACAACCGGTAGAAATCATTCTGTGAGAAGGTTGTATATCAATAATTAATATAGATCTTATGTAAACATTAGCTATTCGTTATTCATTCGATGCATGTCTAGTTAAGGCTTTTTTTATTTTTTTATAAATAGGAAGATCATAATTTGCATATTGATTATTATATTAGTTTATATTAAAAATTATAGGGAGTGATTTTTAGCTAACAAGGCTGACTCCTAATCAGTTTGTTAGTAGTCAGCGCCTTGTGAGCTACGAATGTTTTTTTGTCTGAATATGATAGTTCATACCAACAATCCTCGATGAAATTTTCCTCTAAGTAAATTATCAGTCTCTTGAGATAGATTGTGTTGTAATATTGCTTGCTTAAATAATATTTTTTGAAAATTATAAATATAAATATGCATTAGTTATTTAGTCCCTTAATTTTTACAGAGAGCGGGTAACTACTGAGCGGGCAACTACTGTTGGTTCCAATTCATCACCACCTATTATCGTGATTGATGATGATGATACCTCTCGACCACCACCTCCTGTTATCGTAATTGATGATGACACTGTTGAGACAGATGAAGTCATCATTTTGGGAACAAAACCTTCCACATGTGGACCACGCTGTCGTATTCAGATCACGGATGCTGAACGCCATGATACTTCTCTAGTTTTCTGGAATATGGTTGGATTTACCTTCCTAGAAAATTTTTTTATCATCCACAAAGTGATTGCATCCCAAAAAGTTTAGAATATAGTGCATAAGAAGATCTTAGTTATTGAAGAGAATTTACTTGAGGATTACGGCTTCATGTATGAATAGTACTTGTTATGTTCAACATTATTTGTATTCATGGGTATATTACACCATTAATTCTCTGTAAAAAAGGAAAATTAAAATTAACAGTTGTAATTTGCAGTTTATTCAAATATAAGTTTTTTTTTAATTAAAAGTTTTCTTTTCTTTAATGGTAAAAGTAGTTTGCACTCTATCAACAAATAATTTCTTTTGTTGCAAGCTAGTTTCAAGTTGTTGTTCATAGTACTGTCTTAAAAGAATTTTTACCTATTTTCACTGCCTTAAAAGAATTTATATCTATTTTATTATCTATTTTCAGAGCGAGTCTTTTGTTAAACTTGTAGAGAGAACGGCTTTAAAGTGGCACTGCTCACCAGGAGATGTTGTGTTATTAGTGAGTGGTAAGCGTGTCTCTGAAACCAGCACTCCAAGCAGTCTTTCATTCAATACAAATTATTTTAATTGTATGACGGTACGTAAGATACAAAGTGCACGTCTTCCGCGTCAAATTACAGTCAGTTTTGTGATATCCGGAAGAAATCCTATTACAATGACTGTTGGCGAAGTAATTTTTATGGAAAAGCATCATTCTTTCTAAAAATATGGAGTGAGCTAGACATTTGGAAGTTCGTGAATGTCATAGAAGTAATAAAATTTTTTTTTTTCATTATATTTACTGATAAAAATTCATTTTTTCAGGACATTCCTTTTGTAATGATTTGTAATATGCTTGTTTCGCGTCATGGTTTGAATGAAAAGCTGTCGTTCTTCTTTAATAAGAAGGAAATCACTTTTGAGAAGACTCCCAAAATGGTGGGAATCAAAGATGGTGACATCATAGAAGTTCAATCGCAGTGATTTCATTTTTTCAGACATAATCAGTGTACCATAATTAGGGATCATTTTATAAGCACGATAACATTTGTACAGTGAAAATGGATTTCATATTTATTAGTTTTTCATGTGTTATTCATATCCATCAACTCCTAATAAACACTGGAATTTGTACTGCTTACTCTTTCTGCATGTATCTCCAGATTTTCCGATAATATACTTCTTGAATTTTCGTTTGTTTGAAGTTGTTTAGAGCACCATATACATCAACTTAAATGAGAATGTTTGTATGGAATACTCGTTTGATAAAATTACTAGATAATACAATGTTGAAGTTTGTTATAGTGTTGTGCAATAGACTAGCCACTTGTGAAAATTGCAAAATACCGAAGCGGTGTTGGAAGTATGGAGTGAACTTAATAATCTTCAGGAGGTGGGGTATTTTCATGTTCGAATTACTAAGTTATGTGATGGGTTATATCAAGTCCTGTAAAGGCATTCGTATGCATTCCATAATACCGCTGCCAAGTTATTGTAATTTAGTCCTCATTAAGACAACATACACTCACACTTTAAATCGTGATCTATTTTTTCATGACTGGAGGAGTACACATGAGCGTGATTTTTCGACCGCAACAGATATGTGCTGATTTATTGCATCGTTTACTTATATCTATAAAATGCTCACAATTCTACTGTGGGGCGGCTAGTCGGTGTTCTGCTGCTGTAGAAGAGCGTGATCTATATCAAATATTAGGTGTGGAATCATCTGCTTCGACAAAAGAAATTAAAGCTGCTTATTACCAGCTATCTAAAATCTATCATCCTGACAGACATGAATTCGAAAATAAGAAGCAGCTGGCTACGGAAAAATTCTTGCAGGTATTATAATTGAGCAATAATCATGACTGCAAATTAAATCATTGAGATAGATTTATCACACTTTCATTTATTGAAGTATAATTACATTTTTGAAATCATTTTATTTAATGCTTTCGTAGCTAAAAGAAGGCCTGCTAGAATTCGTTATGATCAGTCACAATCTTTAATTAAGAAATTTACTTGTTCATTTATGCATATATAGTTTAGGTAGCGGAAGCATACGAAGTTCTATCCTCCGATGAAAAACGCAAAGCATATGATAATAAGTATCAAAAGCGTAATATTCAGACCTCCACTGGGAGTTGGCCTACGCGGTCAATAAGAGTAAAAAAGAATTTCGAAGATTTAGGATTAGATTATAAAACATTCGAAGAATTCCAAAGAAGTGTAAATAACAGGTTAGTTACATCATTGAATTGGAAGCTAAATTTTTTATGACTTTGACTCATAATACTTAAACAATGATATTATAGGAGGCGCATGCAGCATCACCACTGGCAAATGCCTAATGAATATTTTGCTCATTTCGGCAGTCACCGTAAATTTGCCGATACTTTCCGTCCACGAACAACCTCTTATTTTACTTATAGTTACAAGGTTGACCATATGAAATTTTTAGTTTTGAATTTTCTTTTCTCTCCATAAATATCGCTGTCATGATGGTGAAGAAGTTGTTTTGATAAGAAAATTGAAATAATTCATGCTTTACACAAACTTTGAACTATCAAGTGTGATGTAAATTTTACAAATTTTATTTTGTCAGCAAATATATTAGTAAAACCTTCTGCCGATATCCTGATAATAGAATGATAAATTGTAAAATTAATTCAGGATCCGATGCAGCGACAGCGTGAGATGAAAGAATGGCTAATTTTAAAGGAGATTGAAGAAGAAAAACTAAAATCTAAATATAAAATACCAACTTTTGCAGCGATGGAAAAAGAACGGTTAAGTCGAGAACGAAGGGAAAAAATGAAATCCAATATTTTACTTCTTGTTTCTGGATGCCTTTTGGTGTTCTTTTACAAACATAATGCGTAGTGCTTTATTTTGCTTATTAATGTGGTTCACAAACCCGTTATGGCTTTGAAAAAGCAACACTTGTTAATATCTTCATCACTCACACTTTATGGAACTAATTTATCAGTTTACATGCTGCATCGGAATATGTCAAAATCAGACTTTACATTTGTGCAGATTGGAGGAAGCTTCCTCTTTTTGTGTATTGCTGAGCGCTAGGAATACAGCATCTGTTCACTTATTTTGATAAGAAATGATAGCATAGTGAAAACACATTCACATTATTGTGAGTTTTTCATGCAATTGAATGCCTTTTAAAAAATTGTATCTGTAAATTATATCTTGATAACGCAGTGAGAACTAAGTAAAAACACTCTTGAAATATCAATTCGCAAAAAAGTAGTGATGTGTTATGTGCATTCACGTATAGACGCAAATTTACAGTTTTCGATTGCTTTCCGAAAGTATTAAGTTACGTAAAGGCTACTCCTTCAGGTGTTGCTAAATTTGCGGTCGTCTTTATATGTAAATGCATGTGCCGCAATTGAAATCTATCCAACAATCAATGCTCAGCAAAGTATTCACCTTCCTATCTAGTAAGAAAGTTCGTTTTGTCTTTTATGTGGGAGATTCCGGAGTTACACGATGCTCGACTTGTGATTTACACAAAGATGAAGACAGATCCCTGTCACTGTACCATGTTACCACAACCAGACCGTACCCGAAATCACAAAGCCTACGCCATCATCAAAATTCTCAAACATGTGGGGGAATGCCGAGTGAATGAACTGAGATATACCAAGCACTAAGAAAGAGAAAGCAAATTTGTCAAGGCACCATTGGTTACGCTTGATATCTTCGACAGCCTCATACAATTATTAACGTTTCAGAAGCAAGATACATTCTAGAAAGTGCGTGGCTAGACTTGTGTGACTTTATTTTCTATGAAAATTTCCTGACTGCTTTCAAATAATTTATTTAAAACTCAATCAAAATAAAACATAAGAACATTCAAATCGCATGAAAATGCACAGTAATAACAGCAATGTGGTTTTCTCACACACACTCAAGTTTACATTTAACTCCAAGATTAATCCTGTATTAAAGATCTTCATCATCATCGGGAAGTTCGGCATTCACAGCTGCAGCAATTTCTTGTTCGTATTGTGCAATCATTGACGGGTCCATCTGCACTTCTGGCGGTGCAAGTGCAGGCATAGCAACAAATTCTAGATTCGGATCACCTAACAGTTTCCGGGCTAGCCAAAGAAATGGTTTCTCGAAATTGTAGTTGCTTTTAGCGGATATATCATAGTACTGAAAAGAAATGAAAAATAGCTGACAGAATATACTTACGGTACATAACACAGTAAAAAAAATCCCAACACATCTAACACCACATCTAAACAAAAGGTAGCGGATACTTGACTCATTTAGACTCTTAATTTAATTTAAGAAACAGATGATAATTACCTGCAAGTTCTTCTTCCGGTGAAATGTGATTGTTTTCGCTTTGACTTTTCTATCTTTCACATCTACCTTATTTCCACACAGTACTATTGGAATATTTTCACATACTCGCACTAAATCACGATGCCAGTTTGGAACATTTTTGTAAGTAACACGTGCTGTTACGTCAAACATTATAATGGCACATTGTCCTGAAATATTTTTCAACTTTCTCTGTGATAAATGTAAAATTATATACACACTTGAAAGCTATTCATACAAATATTAGAAAGATCGTAAAAAATATAAAATTAGCTATATTAGAAATGAGATCAATAAAATGCTCTTTATATACAGCACTTAAAAACAATACGTGAAAAATGTAACTAAAATCAAAAAGCTTGAGTGCTGTAATTCATAAATACAGATTGACATCAAATATACTCTTTCACATTTGCAAACTAAAAAGGTATTCTAACCCATTTATGCACTTATTTACATAACCTGGAAGAATAAAGAACCAACTGCTAACTTTAGCAATTAGCTCATTTTCACCGCATTCATACTAACAGCTTCGAAACCTATCTATTTGCAATGTTTTTATATTAATGAATCACAACAAAAGATACTTTCCCTTTACAAATAAACTGTAATGAAATATGACTCTCCTGACATTAATAATAGATACTATACCTTGGATATAATAGCCATCTCTTAATCCACCAAATTTCTCTTGTCCAGCAGTGTCCCAAACATTGAAGCGAATTTGACCTCGGTTTGTGTGAAATATAAGTGGATGGACTTCAACACCAAGCGTAGCTAAAAAAATTAGTATTAAATATATCAATATCAACTGCAATAGCTAAAATCATGAGAAGATAAAAATGAAGAGACGTTAAACACTAACCAACATATTTTTTTTCAAATTCCCCAGTCAGATGCCTTTTAACAAATGTAGTTTTGCCTGTTCCACCATCGCCAACAAGCACCAACTTAAATGTGGGAATGTCATCACCTGAAGCCATTTCTTCCCTACGTGTAGCTAAAATATTCAGTTGAACAAACAACACAAAGTGGAGGGAAGAAAAAAACGTGAGTGCAGAACTTCTTATCCACGTTAATGGAAATAAAGTTTATCAGTTGTAATTGGAAAATATGTGTCAAATTGGCGAAAATAGTAGGCTACAAAGCGAAATACTAAGTGAGAGATGTAGCAAAACTAGTATAAGTAAAAAACAAAAGGCTGACTAAGTGATTATTAATGGAAAGTTTCGTCCAGAAGAATCTGTTATTTCTAAATGAATCTAACTTCAACCTGAAATAGTGAAATATAAATCGAAACTTAAGTCACAACCATAGTGAGACCGACAAACACACATATGCAAAAAACCATTGGCAGCATGCCATTTCAAATCTGTACCCTCATTGAAACACAAATCCTTTTTATCTGATCTCAGAACATCTTAGAAACATCAAACATTACAGCAACTCCTAGAAGTATACATGTTACTAGTACAAAACATAGAACCTTCTCTACCATTACTAGGCCACTTTTTTACACTCCGTATGCTTTAGCTACAAGGCCTATAACCAAATGTACAAATAAATGTCGGGCAATGAATGCATACGGTACCTGAACTTTTCAACCTAAAGTTGCATTAGAACGGGAAATTCTGTTAATTTGAATTGAATACTTTTCCTAATTTTTCGTTTCTCCGTAAATACGGTGTTATTTGCTGTAAGCTTTGTTTTTATCTTCCGCAATTTAAAATTGACGAATTCAATCTGATCAAAATTTGTTTCAGTCATTTTGTTTAGCTTTTGCTTTTAAATTGCAATTGCTTATATAGAAATTAGTTGAATATTTTGTGTGCTTCGTGAAAAACTTCATCTAAGGATGTTGCAAACGAGAAGGCCATATTAATATCGAAATTTACAAAAGGATTAAAATTAATTGCAATATTCAGAATCAGACTAATAATTTCATGCAGTGATAAAGAAACTGAGAGTTATCAGAAGAACTGTGTTTAGGAGAAAATTTTACTTTCGTCATCGGTATAGTGTTCTATTTCTATTACTGCGTGTTTCGAGAACTTGAAATGACGTTGATATGCGCGCTTAATGCTTATGTTGAATAAGGCTTCAATTTACCAATTAATAATAACTGAATATATATAATTTCATTTTCAGGTGGAAAATGGGAAAAAAGGAAAATTCGAAAAAACAAAAAGAACTTGACATTGGCGTAAGTTTAATTTGTTGGGTTAAAATTCTGTACGCGATCAATATTTTGTTACTATTAATACATATCGTTTTAGGAAGCTCAGGCTACGGGTGATTATACAATTAAACCCTCGGAGAAGGAAGCAACGCTAGATACCTCACAGTGGCCTCTACTTTTAAAAGTTTGCAAATACTTGAAAAGATATTCCTTGATTTTTCGAAATAAACTTAAATTTGCCTTAGTACTTTTAATTAATAAGCAGTTATTTATTGTATATCCAGTAGCTTGACGAACAGTTTTCAATTATCTGATAATAATATTGGGGAGTGTTGCAACAAAATGAGATATTTACAAAAAGATGGTTAGATGTAAGTCGTGAATTGATATCTCAGTTTTTTAATCTGTGATAATCTGTGATTGTGCAACTAGCTGCTTTAAATTTTTTGTGAAAATTTCAGAATTTCGATAAGTTGAATGTCCGGTCCAACCATTATACTCCACTTCCAGAAGGCTGTTCACCTCTCAAACGTGATATTAAAAATTACGTCTCGTCTGGTTGTATAAATCTGGACAAACCAGCTAATCCTTCAAGTCATGAAGTTGTGGCATGGATCAAGCGAATTTTGCGTGTTGAAAAAACTGGACATAGCGGTACTTTGGATCCTAAGGTTTTGTTTGAAAAAAATTGTTTTTGGCTTCAGTTTTTTAAGTCTTAAAAATTTTCTGCACACTTCATAATTTTCTAAAAAAAATTGTTTTTGGCTTCAGTTTTTTAAGTCTTAAAAATTTTCTGCACACTTCATAATTTTCTAAAAAAAATTATTTCGGATTCATGAGTGATAAATAATAAGACATAAATCATTATTTGTATTTGATCATTTATCATTTCTTACGTTAACGAGCTTTCTATATTTTAAAAAATCATATGTGCTACTTTTATTTCCTGTTTTTAACTGCTTGATTGTGCCTTTGAAGTTTTCTACAACTTAAATCTTAATTTATCAGGTATCAGGTTGTTTGATTGTTTGCATCGACCGAGCTACAAGACTTGCTAAATCGCAACAGAGTGCTGGTAAAGAATACGTGACTATATTCCGTTTGCATAATGCTGTTGAATCTGATAAAAAAGTGAAGCAGGCTTTGGAGAAGTTGACTGGTGCGTTATTTCAACGTCCACCTCTCATATCAGCTGTTAAGCGGCAGCTCAGAATCAGAACAGTTTACGAAAATAAGTTGATTGAGTATAATCCCAGTCAAAATATGGGCATTTTTTGGGTTTGTTTTATTAGATTAAAGTCCTTTTATTCTCTAGAATAGCAGTCAATTTCCATTTTTCGTACTTTATGTTGCCGAGAACTAATTTGGTTAGTTTTAGTTTTATATTCTAATTTTTAAATTATTGATTTTTTTCGTAGCGGTATAATTTCTAGCTTTCAGGCAATTATGAGACAAATAATGCAATACTCTTCAGGTGAAATGTGAAGCTGGTACTTATGTACGCACAATATGTGTACATCTTGGTTTAATTCTTGGTGTTGGGGGTCAAATGCAGGAACTTCGAAGAGTTCGTTCAGGTATTTTTAGTTTCTTCCATAGTAGATATTAAGAGTTTTTATGTAATAAATAATAGATTTTAGGTATCTTTGGGGAAAATGATAATCTAATGACAATGCATGACGTTTTGGATGCACAGTATCTGTACGACCATCACAGTGATGATAGTTATTTGCGAAGAGTAATTCAACCGCTTGAATCTCTTCTTGTTTGCCATAAGCGGATCGTTATTAAAGATAGTGCTGTGAGTGTTTCACTTATTAATTTTTTCAGCCTTTTAAATTTTATCATTTTTTAAAAGCCGCTAAAGTTTTTACTTGATATTTTTTATAAAGGCATCTTTAGCATTTGCGTATGCTGACTTCTTTGTTCATTGAGAGTGGGAAAATACAAGTACCATGATCATGAGAGATGTAATTTTGTGCAAATGGGTTCTATTCAAATGTGCTGTCGTTATTAAGCTTTTTATTTGAATAAAACGGTCATACTGAAGATTTCAGGTGAATGCTATCTGTTATGGAGCTAAAATACTTCTACCCGGTGTTCTTCGTTATGAAAATGGAATTGAATTGAATGAAGAAATTGTTATCATAACAACAAAAGGTGAAGCCGTATGCTTAGGTTAGTTACCCTTTATGGGTTTTTTAATTATTTATTTTGACAGCTTCTGAAGTTTAAATCATTTAATATTGCAAAAACATAAGCAGAAATGTTTTTATTTTGCTTCATAGCAAAAATTATTTGGTTCCAGCTGTGGCACTAATGACAACATCAACAATAGCAGTGACAGATCATGGTGTTGTTGCGAAAATCAAACGAGTAATCATGGAAAGAGACACTTATGCTCGGAAGTGGTGCCTTGGTCCAATTTCGTCTAAGAAAAAGGCCATGGTGGGTTATTTGTTTTCCAGCTTTCATGCTAGTATTGAGTCTCTTTATTAATTATTGTGGCAATATTCATGATCAGTTGCATGTAAATAAAGAAAAACTTGCATAAGCTGTACAATACAGTAATCATATGGGTTCTTTAGATAAGTCAAGGATTACTAAATAAATATGGTAAACCGAATGAGAAAACTCCCGCTGGTTGGCGCTCTGCTTACTACGATCTTAGCGAACCTACACCACAAATTGAAACACAGAAAGAGGAGAATCAGTGTACTAGTGTTGAAAACGTTAAGTTAAGTACATTTAAACAATAGTAGTTTTGTAGTTTGCACCTATTTAGTTGCAAGAAGTACTCTTTAGTTCATTAATTTTAACTAAGAGTTTATATTTAAAGAAGTAGTCGATGTATGAAGCCAAAAAAGCAGGTTCTCTATTTTTTTTTGCTCCTTCATTAATCGGTGTAAAATGATTGTCATTTTTTAGCCGATGAAGAAAGAAGAAGTGATGAAATCATCTAGTGATGAAAGCGAATCTAGTGATGAAAGTGAGTGAATGTTGTGGTTATTAGCCAATAACTGGTTTAAAAATAAAACAGAACAAGACACAAAAATCGTTCTTAGTTTTAATTTTCCTGATTAAATTTTTAAAAACTTCGTGAAATTAAGATTCTTATTAACATGTTTCGAGAAATTGTTATACTGTCGTTTTATGTAAAAAAGTGAAGTTTGTTGCTTTTGCAGTGATTTACTATTTTCTACATAATCCCGTATTCGAATTACATTTACTTGATGTTTTGAGAATTACTGATACGCAGTGGTATTCAGCAAAGGTAGTATTGTGTGTTCATAATTCAAGAAATGTGGTAGTTGCATTGTCAGATTGTTATAACTTTTCAGGTTGTTATTTGTTGATATTATTTTTCGTTCTTGTTGGAAACTGAAATTTTTAAGCTTTCTGTTGAAGTTCACGCAAAAAAACGTTGGATGAACTTTTCGAGTTTGATGATGTCTAATGAAAAATGAAATGTATAGAAAAGTATGAGGCTGCAGTTAAATTTTGTGGCTCTGGTATTTTTCTGAATGGTGTGGAAAAAAAAAAAACCTAAATGTTCAAAAGATTAGAACGTATTTATATTGTGATTAGGATATATTGGAGACGTAATTTCTAGCTCTCGACAAGAAATCATACTAATGCATCTTTAAAAGTTTCGAGTCATTTCCCTTGTATATCTTGAGTAACTGCCATACAAATCTCATGGTAATGAATTTGGAAACTAGTTTGCACTCATCTTTATACACACACTTTAAGATAGTTGTCAACAGAAAGTTTACAATAGAAATTAAAATACTGAAATCATAGTAGTAACGCAAGACACGAGATTACTGCTTTCTCTTGGTTGTCGTGCGGTTGTTATTACTTGGTTATTTAATAGAAGAAAACTGCTATAGCGTAACTGGTAGTATTTAATGTAGTAGAATAAAATGCATAGATTTGAAGTATGAATGAAATTATCGGATTTTAAAATCCGTATGTGTCGGCCATATTCTTGTCCGCTACTTCATCTTCTAGAAGGCGAATTCGTCTTTCGTGCTGCCGCAGCACTGATTTAATTTTGTTTAAATCTGACAGCAGTTCTTCCATAGAACTTGGCTGAAATTTTTATGTGTGGTGGTTTTGAATTTGTCTCAAAAAGAATTGTAGTTATTTAGTAATGTAATGGTACTGGCTAGTTTGTAGATCAGTTAATTAAAAAAGCTGATAAAAATTTTTAATTAAAATAATTTCTGCGATACATCTGCTATGTTAGCCGCATTATCTACAATGGCATGTAAGTTTAATGCATGCTAAGTGTCTATTTACATTTCATACGTGGTTCAAATTTCGTATCAGAAATATACAAAGGTAAGGAAATGAGATTTGGATAAGAAACATTTGGCTCAAAAAACTAAAAAGTAATCGAATAGTCTAGTGAATTTTATTTTTAGCATGAAATGATGTAAGGAAAACCTCAGAAGGGCCAGCTATGCTGTGTCTGGGGGAAACCGAATTGCTGTGCATTTGTTGTGGTGGTACAAGTTCTTCTCGACGGGATGAGAGAGAGCTACTACTATGCTTATGCTGTGGAGAGATGAGCTCATCTCGATCTACTTCTCGTTCTTTCTCCCTTCTGATCCGTTCCAGGTCAGCGGTTATTCTTCTTTGACCAGGTGTTGCTTGTGTATTGTTTCTGTCTGTGTGTGAACGTAACTGCACCTATAAAATATTACTTATCTCAGTTGCTATGATTAATTTGGCAATACTGTTAGAATACCAAATAATACTTGTTGCCGAGGAACTATTGGAGTGATTCGCTCCGGGCTACGTGCCTTCGGTAGACGTGGTTCGCGTTCTGGACCAGATCTTTCTATCATCACGATTCCAGTCTCTTCATCTACTGACCCACTAAGCATGCTCTTAGGTCTACTTCGATGAGGTGTAGGATTTGGCTCTTCATAACGTACATCTTCATAAGAAGACTTTCTTTGTTGTTCAGCTTGTAGACGATTTGTCGTTTGTTCCTGGCTATAATATTTTCCCCATGAAAATTCACAAATTAAAAAAAAATGCAGTAAGCAAATTTGCATACTTGAGAGTCAGCGTATCAGAGAAGAATAAAACCTGGTAGGTAGATGAGCCAGAATATTAGCTTTCTTAGCTATTTGTACCTTCGGTTTAGAAACAGCAGCTTCTGGATTCACTGCTACCAAATTGGGAGGAGCATTCTTACCTTCAATAAACTCTTCAGCTGTGAGTGCTGGTACACGACTCCGGGTGTCTGGATACAAATCTGCCTAAATCCAATTCATATTCATGTATGCTTACACATTTTGATAAATTGAAACAATAAATATAATAAGTGTTTACAGTTAAATTCTAAATCTATAAACGATTCACAAGCTTAAATTTGTGAAGAGATTAAACTTTAATAAACAATTCTTACATCGTTGGAAAAAAGTTATTGTCATTTTCATATATGCACGAATTATTTATCAACATTCAATTTTTCCAAAAAAAAAGTTATGTAGTGAAGAATAGACAAATAAATAAATTCTGTTTATTTTTTGTTGCCAAAAAGTGTACCATGCAGATTACATTAACATAATTGCTGTTCTAGCGAATGCAAAGTTGACATTTCGAGTTAGGAATTTTTGGTATGTTCTTCAAGTTTAAAAGCTTAAGTAATATGCAACGAACTTGATAAAGATCGGATTTTCTCGGTACGAAAAACTGCAACTCTTCCACAACACCCTTTGTTGTTACTTTATAAATGCGTGCAATTTCATTTTCGTTAGAATTAAGACCCAATTTAGGCATGAATGCAATACCACGTTGTGGTTCTGATGTTGTATATGTATTGATGTAATGCACGAAAGGAAATTCATTATTAACTTCATAATATCGAATAGCACAATCTCCCTTAACAAAAACAAAATTTTAGAAAATAGAAATGACAAAAAGTAAAACTTTTCAAAGTTTGCTTTTTAGTAATCTTTTCTAGTGATTTTTTTGATATTTACTAGAAAACAACAAAAATAATAAAATGAGTCATTTTTTGCTTATGCAAATGATTACTGAAAATGCTAATGTAAGAAGCAAAAAATGCAAATATGCTACTTTCAGAACTTACTTTGCCTGCTAAATAAACAAGACCACTGTCTTCATCATAGAGTGGAAAAAGCACGCCATTACTTGTGTCGAGTTCTTCTTGAATCAGTGGCTCATCCAAGTTTTCCTGAATATTTTTGGACAATAAAATGTACTACAAAAATATGCAACACAACTGAAATCAAATTTAATAAATAGAAAAGGTAATAATATTAGATAAAATAAGAATAATTTTGGATATTATGTAATTTTTGATTTCATTATCAAAAATGCAATCACTGTATTGACGTTGAAAAATAAAAATAAAACTGCTGATTTTGAAAAAGAATATTCTAGTCGAGGATTACAGCAACATTATGAGTAGTTCTATTGGAAAGCAATATTAATAACTGTTATAGAGTAAGCAAGTGAAAAGTAATAGGTAAATAAATACCTGTGTCCGAAGTGCATAAAGCCTTTCAGAACGTTTTGTGAAACCAGTAGTGAAGACTCTTCCATCTTTAAGAAATATTGCACGTTGTGGTTTCACTCCTTCATGACCATAGCCCTGATGAAGCACTTCACCAGTGTGAGAATCAAAGATTCGAATTTGTTTATCCTTGCATGTTGTCATAAAACGACTTCCTTAAATATTAAAATATGCAAATTATTAGTAAGAATATAGTTTTATAAATTAAAAGATAAATTATAAAAATGCTTAGAAATATCTAATCAGCTGAGTATTTGCATAATCAAAAAGGAAATAAGCAGAACTTTACTCAAAAAGATAAATCATTTTGCTTAAATGAACATAATGCTAGCTTAAAAATTACACTTTGCTTCTTATTTCATCGTTATTAGAGAATTATTAAATATGTTTGTCGATTTGTTTTACTTACATATTAGCTTATTCACAGAAAGGAGAAAAAGAATTAGTAAAAATATATCTGAATATTACCATCATAGTTGAAAGATACAGACCATATCATATCAGGATGACCGCTAACTTCAAGCAAAGCCTCCCCAGCGCATACATTCCACAACAATAACTTATTCTCACCACCAGAAAATAAATAATTATAAATCAAAAATGCACCATTTGTTCTTTTACATTACTAATATTTACAAATTAATAAAACAAAAAATTATTAGCAAGTAGTTTTTTAATTACTTATTTACGTGAACAGAAAAAAAAACCATATCTCTGAAAAGTACAAGTAAATTATCATATAATTATAGATAGACAAAAATATTCAATTCTTTCACGATAAAAAACAAGCACACGTTCAAAAACGTGAGATAAACTTTGAAGTTGTCATGCAATAAAGCAGCAAACTTTACTTAGTATTTGTTTATAAAAGAAACTTACCAGCAGTAAGCAAGATATTATTTGCAGTTGGATGCCATGCTAAAGTATTAACTCGTTTTTGATGACCACTTAATTCAACTAGCGGTTCGCTAAGTACACGAATTAAACCATTAGATGGGATTAGCCAAATCTGGATGACACATCATAACTATACTTATCATATACTTTTTAATAAGAACAAATGCTATAAATACATTTTGATTTTAGCCAATAGACTGATAAACAATTTTTGTGTATTTGTAATTATATGACAGTAAAAAGTATTTTAAATATCATTTTATCTTTTTACAGAAATTTAATTTTTGATGTAAATATTTCATTCATAAGCATTCTATGAGTACTTCATCAGTTATAAAAAATGATTGCTAATTTTTTGCAAAGTGATTATTGCTCTGTTGTGAGATAATTATATTAATGATCAAAACATAGAACAGAACTTTGGTCTTTTTGTAAGTATTATATTTAAAGCAATACTTTGCAAGTAGTATCTTCCGAACAACTGGCAATAATATTATCATTGAACGGATTCCAAGCCACTTCAAGACAAGGAGCACGATGAGCATCAACAAATGGATAATCTTTCTCGATGCGTCCAACCTAAAATACTAATCACTCTATTTACTGATGTTAACATTTTTCAAATCATTTTCAAAATATTGCAAAATTCTTATAAATTTTAAACTGAAGCAATTAAATTAAGCAATAGCACTTCTAGCATATAAATATCAATACATATCATTTATCGCCATTTCATTGAAATAAATTTTCAAGTTATAAAATAACACTTTTAATGTTTATTCAAACTCTGGTATATATGGTAGCAATTCAAATACAATAAAATGCAAATAAACATTAAATAAGTTAAGTACAGTTACAGTTACAGTACATAAAATATATCTAATGTAAATATTATAACTTTAATAAAGCTTGCAAAAATATTGACAACTGAATCAAAAAAAAAGAGAGAGAAATATAACAATAAAAATTTAGCCATGAATTTTATGTTTTTAGAAATGGCGATAATTGCTTGCTACTAAACCAGAAAATTGCTTACTACAAACATAATATTTCTTGTATTTCTGTGTTGCATTAACTATTAATTGCAATTATCTGAATGATAATATATCAAGTACTAAGCATAGTCCATATCATATATATTTACATTCATAGCTAAATGAATGAATGAGAATGACCTTCATGTTCCTTGCACAAATACTATATTACCATATAAGTAGAAAAAATAAAAAATGACAACTACGATATATCTTCTCGTCATTGACCTTTGGTATTACCAACACTTTTACTACTCATGTGCTAATCGTACTGACAAGTAACTAAACGAGATTTCACATTTGACGAGTTAATAATAGATTGCTTTTAAACGTATCTGTCATTGCAAAATGGTTTCTAAACTCTTAAATTATCTTTCAACTGTTCCAATTATTGCTATTTGCACCTAAATTACTTGCAGTAAAACTTCATGCAACAATTCAATATTCAAATTATTGCTACAATTATTTGTTTCCATCAAAAGCGCTGCACGATTGCACGATTGCACGACTGCACGATTGCACGACTGCACGACTTTATCGTACTTGTGTACAATACATGAAGAGATATGCACAAAAGTAAACGATAATAATCGTTTGAGAATAAGGCAAAAATTTTTATTGCATTGTGTAGTCTTATTGATAAAAGCCCCTTTCTGATAAAATTAAGAAGCTTTGATATTTATTCACAAAAGTACTAATCATATTATTTGTTCTTGCATTAATGAATAGAGTATTGATTTATGCTACAAAATAAATACAATACTGACTGCACTGATAATAAGCACGTTTTGACTTTAAAAAGTCTACAAATTTTATTATTAATAAGATTAAAACTTTGCTATAAAATATTAATAATAAATTGCATAAAAACATTGTTGATAATTTTGAATAAAAAAATGAGTCAAAATATAAAAATGTGCTAAATAGTTTTCTAACTTACAGTAATTCATTTCAGAAAGCAAAATATTTCGTTGAGAATACAACTTTCCAGTATGCATTTGATTTTCTTTCTTTTTAATAAGAAGTAACTCTGCTAATTTAACTTTTGCCAGCAGTACTGCTGAATCACACTCAGCAAACTGATAATTGCTCTCAGATTGAGCATACGATAATAATAGATCGTTTGAGATGATAATAGAATTACTCATACAATATGCGTTACTTTATGCTTTTTATTCTTTTATCAGAAATTGTACTGAATGCAATAATTCAGATACTTCAGGTATTCTGAATATAAATGAAATGATCGATGACCAAAATTATCAGTACTGTAAACCGAAGGCTAATTACTTAAACAATAGTTACAATCTTTTAAGATATGTGTTCAGATTTGAGCCATATGTCAAAGCAATCATGAAAATTTTAATAATTCATTAAAATGCCTAAAAATTACTGATTATCTTATCATTGCAAAATTAGTGATAAGATGATTATCGGTAAGAAAAATATAACAGAGCAATAATTATTTGCCTCACAGTATAATTTTCATTATAGATTACAACAATATCTTATTTAGTTCATATTTTTGCTGAATAATTGATACCTCCAAACTGATTATTATATATTATTAATTTAGATTTGAAAATTACTTGCCATTTCAGTAAGTGAAAGTTATTTCGGAAATGTGACTACGATTATAATTTTTAAACGATAAATTTCAGGCAAATAATTATTATTTTAACAAGAAAACAGTTTGAAAACGGCTTGTTCACTTCAAACATTGCTTTAAACGTTGAATTATGAATGTTTAATACACACGTTAAATTTTGAATTTAAATTAAAAAATACAGTCAGCAGAAAAAAATTTACTCATTACCATAACTGTAATAGAAATGACAGAGAAGAAAATTCATCCCAAAACATAATTTTTACTAAAATCGAAAGTGAAATATACTGTAGTCATAAAAATTGCTCTACGAAAAAAATTCAACTCAATTTTTTGTTTATTAATATGAGTGATAAATAAATATTGAACTGACTTCTGCAAAACTATTATTTGCAGTAATACAAAATAATTATAGCTTAGATAGCACTAATCTTTTAAATATTTAAATCCATTTATCCATTTAATTATTAGTCAAGTTAAATACCTTATCCTTCTATCATTTGCTCACATTTCACTGCAACATTAGTCTAATGATCATCTTACTTTCCTACTTTTTTACTTTCTTGAGTGTAATCGACTTGACTATTTGTCTCAGTGAATATTCACTAGTGCTTTAGTCTAAGCAAATAATATTACACAATTAAGTTAGTTAGACATGAATTAATGAACAATTTTCAAAGATCACATTTATGGAAGTATTCATAAAAATACTACTTTAATTATACTTTATTTATATCTATCATAAATTTAAGATCTTTTTTAATGCTAATGAAATAAGTCAATAGAGTGGAAATATATTTTTAAGATAAAATGATCTGATAACTTTTTACGAGTAAAATTTAAAAAATTTAATAATTAAAAATAGATGAATGATTGAATAAGTAAATAAAAAAACAAACTTTGTTAATAGGAACGACAAGAAAAGGTCCACCAGCACCTTTGCAAATAACAGCGATAAATTTTGAATTACACGCACAAAAAAGGGAGTCCCACGTAATTTCCGTAATCCGTACGTCAGACATACATTGTTCGTGTTTTACAGGTTTGCAAAACACGTGTCGAAATTTACTTTGACGTACAATATTGCTCATTTTGTAGCTGAAAATGAAAAAATCTTCTTTTGCTTCTTCTCACTGAGTATAATAAATCGTAATTACAATGCCAAAACCTGAAATCACTCTTTTTTTACTTCACTAAAAATTTTCTATGAATAATTCATATCATGTAGAGGAAGAAGGAAAGAAAAAGAGAAAGAGTTAGAGACATAAAGGAAAGAGCAGAGACAGGAAGAGAGAGAAAGAGAGAAAAAAACGCTTTTTTATAAAATTATCTCTTTTCCACCTATCATCATAATTATTAGCAATACAACGAACTACTGAATCCTAAATTAACTACTTACTGAATCCTTTCAACTACCATTTTTCAGTAAATATGAACACGTGTTGCTTGCTTGCTTATTTGCTACATTTTATAAATTTTCTCTTTACTTTGCATCTCTGTCGTTTCTCGTCTCTTTTTCTCTTCTCAAGTTTTAAAACCCATCAAATACATCCCCGTTGATATGATCAGTTATAATAATTCTTATTATTACAGCAATATTAACTAATAATAGTACTAATGATGATAATTAAGATTACTTCAAACAAAAGGAATATCGATGAAAATAAGCCTTAAATACTTGATTTTTAATAACAAAAACAATCTTTAACTATTGCAAAGGGAAGAAAATTTGGTTACTTATCTTTGTGAAGAAAGTCTTTTATTTATTTTCTTCATGAAGAAAATGTGGAAAAAAAAGTACCACCCTTGACCTTTGCAAAAAAGGAACAAATTCATTGCGTTCAATTAGCATCAAATAAATCCATTAGTTTATAGAGAGAAAAAATCTGTCTCATCTACCTTTTCTCTTTCTCTCTCTCTCTTTCTCTCCATCTCTTTCTCTCTCTCCCTTACTTTCACTCTTAAGCAATTCCAAAATTCTGTAAACAATTTTAATATTTGTACAAAAAGATGCAAGTTCGTTTTTAATTTCTACTTTTCTGCAACAAATGTTAAGTTTAATATGAAAAAAGTAACAGCTGACACTAACAAGAATTTTATGTGATGTTAGTTAGTTCGGAAGCAGATAAATAATATCAGTCTTGAGATCGCATTCTCACATTTATTTCTTGCTTGAAACTATTAAATTTCATTGAAAATTTTTTTATTAATTGACAAAAAGGAATTTAGGAGTATTTAATGTGAAATCGTTTAAGAATTACTTATCTAATACTTACTCCTTTCCGGTGCAATCAATAACTCTCATATAAGCCAGACTTTTTAATCTTATTTTGATTATTTGCTCTTATGAGTAGTCAACTCATCTGCTTTTATTTCATATTTAAACTTGAAAGTAAGTAAGTTCCCTTTGTTATGTATGAAGTTTTTTTACTGGCATGTTCTAACTTTCTATCTTAAAATGCCTGCAAAGCAAAATGCCTCAATTGTTTGCTTTAAAAGCTATTTGAATGATACTTTACTTACCTAGTTAAATTTAGTTGAAACCGCATACTTCTGATCTAAACAAAAATATTTACTATTTCCAACATTCTTAAAATATGAATTTGCAGTAACAGAAATTACTAATGAATTCAGAATTTAACAATTTCTCTTCGCTAAAGCCATCATGTAAACAAACAAAACTTGCGATTAGCATCGTATATTTTGCAGACAGTCTAATTTGCTATCAAACTATCGTATAATCATTGAATTTTTAAACTCTATCTGTTGTCGAAGTTAATATATGAAAAAAAGAAAAGCAACTTTAGAATAACTTTTATACAACGACGTATATTATCTAGGAATTTGCAACTTATTTTCATTGCATTATCAATATCCTTGATTGAGTAGAAAAAAATTCAGTTAAATTTTAGTGTGAACTTGAGTAGACAAGCCAAACGAACTCGTGCTCGGTAATAATCAAGCAGGTTGTTCTTATTTCATCTTTTTGCTTGCTAACAACAATGACCATAATTTATATTATTTAAATTAGCACTGCAAATAACTTTTCTTCACAAAATAAAAATGCAAATTAATATATTTACATTCCTTATACTAGCATTCAAAATTTGTGTAAGCGGTGGATGAGAATGAGTAAGAGGTCTAGTATAATTCAAGCATAAACCAAAAGTCGGACTTCATTATTCTAAAACATTCATTGTTAGCAAAAACTTCCATAACAAAAAGGTGTCACATACTATTATCAAAAAATTCTATCTCTCCATATTACTCACTAACTTTACTGATCAAAATCTGCGCAAATTTTCAGCATACGAATCAACACATTAAACCACTTCTAAGAAATATTATCGGTTACTATTAAATATGAAAACGAACTTCCACTTCAGTCTTCGCAACCGAGATTGAAGGAGGATCTTACACCTCACTCTTACAGTAATCTGTATTGAAAATTTGAAGTAATCGACACAAACTGACCCCGACTACAAGCAACAGAACTTTTCACTGCGGATCAATCCATACTTAAGCTGAAAATATTCACTCATACTATATCAACTATCGGCTTATAATTTTCGCCATTTTTTGCTTGAATGTATTGACGACAGGCATATACAATTTTTTTATTTCACTGAAATGCAAAATGGGGCATATTTACAATTAAACTAATAAATAAAGAGCAGAATAAGATCAAACTAATAAATTCCTCAGCTACAGCTTAAAATAACTTTTACGAACCCAGCCCTTGCACAAATAGTAATAATTTAAAGCCTATAATGTAGTGTTAATTTAAAAAACTTCCTCAAAAAAAGTTACTTTTAAAAGACGGACATCTCGCATCCCACCAAATAATAATCACCTGATCTACTGGATGCTGGAACCAAAATTTTCAAAGTGACTACTGTTTAAAAGTGGATAAAATTGCAATCCATATCTCGAATTCTCCCCCCTCCCTCTTGTCTAGAACTTGATTATACCAAAAAAATTATATTCCTACAAATCTAGACTCGACAACTTTCTACAAATTCTACAAGATACCTCAAATTCGTGTGACAATATCCTGCGAACAGAATTTCATGAAGTTATGAAATGCTATTCATAAGCAGTCAAACTATTACAAAGTAAAAGATAAGTATACATACGATCTGAAAGTAATGAATTAAGTTGATAATAATGACTTATCTACAGGAATGAAGTAAAAATATAATGGAACAAAATTGAGATTGAGCTTTCCTGACAAAATATCTATATTTCTAGACAGTTTATAGAATATCAAAGGTAAAAGAAATATAAGTTTGCCTGCTACATCACCACTAATTCATTGTTTCATCAATAACAGCTATTACGTTTGTCTGAGCTAAAGAAGACACTGCTGGATCATCCATAATATGCAAATAATTATGATTAAGGAAACGAGCCATCTGAAAATGAAATCCAACCTTAAAATTTTGTTGGCAATAAATACAAACGTATTTCAAATCTTTTCTCTGATTTTCAGCAAAACATCTCTGCACTTTGATATTAATAAATACTTGCAATATACATTATTTTAGCAAGCCTCTTTATGACTCATAATTTCTTACCCATCAGAACTTTTACTGCCCAGTAAACTACGAAAAATTTTGTGAAAAAATTTGAATAATGTTACAGAGACAGCTGTAACCAAAGAAAAAAATGCTTAAACTTGGATATAAAACAGCTTACTTGCAAAAGCTGCAATGAAATATTGGTAAAGTGACAAGCGAAAAGGAGCATATTGCGTGGTTCAACACGCCATGCAAACCTCATAAAAGCTGCGGAGTAGATGCATAGAGCTGTAGTCATAGGACCTGAAGTATATTCACAAAGTTAAGAATATGAATAAAAATTAAGTTTTTTTTAAAACTCACGCTCTATTAGAGAATCATAACTGAGAACTGAAAAAGCTTATACACCTCAAAATATTAAGAAGGAAAAATAAAGCACCAAAATCCTGAAGATATTAACAGAACTAACCTGAAATGAGGTCAGGATTTTTCTTCAAATCTGCAATAGCAGCAAGTGGAATCCCCCAGTTAGCAACAGGACCCCAGAAATGAGTAGAACAGAAATAGTTCAACCATTCTTTTTTAGAATGACGCGAAAAACTCTTCAAAATTGAACTCATCCTGCAAATTGATTCTCAGTTCCGCACCGACAATTAATACAGCTAAGACGCGAATCGAACGGAGAATTAAATTACGAAGTAATCAGTGAAAAATAAATACACCAATATGATACTAAAATAACAAACAATTAATTCGGTGTATCGTAGAACAAAAACCAGCTGATTAAAGGCCGATTTTGCACAACACTATTTTACGATAAAACACGGCCCGTAATACTTGGCAAGCTTGCTTGATATGCAGATACTACAAGAATTCGATTGGAACTTGAACTCGCTTAGTCTATGCTTATATTCATTCGAAGAGCAAATGCACAACAATCAACAAGAAATGATGCCGAGGCCACAAAAAAGTTTAGGTAAGTGATAATTTAAATATAGTTACGGAATCATTACTGGACATATGTCTAAAATCATCCATAACGCATGGCATTTTACACTAGCAAATATGCTGCGCAGAAATGCTTCAGAATTTGCCTGAAAGTGGAAAATTGAGAATGCCACTATTCTTTCTACGTCTACAACATAGTTTATCGCTGATGATATTGAACAGGAAGTGACCTTTCCATATAGGTATATCTTTTTCGCATAGTAAGGGCACTTTCAGGTAATTTACCCAGCAACCCAGTTTGTAGAAGAGGCAATTTCAAGATTTCCTTCAAGAGTCCTTTTGCCCCACGCAGACCTCCAATCTATTTAGCTGAGTCATTTCATCATCAGAAACGACCATACTATCAAATCAGTTGTCCAAATGATAACTCATATTCGCCATATACCTATAAAAGCCCACAATATAAGGTAACAGTCATTAAATAGCTAAAATATCACTAAAACAAAAGATAAATAGCTTGCTTAATTGTTGAGTGCTATCGCAGTACATCATTGAAACTAATCGTTAAGCATTGATCGTTCCACTTCACTCATGAGCATATGTTAAATACCGGCATTTGAATTAAATTTAGGATCAAAAACATTCAAGTTCCAAAACGTATAGCTCTCCTACAGCTTTCCTGGAAAAGAACTGCAGTAATCATAGTGGTTTGCAATCAAGACCATGTATGAAAAATTTCAATGTCAACGAATATGTGATACCGGATATGACAACGAATCCTTGGAAAATGCTAGAAGAATCACTTGATGGAGAACTAAATAAAGAGTCATGCTAAATTTCAGAGGAAATGTAAATTACTCGCTGCATTCTTTGAGTAGATTAGATCCTTAAACTATTTCAAGGGATTAAAAAGACGACGAATACATGAATGTTGCATAATGGCTTCCTATTACTGGATCACACTCTTGGTATTTGGTATTTTTTTCACCTTATTTAAACGCTTTGGGTTGAAAATTTGTATAACTCCGTCTCTCATGCCTTGTATAAACTCGTGGATTACTTCCTGTTGTTTCTCAGTAAAACCTCCCAAGAATGAAATATGAAGTCAGTTACAGGAGACATTCTAGAAATGACATCTAGATTTTACTCAAGAAAACACTTAAGACCTCATGATTTCGAAGTGAACTGACGAGTTGAGCGAATTCAACCCTTGCGAATTTCGAAATGTTAAAAACAGTGGCAACTAACCAGAAAATTTTGGTTTCTCTGTCATAGGAAGCACGCAGTCCAGTATCGCGATGTATCTGGTCATCTACAATGTTGATAAGTAAGACCGTGGGTTGTTTCTCAACGAATCCCAAGCCTTTTACATATTATTACTAACACGTGTATAAAGTTCCCAACATTAATCATCAATTTGGAAAAACAATTGCCAATGAATCAAATGATAAATTTACAATAGGACTAAAAGACAGTTAGATCTAAAAACTGTAAACATAGACGACATTAAAACTGAATCATTTTGCACAAGACTAAAGATTTCGAACGAGCAAGCAAGCAAGATATCGGAATCAATTCGAGTCCCTTTCATACGCTGCCTAGGACAGGTGAACATTCATTCACATTTAGAATACCGAACGTGAGAGAGAACTTTTTGAATGGCGAATGGAATGTCTCAGAAAAGACCATACCTTTCTTGTGATCGTCCAGTACTTTGTAGCGAATCATTTCATACAAGAAATACAACAAGATAATGACGTGAAATAGTAACACAAATAATGATGCAACTGATTATTTGATTACCTCTCTTAGAAAAGCCAATAATCCATTCTTAAAAGCCGGAGTCCATCGTTTTCAATCACAGGCACCCATAAACCATAACCAATGAAAAATTCATTTAGCAAAATTGAATACTTTTATGGCAAACACCGTCTGCACCTCCACCCCTTTGACAATCATCACCCTAACGGTTCTGAATGTGTATTGGGTGACCGCTTCTTCTTAGAATTTTCTGATTTTAGTGGTACTAAAAGTCGACTCTGACTAAGAGCGATATGTGCTTTCGGTCGTATATCTGAAGTATTTGCCAATGGTGCAGCTAACGAATCTTCAGCATCTCCGCTTACTGCTTCCTTCCTTTTTTCCAAATTTGTTTTTGTCTGTGCTGCGGACGATGAATCTCCTAAATTACAGATATGCATTAAATAATTGTCTTTCGTTATGTATTATCCAACTACTTTTTAGACGACAGTGTCATATGCATCGATAACATCGATGTCAAATACATGTCGGCTCGCCACATGCGACCGCTTTTAGTGAAGAGTTATGAAAAAGATCGTTCCTCCAACAGACAAAAGATCCTGGGAACTGTTTTCATGGATACGATAAATTTGGAAAAGTGAAATAAGAATCTAGACAATATCAATGAAAAAAAACTCGAAAGACACATAAATATTCCTCATAATCAAGAAAGAGAGTTTCCTGTGAGCCTTGAACTGAATACACGAGCACTATTGACTCATCCCAACACAAAAATTGAATAGAACAATAAGCTTACCAACAAACTATCACACTAAAGGAATTCAATTTCATCTCTTCTGAAATAAGCAGAGTCTGGAGTCATTATAGTACTTATATTTTTCATCTCTAATTGCATATAAAATTAGAACTAAGTCAAGACAGCGAGCATATCCTCCTTTTTTTGTTATGATTTAAAAAAAATATCAAGGCCAGACAGGATATAAAATTCTAACTAGAAATTAGATCGAGATATCCCTGCAAATAAAGATATAACCGTAAGTACGATGTTATTTGTTTTTAGAACTAGAGGCTGTAATAAAATTATTGCTCACTACATACTCATGATTATGAGTTGAGCTTCCCAGGTTGAACAAGTCACATACAAAGGTTTGAGTAATAAAAGTGTACAATTCAACCTATAAAATACAATTGAACCTATAAATTTCTAATTGGCCAGCACACTTGCTCTTTTCTGCAACGCAAAATTGTTTCACATCAATACTGATTAAAGATTACCGAAATACAATACTCAAAAACACATATTCCAGATTTTCCTTCACAATCTTTTATTAAAAGATTAACAACAAGAAAGCAACATAAAACACTAACTCCACTACATTAAAGCCATCAATCTATTTAATTAAAAAAGGCATAAAAATTTTCGAACCAAAAATGTATTCATAAAATATGGGCCCCACCAAAAAATTCTTTTATTTCCTATTTTGAGCAAAGACCACGAAACATATAGTCATAAATATATAGTGAAAGTTTTAAATATCCCTGTCCATGAGCGACGCTTGTATTAACTATGTTGATTTGTTTGAAGTAGAAGTAGGAATAGTAACTGATACACTACCTTTCGGTTCCATTGATGCAAGTTGCCCTAATAATTCACTCAGCTGATTCTGCACTCGTGGATGTGTTTGGGTTGTGCATGTAGCAGATACTGACAAGGCCGACATCACCGCAGGTGGCAGGACACCGCTTTTACTGACAAGATGTAAAACTGATGCTGCTGCTGTTGGACTCAAATTGGCCAACAACGCACGTGCTGCTTCTATATTGCTAGGGTCTGCTTGAATGGCTCTAATTGCGGCATCCACATCTGAAGCAAATAAATAATGAGGTACTCTCATTTTTAGATGGTCCAAAATCCCTTGATTCACTGCATAATTCAAAAACTTTTCACAAGTACTCAGTTAAAAAAGTGCTAACAATGTTAGAGAACTTCGAGAAGTAAATTCAAAAATAAGCAACACACTTTTTAAAGAAGGTTCAGAACAAGCACTGTTTTCAGTGGATACATTTAGTCGCCCAATCGATGAATGAGTGCTTTTCATGTTCCCTCCAGAATCCAACTGAAAGTAAAAAGTCGATATGGTATCTTATGATACTTACTCAGTGTAGTATATATATTTAGAGATGTGAAAAAATAAAGACCTGATGAGAAGGAAGTGTAGCATGATGCTGCTGCACAAAATGTGTATGCGACTGTAATGACTGTGGTACTGTTATGCTGTCTTAAATATGTATTTTTATTAAGATTCCGAAAACTATCATTGAAAAAGAAGGCTACAAAATTTTAACAATATATAGAGCTAGCATTACACATAATTTAGTTTACTAGATCTAAAATCGATAAATATCAAAATAATTTAAATTATGCAAATTTTGTCAAGCGTCTTTATTTTACCTTTTTTTGTTCATTCAGCATCCGATCTTTTCTTCAATTTCATAAACCGATTTCGTGTTATAACACTGTATTTGATGAATGCATGTCAAAAGCTTCCATTAAAAGAACTTACTACCAGCCGATCGATTCCTCCGTTGTTTTTTCGACCATAACTCATGACAGTCTTGCCAATCTGGAAGTTTTGGTGGCCATATTTGTGATGGATCAACGTCTTTCAACCAAGGATGCATAAGTGAAGCTTTCGAAGTGATACGTTTTTTAGGATCGAGTTCAAGCATACGATCAAGCAAATCCAATGGCTTATCAGGAATGCTATAATTTTTACAAGAAATTATTGACCTAAAAGTCATTTAAGAATTAACCAGCTTTCAAAAATCAAAAAAACTAACAAGCCAAAAGCGTCACGTAAAACTCTGGGAAAAGAACGCTTGGGCCGAAAACTACAATATAGCGGTAATTTAATGACATCCGGCCAATTTTCAGGCGACGGTGTGCCACACAATTTTGATATCACATCTAATTGAACCATTTCAGTATTTCCTTGAAACATTGGTTTCTTTGTATATAATTCTCCAAGGATACACCTGGAATTCAACTCCATTTTTTGTAAACTTTTCGATTATTTAAGTTCCCACATTAAAAAAATTTGACCTACCCAACACTCCATATATCAACAGCAGTCGTATATCGTTCCTCCCCAAGTAAAAGTTCTGGCGGACGATACCAGAGTGTGATTACACGATTAGTATAAGGACGATCCTGATCTTCATTATAAAATCTTGCTAAGCCGAAGTCTGCTAATTTCAATTCCCCTCTGAAACAATTTTCGAAATCTGCTTAGAATAAAAACACAAAACAAGACACTTTAAAAAATCAAACCATACTTGTTATTTAGTAAAATATTTGAACACTTGATGTCGCGATGAAGAAAGCCAATTGAATGACAATATTCTAGTCCAGAAACAAGTTGCTTCATCAGTGATGAAATTTGATCGTTCGAGAATTCAACATACTGACTTTCCAATATGCCCATAAGATCATGGTCAAGATATTCAAAAACCAAATAAAATGCACCTGAAGTACATACTAGGAAGTTTGTCACTATAAAGCTGGACAAGTAAACATAGAATACTTTTTAAAATCAATAAAAGCAAAAATCGTCTAGAATAACACACCTTTATCTTTCCTGAAATCAGCAGCAGTTCGTTTATCAGTAACAATATCGATTAATCTCACGACATTCCGATGATTAAGCTGCCTAAGAATTTTGATTTCACGAACGGCTGTGATTGGAAAACCTTCTTTTTCGTTTTCCAAGCGTACCTTTTTTAAAGCAACCACCTCCTCTGAGAAAATTTTTGCATGAAATAAAGGATTACTCTTTTGAACGACAAGAATTCCTTGCTAGATCTGCTTTGTTTTTCAAAGGATTGGACATAGAGATACAAAGCAAATTTTACAATAGCTAATAACAAAATTTTGCCCCAAGAAATTGCTGGTTTCTTTTCACACTAACCCGACACAACAGACAAAATCGATAACAAAGACCGTGACACTTATACTTACGAGTGACTTTATCACGCGCTTTGTAAACTTGTCCATATGTCCCTTCACCAACTTGAGTCTTAATTTCATATTTTTCTACTGTTGAACAACCCCAATTTTCAGGATCTTCTCGTAACTTCAAACGTTTATTCAACACGCTATAATGTTTCAAACAATATTTCATCGATAACCACTTGACGACACAGGTATATAAGATTTAGAAATATGATTCTTAGAATTAAAAACAATAATGTCCGAACAAAGATAGAAAAAACTAAAGCAAGATGATAATTTATCATAAAAATATTGATGAAAATCAAAGAGACAAAATCTGCATATGCATTAGATAAACTTACAGAGGTCGTATAAACGTCCGCTTTGATTGAGGAGGTAAAGGTGGCGGAGCCGGTGGAGGTGCGACAGGGGGTACAGCAGTATCGCGCTGTGCTGGACGAGCTGTATTTGTAGATGCCAGTGTATTTGCATTTGGTGTGGCGGGAGGTGCAGGCGGAGGAGGCTGAGATGCAACTGGTAGACAAGGTGGTAAGGGCATTGATCCTGGCACAGGTGGAAGCGGAGGAGGGGGTATAATTGGATTCGGTACAACCGGAGGAGGTGGTATCGGTGGAGGTTGCGAATATGGAGGTGGTGGAATAGTAAAAGCAGCCATCTAGAAGTGTATTCAATAAATATTGTAAAGAATTGAGCAATAAATTTAGTGAATGCCATAATTAAAAAGTAAGTCCTATATTTAAACAAGGTTAATTAACTGTCACAAACGCTGAAGCAACACTACTGAAATCTGAATGTCCTTCCAGAAAAAAGCTCAAAATAAATAACAAAGAAAATTAGAAAATACGTACTTGGCCAGCGTATCCATATTGTGCAGTATATGCTGCCATTGCTACTTGATAAGCATGTGGATCCATACCAATCGGAGCTGGTGGTGGTGGTATGAAAGTTGGCACAGGAGGTATATACGGCACTGAAGGTGGAGGAACACTAGCTGGAATGACAGGGATAGGTGGAGGAGGAGGAGGCGGTACCACTAACGTAGATGTCTATAATAATATAATAAATACAATAACCTGAATAATCTGACTTATTTTGCAAACTACGGAATATTTTCATATTCGATGCAAAAAAATAAACTCATTACAATTTTTATTACACAAAGCCTTCTTGTGCACAAATAAAGTGTTAGTATATTCGCATTTAATTTAAATCAGGACTATTTTAAATTAAACTGAAAGCAATGAGGAATGTGCGCCACATGAATTTTTTAAAAAGTAAAAGCTCACTGAAGTTGGAAGACCCGAAGATGAAGTTGAAGATGAAGATGATGGTACACGCTTCCGTGATGAACGTTTTTTTAATTCTGGGCTATGCCTATGACGCTTCTCTTTCCATTCCTTAGCTGTTCGATCAATTCGTTTATCATGGTGCCTTGTCATAATCTCACCCAAAAGAGATGATTTCATGCGCATCCTAAAGTTGCATTCAAATTATTCCCTCATCTGACACATTATTATACATTATTATTACGAAGACGTGACGCAAAAAAATTACTCATTCATGCTTGATGATGTTGTGTCTGAGGAAGAAGTGCTAGACACAGATGAACGACTCCTAGTTCGCTTACGACGTCCTTCTCGTCTATCACAACGTCTTGATGATCTTTGTGGGCTACGACGACGTCTAGAAAGCTTACAATGACTGACTTTTAACGAAAAGTTTTCTGAATTTTAGGATAAGAAATGTAGATTCTCACGTTAAAAACTGAATCTAATTACGAGCATGCAAACAAAGAAAACCAAATAAATTTTATTCACAATTTGTTTATAATATCAAAAATCACGAACAAAAATACTTTTGATTATTGCGCCTATTTGTTTGCAACAGATCTCGGCGAGCATCACTTTTTCTGTGATCTGAACGACGTTCATGTTCTCTAATTTTCCCATTTACTGTCGGTGAAGGAGATCGTCTCCTTTTCCAGCTCCGAGTGACAGATCTTGACCTCGACCGTCTAAAAATACAAGATAATAAACACTGTGTTAGTTAATGACATATCACAGAATATGTCAACTAAATAAATAAAATTTAAAAAAAAAGTGCATTCTACCCTGCGTTGATTACTTGCATGATGATGTGATTATGAATAAAACTGCTTCTTCGTGTTCATGAAGATATTTTTCTACAAAAAACTGCTGACTTGTAATAACTAAAAGTTTAAAAATCTTGCCGGCTATGTGCCAGAGACTGCGATAACGATCTCCGACGTTTTTTTGATGTTTCTTTTGAATGTTTCTCTTTTTTTTTTGAAGAATGCATCGAATTGCGATTATGTTGAAAACCTTCGGGGGAAGGACTGCTAGCACTTGCTTCGTTGTGGTCACTTTTATTACTACACGATGGAGATGAACAATGTGTTTCTAAAATTCCTTTTAAATCTTGCCAAAAATATTGAACAGGATTGGGGATGTTAGGATTTATAGAAGTATGGAAAGCATACCTTTAATACTTTGCCCGGCTTCCGCAGGCTTATTTTTGCTCTGTGACAAATGACCTGTTTCTTTGTATACCATTGTATAACATTCCGCTTCTTTCAATATCTTGAGAAAAATTAATGATGGATTATTGAACACGATGGAAAAAAAATACGGAATAAACCCATATATATATAACTAACAACGAAATCAATGCGTGATGTAAACTCAATATTAATTCTAAGCGAAATGAGTACCCAACACCAATCAATAAATAAACTGAATCTGATATTAAGCAGTACTTTACAGGCTCAAAATACTGTATGCATATTACTAGGTCAGATTGAATTAATATGTCTCATTCTTGAAAAATCAGTAACATCTAACAATTATGTCATTTTTTTATATTCGTTTAATCACCATATTTTGCATAATGAAAGCTTATTAAAATGTTTGATTGTTCAAACACAATCAGAAGTGTGACTAAACTCGATGCCTAAACTTTCGAGATATATAAAAACCAGCCTTTTCTTGCAAATGAATGGCAAATTCCTCATCAATAAATAATTCAAAATATCACAGAACAAGTCCTATTAATTGAAAAATATACAAATACATCGCAAAATTACAAAGACAATGAATCCATTATTTTTAGATTATTGAAAACAACTATAATAGTTAATAATTAAATTATTCATTGCACAGATAACAGAAATTGAGTACATGTCTTAGTAAAAAGTGATTTTACTATGGAAAAAATTTTCTCTGCATAAATTTGCATGTACATACTTATATCTAGAAAATTTTTATTCATTAAAATCATTTCAGTACATATATATCTGTTATAAACTGGAATGAATTGTTTGAATAAACAGAAACGACATATTACTTGCATTAAACAAGGCACATTAAAAAAGTTATTTAAAGTTAACGTTCCATTTCAGACTTATTTCCAATTCAAAATGAAATAATCAGAATGAAAATTATCATAACTGTAGTGATGATATGAAATATTAACTAGTAATACTTACGAACAGAAACATTGCAATTACATATGACTAAACTCAAAGATCCAAGGATAGATATACACTCACACTCACACACATACATGCATACTCCTGAGCATTGATGACCGTTATGACATATTTTGTCTCACCGGCATCATGTACAACTCTCCAGTTCAGACGGAATTAGGAACACAGGTAAACAAACAACTAAATACAGTCCTCCATTTATATCTTACTTGGGTAACATTAAATACGACTTCAATTCGTTTCTTACTCGTTCGTGCCTTTGACCCATTACTAGAGCATTAATTTACTTTTAATGTATTTCATTCAACTTGGCCTAATTAGCAATGCTTATTATACTAATAGACCAAGAATAACATAGTAACTTTGCACAATAAACATACCTACAACATAACTATTTTGCTAAATAAACACATTCACGACATCCTCAGCAACAAATTAGTCCTCATCTTTTACATAAAATCAATCAATTTCTAAGCGACAACTCTTCAATACTTTGCTTCAATCGATAAACTATCCACAACCAAATGCTAATTTCAATACTCATATAGTGAAAAGACACATAAACTATTATACACTCACTGACAAGAATGCAACACCAAAGTGGAGCTCTTGAAAAAACATTTTATAAGCATCTGAATGGACGCAAAGAAAATTGAGAACTCTTTTCTTACACTTCACTTGCAGTGATCCACACACATGACATACTCGAGTTAAAAAAATAAGCACTAACTGAACCATTTAATGATGGCTATTATCGATTAGCAAAACCTTATACAACTCCAAAAACAATCCCCTCGAAACAGAAGAGTCACAAAATAAAGACCCAGACTATTTGTGTCTTGAAATAATACGTTCGAACTTTTCAGTACAGATGCTCGGAAAACTGCCATACATTTTTATTAGTACGAACATGCGTACAAAAACATTCAAAAAAATTATACATCCCATTATTATACAATTATACAATAATATATTCGATATCTAATGTGTTATAACATCAAAAGAAATCAGCAGCAGCTGGTCGGATTTTTTTCACGTTGTTATTAGATTGCCCAAAACTAAGCAAATTATCAGTAATTGATGAGCTGATCTCAACACAACAGCTAGCACCTTCCGTTCTTGTTTTTGACGTTTTTTCGACTATTACTTGCGCTGAACCTGGTGTACTTGACAAACGTGATATCCTGAAACAACAGCTTAAAAATTATTTTGAAACATAAGCAAGGAATCTATGTAAATGATGACCAACCTTTTAAATCACATAGCTGTTTTTCATTAATAATATCAACCATGAATTCCAGTAATTAAAATATCTATTATTTTCACCCATTGGTCAAAATTATAGATATTTAAAATAGTTTAATCTCAATCAACTCTTTACGTATTTGTAAATATTTCAAGCGATGTCATGAATCTCAATGAATAGAACTTATTTACTTTTACCAGACATGCTTAAGCTAACCTCGATGGAGACGGTGTGAGGGCAAAATTTAAACTCTTCTCTGAGCTTAATCGAATTCCCAATCCTTGTGCAGCAAGACGTCTAGCAGCAGGTGACATCATGGTAAGCTTTTCTGAACTGCGAACAGAACCAAAGTTGGGTGTTTTGCTAAAATGTGTTTTCAGTGTATAATTTTCGAAAAAATATATGATATTTTTTTGATAAAATTTCCCTAAAAGGTTTATTGGAAATTGACTGTTATGCAATACGTTAGAAAAAAAATGTGAAGACAGGTGACTGCATCAAAACAGCTTCTTAGAGACAACTATCTAATTCAAAAAAGACTGATGATAACAAGAAAGCGTTGGCAAAATTAGTATAGTCCCGGTAACGTAAGTAAAAACAATAGTGAACAGGAAAAATGAGATAAACTGACACATGATGCTTCTCCACCTGTCTCATTGCGATTTTTCGCTTATCATGATAACGCTTAGCAATTGTTTCAGTTATACTTTGAGCAATCTTTTCTCGAATTGGCATTTCTGGGATCTAAAAACAAAATGGGATATAAAAAAAACAGATACTATCTACTGTGACTGAAAAAATCATTAAATCTAAAACTAAATCGTAAAAAAAAGATTACTTTAAAAGCAGGAGCAGAACTAGTAGTAGCTATATCAGAAGCATCAAGCAAAAAGGGTGTCCCCTCGATCTCACCCCACGTCATAAATGGAGACTCATTTACACCTTGAATAAAGTAAACATAAGTATTACAGCAGTGAAAAGCAAATAACATTTTTTACTGTTTATTAAGTAACAAAAAGTGATTAATTTGCTCCGTGAGAGATTAACGTTAGAATCAGAAGAATGAAAGAAACTACAAAATTTCGTCCATTACTGAAACTTTAGTACTTTCATAAGAATAAATCTACCATGTATTTCTTATGATTTTTTACTATTTGTAAGTACTAATTCAAACTGCATTATATTAATCTAAAGTATTACTTGATCATAAAAGCATTAAAAGTTCGAGAAATCCTGAGTCTGAAAAAAATAGAATAATTACCTGGTGCTGGTGAAGGTGTTGCAACTAATCCCATTGCCGCAGCATTTGAAGTACCAATTTCACGTCCGGTTATGTCCACTTTACCCGGATTCACTTTTGCATGTTGTAACAATCCAGTATTCTGCAACTAATTACTAAGCAGAATATTCAAGGGATATCTTTTTTTCTGAAATCAAAAAACTCATCAAAAAATAGATATTACCATATTTTTATTGCCATTCATTGTCTCTGTGAAACGAGTGGCACTTTTATTGATAACCTTTTGATCTGCTTTTTGCCGTTGAAAATGTTCTTCCAGTGTTAGCGGTGCTTCTTCTGGATGAAAGTGTACTACATTTCGAGCCCGATATGACCAATTATCCAGCTCTTTACATTTCTCTACAATAAAAAAATGACATTTGTCTTGCACATTTCAGCAAATCAATTTCATTTACATAAATATCAAACTTGCTACATGACTATTCACTGAATATGGATGAATTTTAATCATCAAAGATTTGAATTAGTAAAAATTATTTCACAAAACAATACAATGAACTATGAAGTACTCACTCAACACCAATAATTTAACCACATAAGTTGAAGTCTTGGAAAACATGAAAACATGAGACAGTACATACGTTCAGCTATTCCGGGAGCAGCAGTAATCATAAGTTGCTCATCAGCTGCTTTAATTAACTCTTTGCCCCTTTCAACGAACTTTTCATTATGTTTCTTTTCTGCTTCATACATCCAACTATTACGAATTTCTTCCTTTTTTCTATGCAACAAATCAAGTTCTTCAAAAGAAGCGTTATCTTCCGACGTATACTTATTTAAGTAAGCATCAATTGTAAGCTTTTCATCTAACTTTTTCTTCTGAAATTGGATTTCATACAAAATAATTCAAACTATCAAATAAAAGGCATACCTGCATATGGCTTATTGATTTGCTGTTGTCAATAGGAACAGATTTTTAGCATTGAATTAATAAATCGTTTTTAAAACTAAATGGCATAAGATACTTTATCAAATTTCGAATACTCGAGAAAATTTTTTCACAGCATAATAGACAATAACGATATTTGCCGTCTCAAGTTTTCATAGGAATAGACTGATTATTTTTACTAATTAGCAACTAATAAGAGTGAGTTTTAATCTAACCTTCTTCAATATTTCGCCATCATCTACTACAGTTTCCAGCTCTGAAGATACACTATTCCAAGGTGTTTCAGAGAATGTTGCGGGAGTATCAATACCATTGGTTGATAATGTTTGGTCAGTAGTTTGTTTTCTGCTATAACGCATCTGTAAACACCGAATTTTTGCCACGTCATTAGCAGCCACTGCATCTAAATATTCTTCTTGAGCCTGCAAAACCATTTCAAATGCATTACTTTTGATCATGCTTCTGAGAAATAATATTCACATAACAGCACTGAAAAAGTGTTGTGTGTTTCATCTTATCAATAACTGTTTGAGTAGAAATTTTATCAAAGGCTGAAATAAACTGCAGTACATAAAGATTTAATTTCTACTTGAATATACATAAATACAGAGAAAGAGCTTGAGCTAATGTTCATATACTCCTCTTTTCAAAATTCACTGAGAATGCTTTTCAAATAGAAATGCGGACCACGCTAAAATTAAGAAACCGTAACTGAGTATTTTTTTTAAATGACACCCACATACCTTTAGTTTCGGTAATTCAGGAAAATAATCTCTTATAATTATTTCTTGAAGTTGACTGATATACTTGTCCTCAGGTAGTACAACACGAATTTCTTTTTTCGTTCTCAACTTTTTAGCTCCAAGAATTACCATCTACAATGAGAAATAACTAGTTAATTTCTTTCCGACAACTGAAATTGCAGAATATAAAAAGCTTAATTAACTGAATCATTTACCGAAAAAACGCTTTAAATTAAATTTTACAGTTAATATTATATCAAACGTTCATTGAAAGCTACGTTTGTTGGTGATTGAAGAGAATGAATTCAATATTACAAGCAAAATATAATCTCGCATTAGTCTTGTCAAGAATTATTAAATTGCTTAGCATATCATCTTACACAACCATTAATTGCTGCTTCATTTAGTCAAGTCAGTCATTTCAACTAGTATTTACAGCAATATGACAGTCAAAATACCAAAAACAAACATTACAGAACTTTACTGCGAAGAAATATATTTGTTGTTAAAATAAAGTCAAATGCTTCATTAAATCGACGAAAAAATAAAAATATTGGAAAGGAACACACTTTGGAATTTTCCACTTCTGGCGTCGGTTTCGAGATTGCCCGATTAATATCATCAGATGACGTATGGGTATCATACTCGGGAGTAGTCATCTTTCAACTGATATATACCACAATAGAAGAACAAATGTCTTATACCAGTAATTCAAGAAAAAGAGAGATTAAAATTAATACGGATCAGTTATGCAAATTTTTATCTCAAGTAACAAATGAAAACCATCTTATCCCAGTACTGGAATATTCAAAACAAGTCTACCTTCATAGACTATTCACTACTTATTTGTATATCAGTCATCAGCTTTTCATGAAAGAACACCTGCACTTACAAGCAAACGCATCCACACATACATAAACAGCAAACACATATCCAAAAGCAATTGCATTACATATAAGCGGTTACGTGACTACTACTGTGCTTTACGTGGAAGCAAATGTTTTTAAATCACAATATATGCGTCAATGAGCATGATACATTCCCACTAACGGGAAACTAATATTTTTGGCTTCTTTTACTCGTTCTCTCAAATGTGCATAACTGAAACAGATTACGAGCCCTTTAAATTTTCACCGCAGTATTCGTTTAACAGAAAGATCCATGCTCGTAATCCGTTTCAGCTGAAGAGATTTGCACTCAATTGCATTTTAGACTTGATTTTATGTACCTAAAGAGGTTTTGCCAGTAATTGGACAAAATACACAAAATATGTTAGGGATTATTTGAAATTAAGGACGAAAATATTTGCACAGCCGATGAAAACAATATATTTGACTAATGCGTCAGTATATGCATTTATTTAGCATTCAAAATTTTAGACTTAACTTTGAAATTTTTGAGCGGTAAATTAATAATCTCTTGAATATACGAGTGATTTCGCTTATGGAACTTTGAAGATTATGTATGTTGCGAATATAAAATCAAAAATTGCATAAATTAGAGAATTTCAGTAAAAGCAAGTCAGTCAGTCAACATGACAGTATCCTACAGTATGAATATTTCCACAGCATCGATATTTGCATTCCTAAAATTACTTTTTCGTTGGAAAGCTAGCATATGGAAGCTTGTCTTGAAGGAATTACTTATCTGGACAATTTTATACTTACTTATTACGTACTGCTTCAGATCTGACTTGCTTATGACTAAAGAAAGTAAAAGGTTTATTGTTTTTTCAATTATATTTTTTCACTTTATATTATATAATTTTACTTCTTATCCAGTAAAATATATTGTATATTTAATCAGTTCAAAACACAAAATATATGAATCTGTAAACTACAATAAATTATAATGAAAAACTTTTCAGAATTTGAAAAGATACTTTTTCATTTTTTAAACACTAATTTGCATTAACTTTTGTATAAATATTTTCAAATAAATGGACAAAAGATTTGAAGAAAAATTTTTGTAAATATTATTTGAATAATTTTTAGTATTTTTAAACGAACTGCTTCTTACTTTGGAAACTACCTAAATCAAAGTAATCTGACATTCATTTTGGGATTTTTCGTTTCCTCAGTAGCAGTTCGATGGAATGTTCTCTTACAAAATCTGGGCTACATTGAAAGGTTTTTCTATTTTTGTACTCATGCATATTTAACTATAATTATTAATAAATTATTATTACACTTTTATAATAATTGCTATTATCACAGTGATTAATTGCTGCCAATATTATTACAATAGTAGCAAAAAAGATCGGAGTACAATATTTAAAATTACTTTCGAACGCAATTTATAGAAATATCATTATTTTCATTTTATTTGAGCAGTTCACCTTTTCAACTATTCAATGGATTTATATTTAGTACTAAACGTAACAATTGTTCATCAACTGTAATAACAGCAGTTGTTTCAATTATGATTATTATTATTATTATTATTTCAATTATTATGTAATCATTACATTCATTGTAAATTATATTATCATGGTAAAAAAGAACTCATTATTATTGTTATTATTACAACAAATGGCAATGGTCTTTGTTATGAGTGTGTTGAGATTTTTTGTTTAGTAGTTATAAATTTTCAAGACAATAAAAATTAAAGTTTGGCTTTGTTTGTGAGCGCATATATACGAGGTGAAGACGAACAATCCCGAATGTACCGCCGAACAATTGTTAGAAATGCTTGCCTAGCACAATGTTTAGTGCTTCGGAATATTAGCGTATCAGTTCGTAAACGTTTCCCTACAATGAATGATTTAGTAGAGACTGGTAAATTCTATATTTATGCCTCGAAAAGTTCAAATAATTAGCATAATTTGTTTTAAAGCAAACAGTCAAAAAATAACTTGAATAAATTTAAAAAGTATATAAATTCAATGTTGCTTTTTTAGTTTTCCAAAAATTTTCAACTGCAGTTATGAATGATATAGGATATATGACGCAGAAGGAGTTAGAGAATCTCGAAAGCTGTCAGTTGCAATACGATAAGCATTGGATGCCAATTATGTGGTCAGTAACACATGTAATAAATGCTCGAAGGACAGGCAAAGTGAATAATGACATGGAAACAAATAAGCTTTTGGATGTTAGCATTGATTCACGTATTTCAATTATTTTCCATACTTTTCCTTATGCTTGCTATATAGTTTGTGTTGATTAATCAGCATAAAAACAAGTCTGAATCTGAAAAATCGTTCTGATCAGTTCAGGGGTTATTTTGATTATTAATTTCTTTCTCTCACTTGCATTTCATAAATTTTAATCTGATAACTTCCAGGAATTAAAAGCTTTTCGAAGTTGCCTTCAAATACTAGCAAATTATGATTGGGTACCATTACCTCTAGTATATCCACAGGTATTCTGTATTTATAACTTACTTTAACTTTTTTTTACTTCAATCTTCACTGCCAAGTACAAGTTATTAATTATGCTAAACTGCAAACCGAAAATAATTTATAAATTTCTACTTGCTTAATTTCAATTTAAGGATAATTCTCTTGAATTAATTGCTTGATATTTGAATAATGATTGTAATAATGCAGTACAAAAGAGCAAAATGAATAAAAGTTTAAAAAATATTATCATTCAATTGCTTGGCAAATTTGTTCATGAAATTTTTGATCAATTACCAATTTGAAGGTAATAGGAAAATTTGTAACCTAATTCATATATTAATACAAACAACACTGTCATCTTGATTGGTTCAGAAGACATCCTGACCTCTTATTTTCTTTCCATAAAAGGAAAAGAACAAAAGTTCATCAATTATTAAAACAAAATTTTAAAGTAAAATTGTGAAAAGGTTGTAATGATATATCTGGTAATATTCCAGGTTATAACAATATCTGTCTACTTCTATTTTATTGTATGTCTTTTCGCCCGACAACATTTTCCACAACCTACTACAACCACAAATGAGACAAAACCTCAAGTAAATCAAAAACAGTACTTTTAACCTACTATCTGTTTACCTATGTTTTGTTTTGTTCAAATACAAGCAAGCATGTTTACCGATTTAAATGAAACAAAATTTGTGCTTGCAGAAAAAATACAATAAAACTGTCCTAAAACCAAAATCCTTCTGTGTTCATAAATATTTCTGACGACTATGCATATACAGGTAGACATTGTACTACCGATAATGACTATGGTGGAATTTCTATTTTATGTTGGCTGGATGAAAATAGCAATGAGTTTATTGAATTCCTTCGGTGAAGATGATGACGATTTCGAGTGTAACTTCATTATCGACAAGAATTTTACCGTATGTTTTTCAATCGCATAACGATCATTTTAAATGAGCTTCTATTACGCTAAAACAAAATTGTTGACTCATCTCGTGATCATACAGAAACATTTATACAATTTGAGTACTCAGAAAAATTAATTTTACAAGTTACAAGAGATGATACTGTAGTCCAACAAGCACAATGGCTTGCGACGTCTCCCATATGGACCACATGCCGAAAAGTTTAAAAGAAAAATTAAACACTTGCATTTGCTTGAATAATTCTACTTAAGCTCAATTCTTTGAATGTTTTTGTTCTTGGCAACAGTAACTATGACAATAAAACTAAAAACTAATTACTATATTACTAAGGTATTTATACTGCCTATAATTTTCAGACAGGATTATATATCGTTGATAAATGTCGCAACGTGGTGCCAAATATACATTCCCAAATAGGTCAAATTTCATCGATTACTTTTGAAAGATTATAAATCCGCAAACAGTAACATACAAACTTACCTTACATTTTTTTCATGTATTATTGTCGTGATCAGAAAGTGAGTTCATCGTTTTTGACGATGCGATGTAAATGCAAATACTTTCACTCTGTTGACTGATGCAATTTCAATAACAGAATCAAACATCAAAATCAAACAAAAATTCAAATGCACTTGCTAAACCAACAATTTCTGGCTTATAATAAGATAAATTTCTGACACGGCTGTCTTCAGATAAAGACTGAGAAAGCTTAATGAAAATAAAAACTACCAGCACCTTCATCATCATACCTAAAAGCTCAAAATTGCTCTCAATACATCATATTTATTTCATTTAATCATAAGCCCTCGTATTAATTTAAGATCGACGGCTCTCCTTGAATAAAGTATAAAAGACAAGGCATTACTATTATGTAATCCAATTAATGAAATACTTCTCCATTTTTATAATTATCGTATTAATTTAACTACTCAGTAGTAAATGACTGTCAAGCTCTATTGATACACGATATATTTCCTGTTCATGGATACCGATACTGAGATACCTACTTCTCTACGACATGACTATCACAAGTTATTCAATTAGTTTCGAACAATACACTAAATTACCAGCACCTTATCATACCTCAAAACCCAAATTGCTCTCAATATAAAAAAACGCCTGCATTTTTATATCAAAAACCTTAATAAAAAAATTATCCAAACAAATCACAGCAATACTGAAACCACCAAAAATTACTTCTGGGATAGGATTATGAAGACATCAAAACAATAAAAACTTTGAAAATGATATGCAACACTGATTTGCAATATCGGAAAACACAATCAAAGATCGGTGAGAATATTTACATTTAATATGAACAAAATTATAAAGACATATCTTCATAGCTCAGAGAGAAAAATTTATGGTATTTTTTTCTGCATTTTGATGCGAATATTTAAAATAGTACAAGCTATATGTATGTTCTAAGGCTATCCTCTATTCCGCACTTTAGTATAGAATGAATGTCACTTTTATTCCTTATGCAATAAGCTCTTGGATTACCAACATCCCAAAAGTGACCATTATTTTAAACATTATAATTCGAAATAAACTATTTCATTAATCACAAAGTTCTATTATTATCACCAAACAAAAACAAACACAATATTTAGCCCTGATGCAGTGAATGTTTTATATTTTATAACTGAACGCTCATTTTCATGACTGCACAACACTATTATACTTCTAAAATTTTAGAAATGACGTTATTCTCAAACACACAGAGAACTCAAGCTAGGATAAAAGTTGCGCATCAATCATCACCTTCTTTTTCCAGACCTAATTGATCATATTTGAGCTTTTTGACAGGCGATGGTTCGTCTGAAACAACAGCTCGTGAAGCAGCCGCTAAAGCAAGCACTGCTAACCCGTCTTCTGTACCCTCCCCACTTGACTGCCTTGAAAGCAAAGGAGCTACTCGTTTACTACCAATGCCTGATGAACCTCGTTGTTCAATTTCCCTACAAAAAAAAATATTTCGTCTAAAATACACGTGTTATCCCAAGCATTCATTTGAAGAAAATCTAAATCATCCAGTTCATTTAAAACACATAAATCCATAACAAACCAGGCAAAATATTTTAGTACCCATTGCTATTAAAGAAATTCTTGAACTACCTTTGCTATTACAGGATATATCAGGAATTTTTTCAACTAACTTAATACTATATTAAAATATTCAAATTACTTGTTTTCATAAAAAAACAAAAATATATTTTGATAAAATTCTCAGCAGAAATAATTGAAAAATAATACATACATTTGTGAATTTCTTTCAACTAATCCAACTCGCATCCGCTTCTCAAACCCCACTTTCTGACTTACTGATGGTTTTTCAACTTCCGACTTTTGCCACGAGGAAGATGGTCCATCTATTCTTCCAATCATTTCTGTAAAAAACCCTCAAGTTGTAATTTTCACTCTATTTACTACAATTACTGATTTTGATTTGCTCCTGATGAGCCTCTAATAACTTTCCCAAAAACATAACAACTTATTTAGATTTACTGTAAAAACTGATGAATTTATATCACCTTAAATATCCGCTATCAAAGAAAATTATAATCTAAATGAGACAAAAATAAAGACAGTTCCCTCAACTAGAGCGTAGAACGGGAAAAATGCTTTACCATCAGGTTCATCATCTTTATCTTCAGACGGGGCTAAATCAGCAGCTATACTAGCTACCGCTGCTGCAGTTTCCAAAGTCTCTGCTGTAGATGGTGCCTTAGCCTCTGATGTCAAACGAGCTCGACCTGTCACTGGCTTTGCTACCTCCTAAAAAATGATAACGAATACATTTTATTTGAAATTCAACCTATTTGAAACTTCTGAAATAAAAAATGGCACCCTTCGCAATGTTTGAGGTGGAGTAGGACGAGGGTAAATTCGTGGAGCAGTATAAGATAATGAATCGATAGCTACAAGACGCGATCGTGCATTTCCTGAATTTATTATAAACAAAGGAATACAAGTGAGAAATGTAAAACATATACCAACTTATTTGTTGAGAGCAATATGAAAAAAGCGGACAATAAATTCGTAGAAATTTAAAACCCAGAAATATTAGTATATGGAGAAAGCAAAATAATGAAAGAGTCTAGTGAAATTCCTAATTTGAAGTTAGGAATAATATAGCTAATGTAAACGAGATAAAGAAAATGCATTAGTAAGAACTCACCGCCAACAAACTGTCGTTCATCTCTTCGTCTAAATGGAGCAGGAATTTTAGGTACTGGTGCTCTATAATTACACTTTAATGATTTGTTCCAACTTTTCTTTCTTCACTTAAATAACAGTTCAGACAGCTTGAGCATTATGAAAAATAAGAATTGATGGCAAAGAAAAATGGATAAACCAGGGAAACAAAAGGACTCATTACCGGCAGGAATAATCCATTGGGGAAACGACATTCGATGGTGCTCGCCGTATTCTATTGTCAAGTGAAATAGTACTACGATTACGCCAATTTGGTAATGGTCGAGCTTAATGATTTTTGCACCACGTTAGTATAGAAGAATATTGAATTAGAAACGCATTTAAAGAGAAACATTAAGGATGAAAATATGGATTTTCCCATTTTTAGTGAATTTCAGATGATTCAAAACAATAACTGAACTTACCGACAGTCGCGATATATCGCGGTGCGAATCGCACTGGCTGACCTGGAACTGATAACGCACCTGCACGATTTCGAAATACAATCTGCAGACAAGTTTTGATCAACTCGAATGATTGAGAAAATTTATTCGCATAAGCCAAAACAAAAAATTACTGGTCTTTGCACGACGGGCCTAACATTCGAATATGTTGAATTCGCTGACATGGGTGTTACTGCGTTACTGGTTGATCCTAATGATATTGTCTCTGGAGCTTCAACAACTGATTTATTGAAAGGAAAATTACTCACAGGTCTGAAAAGCAATGAATTAAGTACTCACTAAAAAAACGAAATCGAAATCAACACTAACAACTAAAAAAATTTAATATTCTAATTACAGCTACCATAATTTCGAGTAAGCTACCATTGCGTATTTCATAAAGTAAATTCATCTGCATATTATAAAGAACTTAGATTCTGGAAATTCACAGTCCTTAAAATTAAGACTTCTTAGTAAGCAAATATGTTTTACTGTGCAAAGAATAATCAGTGAGTCATACTAATTATGTATGGAATAATGCAATTACATAACCTTCTCTGTCCAATTTTCGAAACGAAGGAGGACAGAGGAGTTGTAATTCTTCTAGAAGACAATTGTGACGCTGATGCTGCTGCTTTAGATGGTCCGCCACTCAAGAGTTCATGTACCATTGTTTTCGACACTTGTTCTTGAGAACGACATATAGAAGGAGTCAAAAAATTATCTAAAAATTTTTTGTTTTGAAACATGTCCACAAAGCAAAATTCTAATATGAGATCGATGAAATCATGAGTAATTGCTTATAGTAATGACAACGATATAGCTCCATGAATATAAGCCATGACGACACCAGTTAAAGTATATTATGAATGAACAAAAAATGAAGGCTAAACAGTACAAATTATCTATAAATCAGCAAATGAAACCAACAGAAACATAATTTGTAAGTTGAGAGATGATTATCTAAAAGCACCAAACAATAACTTTTTTTTACTAGTGATATATTATGTATGCAGTACATAATGACTACTAATCTAAATCGAAACCGCAAATATTAGATAGTAAAACTCACTTCCAAGATATTCCCTTGAATCCGGTAATGGAAATCGCGATACAGCAGTCCTCCTACAAATTTAACTTAATACAGAACATAAATAACAAATATTTCCATAACACGTATCGAAATCCGTCATAAGAAAATCTTCACATGTAAGATATAAAAAAGTTCAGAAACCTCTGATTTACCTTGTTTTATTCTGCGGAAAATTTTCAGTTGTAAATGGTCTAGTCCTAGCGCAAGAATTCATATTCTCCTCTAGCCATATTTTATTTATCGATGTCGTTTGCGATACATCAGTTGCATGTCTGAGAAAATGAAAGATAATTATCCGGAAATACTAAATTATATTTAAAGATTTGACTATTTGAAATCCAAAAAAGATACCTAAGAGGAAGTTGAAGGTAAGAATTTATAAATTATTTATTCAAACTTTGGTCTCAATTTGGGGAAAAACCAAATTGATCAAAATTTTAAAAAAGTTACGAAGCAAATGGAGAGAAAGAAAGTAAAATGAAAAAAAAAAAACAGGAAAGAAAAAAAGGCAAATACATTTACACAAATAAGTTGCCAAATCTTCAGACGAACCTAAGAGCTCCTCTATTTGATAATTGTACTTTCTGATTAGTTCCCCTTTTACCGTCTCTTTCATCAATTACAACATACTTAATCGGATGTCTCGAACTTCCGGCAACAGAGCCTGCAAATTATAAATATACACAAAAAATAACAAGCGAATGAATGGCAATTAGTAAGGTACATTTCACTTCAGCTGAAAAAAAAACTTTCATCGCAATAATATCATTGAAAAGATAAGCCTGAAATTTGATGATTTCATCCATGTTAAAGAAGTTAGAAAAACAAGACTGCATTTGATATTCTTCGTATCAAAAAACTGCAGTAAATACAGATATTTTACATAAAATTAATTAAGATACTTGACTATATTGTACAATACTAATACTGCAACTAACCTTCGCCAGATGGCAAATCTAGAGCATTCTGACCCGTCTGTATACGCACAGGGCATTGTAACTGAAAAAAATTAGATATGTCAATGATGAAATGTCCTATCTACTGCCTATATTTGCACACTTGATTATTTGACAGTTTCCACAAATAATTTTAGCTCATTTTAATAGTGAATACTCCACGATGCTTTCTTCAAAAACTGAAATTGTTTTTCATTTACACTTGGATCACTGACTTCTATTAAAAGTATTTGTATGACAAAAACTATAGGAGACAGTACCTGTTCTTTAGGAGCTGTAATGTTGGTTTTTAAATCATTATTTGTTGAAAACACTCCTTGCTGCAATGTTATCGCTTTCCGTTGTTCCAGTGTATTACTCGAAGCTTGTTTTCTTTTACCTTCAAAGTAAATATTCGATTGCGAGACAAAGTTGAGATTTGAATGAAAATGCTATGATAAGATCCTCTTAGAAAAACCAAAAATGATGGTATATGAGCACGAAAATGGTTACGACAAAAATATTAATGTCTTCTGCACATTAATATTCATATAAAATTAAAAAGAAACCAAGCAAAGCAAACTGAGGAATGAGATTTCTGAAAAAAGGACTCAGAAAATTTGATGAGATTAAAACACATATTTTGCATCTAATAGATTAAAAAGGTTGTTACCCATGTGTCTGAAACAGAAATTCAACCCATCTTCGAAATTTAAACCCAATAAGCCACACTCCAGGCACGGAGCAAATAAATTTTGTTGAGGATCATTGTATACATCTAAAATTAATGTATGAAAATCCAATTTACAACTACATAATAACTACATACCTAAAGGAGTAACTTATACAAATTAATTTGAAATTAAGTGCTCAGAGATAAAACTCACGCTCGACACAACAACTTAATTTAGGAAGTGCCCAATTCGAACATCGTCGCCCAACAATATTACTGTCCAGAGACACTAGCAAATTGTCTCCGGATTCCAAAGCTTGTTCTACTTGTTCACACAAGTCATACAGCAAACATTTGACAACATGAGAAACATCTGTACTTTCTTCAACTAGCTGACTACTTGTTACAGAATTCGGTCGTATAGCTGTTTTGTCATCATAACCATCATTCAACTGAAGTTTTGTGTGTACATGATCTTCCTAAAAAGCCATCATAAACAGTACTAGTCAAGTTTTTCACAAACAATCCGATAACGAATATGAATTGAGGAGAAAAGACTCATTTGAAAATTAAGGAAAAAAACACCTGGTTTTAACTAATCATTATTTTGTAATGAAAAATAACTCACATCAGGAATGGAGTAATGAGAACACTGTATATTCAAATCATCCGTTTTAAGATAATCTAGTTTATGTTCTTCGGAACCATCCCAAGCAAGTCTTGCCTTTAACTTTCTTAACCAATGTTGCTTTTTTTTTGAATGACAATGATACTTCTTATTCGCGCATTCAATCATTAACGAACGCTCATCTCCGACCAATCTTGTCTCTAAAAACTTGACTGCATTCACAATAAGACATTTAATAACTTCATTGTTTTGAAGGAGTTAATAGTAAACATCTCTTAAGCTCTATACAATATCTTTCTAATATGCAGGTATTAAAAAAGAAACTTTAAACCACAATCATGCATCATGGAAGTAGAGTTCAAAACTACCAAAACACTCAAAAATGACCTTTTGCTTCACTTTTTTCTCCACTTTCGGAATGGGAAGCAATAAGCCGACGTGTTTTCTCCGCTATCAATTTTCGGAAATTCCGAATGCACAGCAACTTCCGTTCAAGAGCAGCAAATTGACATCTGAGAACTTCTTCATCAGTCCACACTCCAGCATTCCTGTATTCACAGGGAAAACTATGAGACGAAAATAAAATATATAACAATCAGCCAAGTCATTTTTGAAAGAAGTGTATAGGTAATAGTGTCCAACATCATGTAATTATGAAATATTCAAAAAATAACAGAAGCTGGAGTACCTGCAAGAGTATTCAAGGGCAATTAAAGAAGTGTATAGATAATTCAAAACGTACTTCAGAGGGTCCTCATCATCATCGTCCAAAAACAAATCATTAAGCATATCTTGTTCAGTACAAGACCAATCTTTCACTGTCATCAGCGTCTCATCTTCAGTACTGCAAAATTATTCAACGTTAATACAAACCAAACCTAAACAAAATTATAGACAATAAATTATCAGCAAAGAGATAAGATGACTTGCATTTCAGATGGATCCTGTGGTTTATTCAATAAAAATCTTTCAGTACGTTGTTGTTCTGCTACAGCATATTGAGCCAGTTGTTGGAAAAAATGAGTGTGCTATAACTCACATCATAGCAATAAACAAAATAATAGAAAAGTTCACAGTAGTGTTTCAGAATATCTAAAATCACACAAATATAGTAGCTATTGAAAAACTTGACTTCTAAAAATTTTAGAGGAATCCCTTTTCCTGTTATTTTTTTGAAACGAATATATATCAATGAATCACTTTGAAGTATAAAAAGCTATAAATGGATATATTTTAGGCTTTTTCAACCCAAGGCATAAAATATGAAACACTTGGAGTTATCGACAGCGTATATTTAAAATATGGCTTCAGTTCTCTGTCCTAAATTATGCTTACAATACCCTACCCTAACTGTAGTATTATTTATTTATTCGAATGCCTAATATTACGATTCACTTGACTCAAAAAATACAACTACGGTCACGTTAATAAAGATGAGTATCCATACCACTTCACAGAACCCTTCTGAAGTCAGTTCAGATGGCAAGCGATAATTCTTGCATGCCAACTGCGTTCGACGGCTGACATATGCACATTGCTGTGCAGATTCACGTTTTGCATCATCATCATCATCGATTCGATACCTCCATGCTCGCCGATTAAAATGCATCCTAAGATTCCCTTCACTCTCTTTTTGTTTTATTTTCTGAAAAGTACCCTATAGATAATTCAAATTGTTTACAACTGAAGAAACATTCACACAGAGAATACACACTGAAAGTATTCATTCTCCTGACTTCACCTACATGGATTGTGATTTACTTTGTCATCCCATACCACTTAGAAATGGACTTGACCCATGACAACGTGAGAAAAGTTTACATCATATGCTGCTCACCTTACAAATAGCTGTCATAGTAAGATCATCATGCAATGCATGGCCAAATTTCTCATCACCCATCTTTGATCCTAATGTGGTCATAACAGCTCAATTTTTGAGAAGCGAAGACACAGACCCCTGAAGGAAAATAGAAACCTTGATTAAAATGAAGATTACTGAAATAAGAAATAAACTGCCTCACTGTACAAGAATTTTTGATGGCAACCATTACGGAAAACAGGAATTGTTATATCTTCTACATGTAGATGTGCTACCAGATAAACAATTATAGTACTGGTACTTTTTCGAAATCAACAAATTCCATAATTTAAATGTTTATTTGGATCCACACAGAACATTCACATACAACGAAGCAAGCAAACAATATATTAACAGTAATGAACAAATAAGTATTTATAAGAATTACTTGATGAAACTATGGTTCACGTAATACAGCATCAGTTATTTCAGTTCCTTTAGCTTCATCCAGAAACACACATACTCTGTGCTCCAGCCATGCTTGATCATTCTTATGCTCAAAAGAACTACTACTATTTTTATATTTTAAAGTTAAGGCTAATTTTCTATTTTCACCCTCAACAGAAAACACGTTAAGCCTTATGCCGACTCGATGCCGTCGTCGAAATACAATCATACTGAAAAAAAAAGGATGAAACAAACTGGAATAATCACATGTCAGATCACTAACATTACGGAATATTTTTCATCTCAAGCTCACATGAACGTTCTAAACATGATTCGACCAATAAAAATTGATGAAATAGAAAAAATCAAATTTTTAAAGATTTCTTTGGATTCAAATCCTAAATAATGATGAATAAATATACGAGAGGTATGCAGAAATATACCAAATTTTACACAACAGAAATGAACTACACTAGCAAAAGAAAATAATAGGACATGAAAAAATAATTTACCCTTCGCTTTCATTGATATTTATATCTGACGTTTCACTCCATTCGACTGTATCATCTCTGTTTGGTATTGACAACTCAATCACGAACGACTCACACTGAAAAATGTCTATCATAAACAAATGAACAATATTCTGAAGTGAACCATAAACTAATGGTGAAAAATTATTTGGAACCCTTTTAAGTTATAATTTATACCTTAACATAAGTTTCATCCTCACGCATTTCTGGCATGATAACAACTTGTGTAAGACTCATCGAGAAATTGGATACAGTCAGAAAAAGTGGACAACACTGATTTACTACGAGAGAAGCTTGCCGTGACAAACGAATGTCAGGCACGTAATTTCCAGCCAAAACCTATAAAAATATAAAAGTATTAATAAAGCAAAATAACTAGTGAGACACTGGTACGGAATAGAATGATTGACAGAAGTAGTAGTTCACCAATCAAAGATCACCTTATTTATTAAAGAAAGTTGCACTGCTATCTACGCTAACGAAACTACAGACATTAATTACAATTGTTTTTCATTTTTCACATCCATTATAACTCCTTATTAATCTCATTCTTCCGTATAATGCAATTTACTATTCTATTTTGAGTAGAATATATTTGAATGCAACGAATAAGAAAACAACTGTTACTTGAATCTTGAATTTGATAGAAGTGGGACTGTATTCTCCTTTGCATAAACTATGTTCACATTGCTTGCATCGTACTGAGTGTCGCCCAGCTAGAGGTGTCTTGATTGGAAAAAGTGGTCGTCCATTAGCCAAAGGCTGCTTTATTTGTTGAATTAAAGTTGCAATGCTTCCTACATCTATAAAATTAACGATTACATCAATTATGACTAACCTTATACTCTTCAAAACTGCTAGAATAGCTCATCAACCTTGTTCGTCTTGTAAATGGTAATTAATTTATTACTTTTTTTAGAACACGAAACATGAAATAATATAAAGTTGCGCAGTCCATTGTGATCCAGTTACATTCAGAACAAATACACAAGGTACAAAGTACACTCATGTAATGCATGATACCTATTTTATTTTCACTAAAGATGGAATCATCAAGCTCAGGAACATCAGCTGTTGCTTCGAGCACAGGGAACTTCTTGTCTGTTCGTTCAGCAAGAGCCGCTTTTCTTCGATTATACATGGTCTGAAGACCAAAGCGATCCGATAGAACGTTTCCCATACTTGATCTTCAACAATACTTTTAGTAATCGCAAATGCAATAAAAAAGTTTAAAATTCGCATTACAAATGCTGTTTAATTTACTTGTGATGTAAAAAATCCAATTTTCGATCGTCTACCTTCTTGTGTACTTATGCCGTTCACGGTCAGCACGTTCAACAACAGCGTAGTTTCGCATTCTTTCCAAAAACGCTGAAAGTAACTGTTCATCTTCAAATTCATATTCTGGCCAGAGAGTCGATGAAGTAGAATCAGGTATATCAGAATCTGTTGTTGTCCAGCGGCATGTGTTGCATGATAAATGATAAGCATCATTAGATGCCCGTACAACAACACCAACTCCTGAAACTTTTAAAGATTTTTAATGCATAATGTAAAAAAAATGAAAAAACATCTAAATTTTATTCAGCAATATTCTCATACAAATGAGAAAAAATGAAATGAAGCTCACCACAAATAGGACACTGATAGCAGTTCCAGCATCGATTCTTTTTTTGACGTGCTTCACCCGGTGAAACGTTATCTAAACATGAAGGACAAAATGATGTATCCATTTCGTAGCTTACACAAAACAGACAACGAATACTTGAGCAATGTCGACAAAAATACAACCGATTCAAACTTTCCCATTCCCCACAACTACATTCATACTTGACTTGCTCGATAGAGAATAACGCTGTCATGACTTTATCTGAAATACAATTCTTCCAGCAGCAGAAAACAAATGAATTAGGATAATGAAATTTTTTAACTGTACGTTTCTAAGTACAATTTATATATAACTGTAGCTTTCTTGACGATTTTTGTCATAAAAAAGATAAAAATTATCACACAAACATAAGCATAAACTAAAAGTTAATAAAATTGTAGAACTTGTACAATGTTGACATAAAAAATTTCCTCCAAAAACTCAAAGCTACGGAATAGAAACTAAAAAATAAAACATAACTAACCACTTCCGTAACAACCCTAAACAATCCTCCCCATCCTCTATCCCATCAAAGTAATGACTCTCGCCGTTCACAATTTCACATACTTTAATTTGTTTTCTGAAAGTTCCACTTTTTAATTTCTTTTAATTTTATGGCCCATTGCAATATTCACTACGTAAACGTGAAATCCCTCTACAGCACATCTTGCGCAGAATATATACAGTTGTGTAAGCAATGCTTACTTTTATAGTAATTGCTAAAAAAAATAGTTTTGAATTTAATCTAAAGATTTGAGGGAATAAGTATTATTGCTAGTAAATAGAAACTACTGTATATGGCAATTTTTAGAATTTATTGTATTCTTTCAATTTTACTCGTTTAGAATGTTTCGATGGCTGCGTTATTTGAAATATTCTCGCAGAATGTGCTCTGTTGTTATTGCTAGTGCTGCAACAACTAGCATAATAGTACCAGTAGCATGCAAGGCAAATGAAAGTAAAGCTTTTGAGAAGTCAATTCCATCTGAAGAAATCGTTATTAATCCGCAAAGGAACATTGAGCTCGACCAAAAATTGAATAAGTATGAAATGAAGTTCTTACAGTTTGCTTCTGTAGAATATGATGGTATTGTGTACATGACACCTGCAGATTTTTTGGATTCGATGGTACTCGATATGCCTAAAGGTTACTACATTGACCTATAGTTGTTATGGATGCAAAAATTATTTAAAAATTGTAAGCTTTCATGTATAAGTATTCATGTATAAAGTAGTACTTTTCTCAATTGCCCACATTGTATTTACTCAGCTTGACTTATTACAATTGAAATTAGCTTTTCGATTCTTATATTGGCTTCTAACTTTAATCGTTGTCATTATGTTCATAATTACTGTACTTAGGATTGTTTTTGAACATCCTCACACATTCTGTAGTAATTTCCTAAGTTCATCTAAGTTCATATTAAATTATAAGGTCTACAAGAGTACCATACTCCATATTGGTGCAGTTTTTATTAATTTCTCTGAATTTAGGACACGTCTATCGTAGAGTGTTGTCGGAAGATTCGTTAAATAAAGCTTTGTCTCGCACTCCAAAATTCTCAATAGATAATAAATCGTTATTTAGAGAACTTGACCGACACGGCATTATTTCGTATTCTGATTTCTTATTTCTTTTGGCTATCCTTACTAGTAAGTTTTTACTTACTGAAAGTCGACATCAGCAATTTTTGAATAAGATATGCTTGGAAAGGTAAAGAGAAAGTTTTTGCTTTGAAAAATCAAGTTGTAGGAATCAAATGACGTATCTGTTTTTACAATTAAAAGTTATCATTTTGAGTTCTTTAGCATATTTTCAGAATCTGATCGTGCTTTACGAATAGCATTTATATTATTTGATAGGGATGACAATAAAAAAATCGAAAAGGATGAATTCTTATTGGTTACTTTTGAATTTAATTTTCTTCCAAAGTTTATGCCGCTTTTAACGGAAACATGTACTGCTCATGGTGTAGACTAAAAAAGTATCGAATTGATCATAAATTCCAGCTGGATAAGTGGGTTGCCCATTTTATTTCAAGGGAGGAAAACAGCTAATTTGATTTATTTCAGATTCGTGAATTGATACCAATACCGAGATCGCCACGTGTGCTTGAAGAAGTTGTAAGTCAGTTTAATATATTTATGGACGTTGTTATGTTGTTTTGTTACCTAGAAAAGAAGCAGTGACTGGGACTTTCTGTTTCAGCGAGAAAGTTGTACGATAAAAACTCCGAGTCTGCGTTATCTAACTGCTAAACTTGGTTTGAAAACAAAACCTATGGCGAAGATTTTCGACAAGGTATATTCATAAATTTCAATGAACCGCAATTTTTTGTTTTTCTGTAAGAAAAAGAACGTCATTGCAGAAAAATTCAGATGACACTAATCTGGTAGACACTACATTGATTCGACTTTTTTTTGGCTGTCAAGGAAATGAGTTACGTTCATTTGAAGAAATTAACAAGTAAATTCTTTTATCATTTATTCGTGTAAACATCAGTAATCTGACGCTAGTAGACTTTCTGATGTACTAGTACGGATGCTCTCTTGAATCACTACAGATGCTAAGAGATAATACTTATGCGTAGCACAGATTTCGTGATAATCTTCGAAATGAAATCGCCGAACTGGAATTTAATGAGTTTTCACATGGAAGATCTGAAATTACTCCTTTGGATTTTGCTCGTTTAATACTTCGATACTCTTCAATTCGAAAATCAGAATATGAGAAATATATAGAGCGAATGAGAGAGAAGTCATCTGTTAATGATCAGGTGCAGGAATGTTTAGTTGCTACAATTTTTTCTCATTCATATATTGTAAAGAAAAATGGATTACGAACTGATTCAACACATGAGATTTTGATGGTAATTCTATAGATAAACTGACAGTAATATAAAATTTAAGTAAAATATGCTAGATTGTGTTCTATATTGACTTATAATGTAGATCTCATTATGTTACAGGGTATCACTTTCTCAGAATACGAATCATTTTCGCAATTTTTAAATGACTTAAAAAAGTTTACCGCCGCAGTCCGTCTCTATGCTCGAGCTGGTATACCTATGTCACAGTCAGAATTCCATCGAGCTGTTCATGCTTCAACTGGACATATTTTAGACAAAAAAATCGTTAATCTGTTGTTCCGTTTGTTTGACACCAATAATGACAACTGTCTTTCATACACAGAATTTATTGCTGTCATGAATGACCGTTTGCATCGGGGGTTTCAGGTGTGCTGAATTTTATTTTCTATTTTTTAGTTTAGTAATTTAGGTTTTGGAACTTCACTGTTGATATGCTGTAGTCATTCTTATAAATTTCAGAACAATCCAGGCATGTCAAAATTTGGAAAAGAAGCATTCAAGCAATGCATCAGGAAAGAACTTGCTAGCTTTTGATCCCGTTCAAACTTTAAATTGCTGAGTGTAAATTTTCAAGGAATTCTCGAGATTCTGTATTTATTTACTTATTTTTAGATTTTCTGCAAATTGTGTGTGTGGTCAAAAGTTTTTAAATTAGTGGGACTAAATTATTTTCATGAACACTGCTCTGTTATTTGTATCCACTCACAGTTTACTAAAGTATTTGCAGCTATGTTTAATGATGTTATATAACTGTTAGTATATGTGTAATTTGTTTATATTTTTGTTGTTAGTATTAAAAATTAATAATTCACATTCACTCATGTTTATGATTGCAATCAGTGAGTTTCATCTTTTATATTTTCAATTATTCGCATTTTTAGCTCTCTCAGTAATTCCTAATTTAATCGTAGTATCTTTTTGGTTTTCGAAATTATAAAAATTCAGACAAACTCTTTTCAAGGGTTTGTGGTGAGCAGGAAATTTGTTTATTAGATGTAGAATCATTATGATCTCTATGATAGTTGTTTTGAAGCAGTTATAATGGAATTAGATGAATTAAAAAAAAATGAGCTGAAAGCTCTTCCACTAATGAGAACGAAAGCTGGACCGCGAGATGGAGACTTATGGATTCAGGTATTTTTTCTGCCACATTTGGAATCTTTTTAGTCTCTCATTAATTAATCACAAACGTCATTTATTTAATTTTCAAAGTAAATAAATAACGTTTGTGATTAATGAATGAGAATTTTCAAAGTACTAGTTATGAAGTATGCTAGACATATATTGTATTTTAGAGGCTGAAAGAAGAATATGAAGGTTTAATAGCGTTTATAAATAAGAACAAAGCTAATGGTTCGGATTGGTTTCGTTTGGAAAGTAACGGTGATGGGACAAAGTGGTTTGGGAAATGTTGGCATTATCATAATCAACTTAGGTATTCTGTGAGATAGATTGAAATTCTTTTTTTATTTTTCGAAAAAGAATGCAAAAGTAATTTTTTTAAAATTATTTTAATGTACTTTAATGTGTCATCAGATTTCATTCAGCACAGTATTGTTTTCATTAAAGATATGAGTTTGATATTGAATTTGATATTCCTATAACGTATCCGACCACTGCACCGGAGATTGCATTACCTTCATTAGATGGTAAAACGGCTAAAATGTACAGGTAGTTTGCTCATGCAGTTTTATTGCTCTCGAACTTTATATTAACTAAGTGTTATGGAGATCGATTTATTACTACATAAAAGTAAATAATGTGAAAAAGTTTCATCTATAACAATCAGATAGCTATGAAGCTTCTATATTTGCTTTTAATGTATGCCTTATTTCTAATTACAATTTGTTTTTCATTTGCACTTACATATATTAATGCCTTAGAGCATCAATTATTCGGGTTTGAGCTTCAAAATTGATGTGTCATTTTTTATATTTTAGAGGAGGACGTATTTGTTTATCGGATCATTTCAAGCCTTTGTGGGCTCGAAATGTACCTAAATTTGGAATTGCTCAAGCATTTTCATTAGGATTGGGGCCGTGGTTAGCAGTTGAAGTGCCCGATCTAGTTGCACGTGGCGTTATACAACCTAAAACTGCATGAAATACTATCAGTTGTAAGTCTTATGTTCATGTATCTGTGGTTTAGGGATGTTATGCACATTCCTTTCCATTTCTCATGTGTCAATATATTTAAATATTAAGAAAATGTAATTAAGTTAATTAGTAAATAGCTTTTTTAGCAAATTTATCTCTTTACTCTATTTAGTTATCATCTTGTGGGTGTTATTTGTAGTCTGATTTTATGAAGAACCAATCTTATTTTCCATCTTATATTTTTGTTGCCTGAGAACTTTTTATTTTCATATATTTATTGGTTTCAAATCAGGAGGTTGTTTTGGTTGCATATTATGTAATATTGTGTAATGGATAAAATTATTTCTATCTAGGACGCTTAGTCTTACTTTGCTTTATTTGTTAGTAAAAAGAATGCCTTTGCTCAGAGAAATGTGTCGTGTAAGTAAAATCAGAAATCAAACAACTATATTTACATATGCAAAATTAATTAATAAGAACTAATCTAGAGAAGACTTTTGGTTGATGTCAGCATTTTTTTACAGAATAATTAAGTATGAAATGGAAAGCGTGAATGGTGATTCACACACAGCGGGCTGTGTCAAAACTTGCTTGGATGAGGGATATTTACTGAAAGTAAAAATTTGTATTGTGAGTGCTGGACTTGTTCCATGTATATCCATCCGTAAAAGTATTAATTTGGGTAGATGAGTCCACTTTTTATCTTGCTGCGCTCATCTTAAACATTTGCAAAATACAATATTGGCTACGATTATTGCAAGTTTACACATTACAAAACCATGTGTGCATAGTGAAGATATCTGTGCAGAAAAGAAAATGATTGCAGTGATTTCACATTTGGTATTGAAGAAATCTATCTGATAATTGAGAAAACAATTGCAAAATAATAAATGCGAAATTTGAAACAAATACTGAAACATGAAGTTGTGTATACTTTAAATAATGGTCCTCAAATTTAGTGATGACAAATTGTTGCCTAAATTGGAAATGTGGTGAGAGCGAATTTCAAAGTTAGATTCTAGCATGGACTTATAAAGTGAGACTGATTTTGCGCTTATTCTTACAATCCTCTTCTGTCCTTCACACTTTACCATCTATGACTACATGATTTCGAACTATGCTAGTATACTTATATTAACGCTGCGCGGATTATTTACTCAGAATTGGTTTTATTGCAACTTACATAATTTATGCAAAAAATGCTTGCAATTTTATGTTTTCAAATTTTCTTTCACATTAAGCTCGCAATAAGCATTTGCTGAAATATACGTACGTCAGCAACTGCTTGCCATAGTAGTATTTGTAATAAAAGCATGCAAGTAGCATGCTTCTGCATCAATATATTGCAGTAAAAGAAATAAAAATAGCAGTAGATATGGATACTTTCATATACGTGGTCTAAGCAGCCAAATTTGAGTTCGACGTAATTGTGGACGAAAGATTGTGTCTGATCATGAATGAAGCACAACATTTTCTTGTAATTTCTGTTTCTATCTTTTTTATGCTCCACTTCTGTTGTTATTGCGATGCCATGATGCGACCATGGAAGTAAATGGCGGAAATAGCAGTGCGAGCAGCTGCGACAGCAATCGTAGTCGTATCCAGAGTCAACGATACCACTACGAGAAAACATTCCAACATTCAAACATTCAAATAAATCAGTTATCTAGTGGATGGGAATGAGTCTCTAAAGGACCTTTTACATCATAGGCGACTTTCATGAAGCGAAAACAAGTAGCAGACCATAACGACAGTGCTCATGAAACTGCATCTGGAACCATAGTAAAAAACAGTGGGAAAAGATGAGGTTATGAAAAGCTTCTTGAAAGATATAGGAGAGCATTCTGCCAGCTTACCTAAGCCAGGAACCAGTAGGATAATTACGCCTGAAGTTATCCTTCGAGGAATCGAGGTTCTGTAAAGCAGCTGGCCTGGTCAAGTGCTCAAGGCGGTTCTTGACCGTTTTGGGAGAATGCCGAGATGGCCCTTGTATTACGAGAAGTTCGTGTGTGTGATTAGCCTTCATGAACTGAAGAAACAAGCGAATGCTGCAATGACCACCAATGCAGGACGTCCTTGCTCGCACAAAGACGTGAGATAGACTAGGAACGCGGAAAATCTCGGAGAAAGTTGACCCGCTTATATTTGGGTGAACGTTGTGGCATATATCCAGTCAACAGTACTCAAGAAAATGGTCGAAAGCATCTCACTCCATCAGCCTCGTGGATTCAACTAGCACGAAGCAGCGGAGATCAACACAGCAGAACTGAGCATCAGCGAGTGCAGTAAGAATGCCAGAATACGTTCCACTACCAGAATCAATAATGAAGAAAAGAAAAATAACCCCCGTGTGATATTGATTGATTAATTATTTGCATATATGCAAATTTTTTATTTCTTTTATTTGTTATTACACTAAAAGACAGACGAGAGATTTTTGTGATCTCCAGTAAAGACTATCCTAAAACTCTCTCTTGTATAATCTTTTTTTTTCAATTAAAGTAAACGTGTTTTTGTGTATTTCAGTATAAAAGTGGAAGTACAAAAAAGATTACAGTATTAGTAGTAATGTAAATAATTTGATCATATTTGCATATTGCTTCAGTGATAAGTTTTGGATTACATACAATAATCACTGAAAATTGTTCATTTTTTTGAAAACGATTATTGAGGAATCATTTATGATGAAAAGTCAATCACACGATTGTATTTTATTGAAGCAAATTTAGATTTCAGTCTTCGTCATATTCACAATCTAATTGAAACTTGAAAATGGCAACAATAAGTTCAATTATTGCTAAAATCAAATTGGTAAAATCTGTTTTGATTCCTTGCAGTTTTATATGCTCAGACTTTAAGCTTGGATTTGATTAGTTTTTGCTAGATACTCAATCAGAATGTTTAGCTGACTTCTTGGATTATGCACGAATACTAAGACATGTATCACATATAATAATCTTAGTTAGTACTAAAAAATGGATAATAGCCAAAATTTTTCTAAAAACTTAAAAAATTGGTAGTGATATAAAAATTAAAATATAATATTTTCTAGTATTCCTAAGATTAAAAGAATAGTACTAAAAAAGAAACTAATTTACATTAATTAGCATGTAGATATTAGTACAAAGTAGCGTTTATGGTTTTATTTGGATTAATCGCTTTTCAGCAATAATTAATTTAAGGCTTTTGGACGTCCTAGCACGCTTTTACCATTGTTTTATGTTGTGAATATTACACGGAGTAATGGAAAAATGCGTGAAATCCCCGAAAAACGTCGAGTTTTTCAGCTGAAAAATTTCCTTAGTCAGTCATTCACGGAATCATTGCTTATTGTTAATTAAAATTTTGATTCTGAAGTATTATTTTTGCTCACAATGTTCACATGCTATTATTCAACTAAGATTTTTGATCGGAGATTTCAAATTTTACTATTTATTGGCATAAATATAATTGTAATTGAATTTAATTTGTGACATTAATCATTTCAAATTTTTTTTTGAGATTAATTTTTGAGAGCTATATCAAAAATTATATCGAAATATTTAATCTATGCAATAATAGGATAGATTTTTATCAAAACTAAGTATCGTAATACTAGTATATTAATACTTAATAAGAATTTGTATCGTATTGCTTCTCTCTTCGATTTAATCTTTTATAAATATATAATATTCAATTTTATAGAAATATTTCCTTTACTTTTACTGTTTGATAGTATGATAAAGTATAGTTTAAGGTTTACCTTCGCAACAGTATTGCAATATTCATACTGATATACGCTTCCCAGATATGTTTGATCAGCGTGCTACCATTGATCCAACAAAATCAGCCAAGTCCGTAGAAGATAAACGACGTGTAAAGCACCAGGGAATTTTGTTTGGCAGTAAGCTAGTTTAACATATGATAAGTATGGATATATATTCACTGGATTGAAATATGCATATTATCATTTTCTCCACTGATTTAATCTTTCATAAATATATAGTATCTAACATTTTATATGCGAACTTTTGATAAGTTATTAATAAAAATATTTATTCTATTTTTCTAAAATAAATCAAAGATATAAAAATTATTATTATTGCAGTTGGTGGTGCCACTTACTTTATTTTGGCAACAAAACTTGTTCAAGGTGTTGTAAATTTCAAATATATCCCTCAAGATCAGTTGGCTCTTAGCACATTAGAGATTAAATTGGATGGAATAGCTGAAGGACAAGTTGTGATACTTTTACTTCTTGAACTTGCAAGTAAAAATTATGAGAGAAAATATAACATTTTAGTAATAAATAAATTTTACATCCAAGTTACTGTCATAATTGAATTAAATATGTAGTTGATTATTTATATCAAATTAAAATCACTCAACAAAATACAAAATTACGCAGAAGAAATGAATATAAAAAATTATTACGTTATTTTATGGTATTTTTCATAAATATAATTGTGATACTATCATCTGAATTTAATTTATAACAAAGAATAATATTTTATCATATTTTGTAGTGCCAGACGTATAAATGGCGTGGTAAACCATTATTTGTAAAGCATCGGACAGCACAAGAAATTGAAGAAGCAAAAAATGTAAATTTGAATGAATTACGAGATCCCGTGAAGGATGAAGATCGTGTCAAACGTCCTGAATGGCTGATTCTGATTGCGATTTGTCCACATTTAGGATGTGTTCCCATACGTATGTACTTATTAACACAGCAGCTTATTTTAGTATTAATTTATTAAATTTTTACTACCAAACTGAAATATTTTGTCGCAAAACATTCTTATTAAGTGATATGTCTTTTTGAAAAATCAAATTTTTCAAAGCTATCTTAAAAATTTAAAAGTTAATCATACGTAAATTTATGTATCTAATATTATTTCTAGCGAAAAGTAATGCATAAATAAAATGGTATTATGATTTAATGTTATTTATTACAAACATAATATTATTTTTTAGTACCTTTAATTTAAATAATAATTAATTTTTCAGATGGAAAAGGTGAATATAATGCTTGGTTATGCCCATGTCACAGTTCGTCATTTGACACGTCCGGTCGTATTCGAAAAGGACCTGCACCAAATAATCTCGTAGTACCACCATACCGATTTCATGATGATAATACCGTAGTAATTGGAGACGAATGAAATTTGTACGTGGAAATGATGGAAAACAAACTTTTTCTTATTTTCTTGTTGTGATCAAATAATGTACACCATTCATTGTAGAAAGCAAAAATGATTGAATACCTAATTTTGTTTGATTCTCCAATCACGTTAGCTGCTAAGATAAAATTTTGATTCAGTTTTTATGCACGCCTTGACTAATAAATCTTCACGTAAATTAATAAATACTGTTTTTCTCATTAACACTAAAGCAAATTTAGTTTGATATAAATTATGAATAAATTTGTTGCATTAGTAAACTTGTGTGTAACATAATAAGGTGACATGAAGTAAGCTTTATTAATACAGTATAGAATATGAATAATTTATTCCTCACAAGAATAGTAAATAAGTAATTCAATGTTTTCTTAAAAGCTTATTATAAACCAGTAAAAAGCACACATTGTTTTTTTCGTATTAAAAGGAATCTTACGACATTTGTTTGAATTTTTATGCAAATTACTATTTGGTCGTTGTATTTTGAAAAAATTTGAATTTGTAGCAAAATTTGTGTTACATTTAAAAACAAAATGAAATTTGCATTATATTGCAATATTAATATAAAGACATTAACGTAGCTGATTAAAGCTAGTGGACAACAGTAAATCCCGTTTCATACATTATTATTACACCGTACTAATTAGAAATGTTTAGAAGATCAAAATCGTGGCATTGCTCGAACTTCTGCTAACGTTTTATCAATTTTGTCTAAGAAACTATCTCTTGGTCTTGAAGTTATCTGAACAAAATTAGATCCAACGATGCGAGAATCTTGACGACGGACATACGGATGTTCAGCATACATGTATGGTGTTAACGGAATTCTGAAATGATAATATAATTGAGCTTTTTATTATTATCAAGTTCACGTAAAAGTTTTTACGTTTATATTATAAGACAAATTTATTTTGCAATAAATTTTAACATCATAAGGCTATAAATTAGAGTAATAAGTTGAGATTTTTATCTTCAAAATTATTTGATGTGCAAATTATATTAAAATTTTTACGTATCTGATCCTTTTCTGTCGATGATTACTTGCTTATTGTTGCGTTTCCAGTGAGCATCAGCATTTCTTCGATTTGACAGATAACTATCCTAAATTAATTATAACGTAATAAATTGATAAGTACCAAAAAATCATAATTCTTGCAATGCTTCAAACTGCAAATAAATCGCTACAGTAATGCATAATAGATGAACTTTGACTAATTAATTGAATTAAATGATAATATGTAAAAGCAAAAAACATGCTCAGTATGTAAACATTATTACTTATTTACTTTTGTTTTTATTTGATTTTTAACTTTTTAATTTGCGAGTCATACAAGTTAGCAAACATTTTTGATGCGCATTACTATTCTAAAAAAATTACCTTCAACGCATTACATATTACTTAAAGATGAAAAAATTAAAATATTTATTTTTCGTATTTTATTCACTTAAATATTTATGCATTTTACAATAAAATGAATAAAGATTTTGTGCAAAATAAAAATAAAATTCTGATGTAATTTTTATCAAAACTTTTTTAATGTAACGTTTTGAATTGTTTTTCTTTTAGTTAAATCGAAAAGCAATGGTAGTATATAAATCAGTACTTTATCTTTAATTTAATTTATTTTTAAATAAAATCCCGTGGTACCATCATACTGATTTCACGGTGATAATACCGATATGTGCTGAAAAGATTCGAAAACTTTGTCTTATTTATTCAAACAAAAAATTTTATAGTATTTATTAATAAATTGCTTATATTCACTCAAACATGAAATATTGGATAATTAGTTAATTTCTGAAAGTGAAACCATACTTTATTTTCGAATGGTGATGGCATATGTGAGGCATAACTTCTGTAATCATTATGATTTTTCGTACGATGATAGGAATGAAATTTATAATAGTCTTCTGTACCTATCAAGCCTTGCTCACTAAACATTTTTTCCAGTGGTAATTTTGTTAAATCTTCATCATCTGTAATTTAAATCATCTTATAAAACCAAAAATTACACAAACAGTGCTCATTTTACAATATCAAATAATAAAGGATCATAGGTTAAAATTAAAACTACAGTTCTTATGAGTGGAAAACCAAAAGCATACAAGAGTCATCTAAAGCTGCAGATCCAAGCAAGTCTTGAATTCGTACCATACTTTGAGCACTAATTGAATTTCCCGTATTAGCGGGAAGTTTTGGCAGTTTATTACCAGGTCGAAAAATATTATGCACATATTTCTCGTAATTAGCAGCCATTGGTCCATCAGGAAAAACTCCCCGACTGTTGTATTTCTCCTCTATGCTAGATGCAGCACTTGGAAACCATGTTGAAGTGATTAATACTTCAGAATTTTTTGCATTTAAATCATTATTTAGCTTATTCTTATCACTGTTATTATTGTAACTAGCCATATTATAAAAATCAGTACTATTCATTCTTGAAATATTCTGTCATAAGAATTGATTCTCAAGAATATCTGAAATAAAATTTATGAATTACTTACAATTGACGTCATCAGAAAATTGACGTTATCAATTTAACAAAATGTACTATGAAAAAATTTTCAGTACGAAGAATTTTTGAAGAAATAAGAAAAATTTAATGGAAAGTAAATAAGTGAATTTTTGCTTAAGCATCGAAAATATCTGAGAGATATCTTAAAGATCTGCAGGGATATATCAGAGCTTTGAACTGGTTGCTAGCACAGTTTTTCCTTGCAAAATTGAAAAACAAAAAGCAAGTTTGAAAGTCAACAAGCTTCAAATATAAAGCTATAAATTTAGAAAAGATGTAACTCATTCATTTGTTTTATTAATTTCAATTTATATTCATATTTTTATTTGAAAAGAATAAAATTTTTTTTTTTCAAAAATATTCTGAACAAATTCAATTTCATACAATAAATTTTTTCATCTGAATCATTTAAAATAAATTATGCAGTTGGATTCAATTTTTTGATTATTCAGAAATTAATAGTGAATAATTTTGAGGAAACATTTACAGAGAATCTAAAACGGATGCTTATTGCAACAGTTTACTGATCAAATTATCATTATTTAATCAGATTATCACATTGTCATATTAGAAACAGATTTAAATTCATAGTTATTATTTGCTGAAATGTAAACAATGTAATGATATTTTTTTAATCATTTTAACATTTTATCTCAATAACTTTTGATATTTTCTTACAATTTCATTCCTACAATTCAAAATTTATAATCATTAACAAATAAACTGATATGATGAACGAGATTACACGTAAGTAAACGTGACGCAAAGCAGTCATAATGGTTGAAATCAATAAAGATCAGATAAGATCAAAAATTTTTTGCTTCTTTCCTGCAAACAATATTTGTTTACAATAATATTTTACAATATATAAGTAATGCAAATGTGCAAAGAATTGTTTATCATAGATGAATTACTGAGGCAAAATAAAGAATTTAATGACAATAACAGATTGGAATGATGGTTTTACACAAAAATAAAAATGAAGCAATAATTTTAGGCTGAAATTAAGCGTAATGACTTTTCGGACTAGCCTAGGCGAGAAAGCAAGAAAGACGCTTATTAGCTCGGCAAGTTTGTAAGCCTCCTAGTTATCCGCTAAGTTTAACTTCACTGCTGTTGCTGCTATGCTTAACAGCTGCCATTTGCTTTAACTGCTCAATGAAAGTTTAGGCTAATTATTATTTACTATACTTAAATCCAAGTAATACTTATGCCATTAGTAGTTAATATTCATTTTAAATAATGCAAATTATATTTTGATAAATTTTTATCTTTGCAACATTTATGCTTTTAAGCTAACTATAAATGAATATAACTTCTTTTGATTTATACTTATAATTGCTTATATTTGAAAATTCAAATATTATTTATTTCTATTATATTTCTACAAAAATAAGCAATACAAATCTACATAATTAATTAATTAATTAATGAAATTATTCTTAGGAATAAAAATGAATAACAATTAAATGCTCTAGCAAAATATTATTGCGAAAACAATGATTTATAGTTCACAATATTTGAAGCAATATTTATAAATGAGCGGATCGTGCACGTCCTTCTTTCAAGCAATGATCCGTACGAATTATCTTACGAGACAAATGATTCTGAAAACACACATTTGTAAGTAAAGTAAGTCTATAAAAAATTATTCTGCTAATAATTGCAAAATAAATTATTACAATTACTTTATTACAATTAATGCTTAAATACAGTAACTGATTGTATACAGTAATTACTGACATGCAATAAATAAATTTGTGAATGTAAACAACCTTTTTAGCATTTTCGCATCTTTGTAATCTACATCGATACAAAAATTCTATAAAGGCAGTCGCCAAAGATAGTACCATTCCACCGCAGAGAATATAAAATATGCCAGCAACTTTGCTCAAAGTCAAACTAGCACTATTTCCACCTTCCTTCAAAATAACTTTACAATATGCTATTGCTACTGTCAGTATCACTCGATTAATCTTTTAGGTTAATTGAAGCTAATTTTGCGTACAGTAATTACTTTGTACAGAAAGCAATCACTCAGTTAATTGAAACTAATTTTGTAAACTGTAATTACTTTGTACAATAAAAATTTTATCATTCATTTCTTCTACTAATGTCAATTTTGTGAATCCTTGCCTAAACTACCACAAAAAATAATACAAAAGATATTTGATACAGTCAGAAAAATTATCATTACTGACAATAAAAAGATTGCCATACTAAAGATCAATTGACAATTATCAACTTGCCAAAGTATTTATGATCTACTTTAGAATCTACTTCTGTTTTTCAGAATCTAGTTCACTTCTGACCAATTTGAACTGCTCATTCTACTTTTCTCAGAACTTTTAAAAAATTCATTTTAAAAATTAAACCGTAAATATTCTTGACTATAGCTAATTTTAATGATTATGGAAGTAATTAATAAAAAATCTTTAAAGTTAACTGAATATTTCAACGAAACAAATAAAACGAAAAAGTTAGGGATAAATTAGAATTCAACTATTACCATAAATCTTGAGCAAAATAATAAATACTATTAAGGTATCAAAAATAAGCGATTTCCTTAATTCATTGATAACAAAAGCAAAAATTCGATGAGACAGTCAATACTTGAAATAATTGTGAGCTGTGAATTCACAGACATAAAATGATGCTTAAATAATGACCGCTGATATGGACATTCCTTGATCGCACTGACCACGGTCATACCACCATTTATTTTCAAGTCGTTTCAACTCACCTTTCTCATGTAAATATAATATAGCGAAGTTGATATTCTCTCTGCAAAACTAGAGCTTACTTTTGATACTTTTTAATTTAAAGTTTCTCTTTAGTGTTACAAATATTTTTGTTTTGATCACCCAACTGCTTGTAATTTTAGAAGTCAAAGCTTTATTTGCAGTAGCTATGAAAAGTAACACGAATTGATTAATGCATCAATTTGAAAGTCTCATTGTTTTCTCAAAAATATTAGCTTTATAGATACTAATTTAATTAGTATACGATTTCTATAATTATTTTGTTAAATTAATTCATTACTTAAAAATTGCTAATTAAAAATAAAACTAATCTGATATAAACATTATTATATTGACATTGCTATTATTAATATACACTGCATCACTGCAAGAAATTTTGAGCACTTAGCTTACTAAAACTAAATCATTCAAGTTTTAAATATATTCAAATTTATCCCAGTTCTTTTATTGAAAACAATTTCTACAGTTAATTACTTTATATCAAAAAAATTCACAAAAGCTAACTGACCTGAGTGGATTTCCAATTTTCGTGGCAACGCCATATCCTAAAGAATTCAAGTTTGCGCCAACTTTCATTGTATCACATGGCTTTCGAGTATTTTCATATTTGTTAGCCGTTTCCTCCAGAAGAAATGCATATTTTCCCTAAGAAAGTTTGATCAAAAAAAATTGATTGATCGAATTTAAATAAAAATTGATCTAATTCGAATAGTTATTTTTTAAAGTTATTAGAAAGTAGAACAGCTATATGAAAATTAGTTTTCAGCCCTAAAATTTTTATTTGTTCTAAAATATTTCGTCTTATTGTTTTCAACTAAATTTCAAGATTTGCTAATGTAATGCAATCAATCCAAAATTCCTTCGTTCTGCAACTTTTGTATTAATTATCAAATTAATCCTTTTTATCTGTGTAGTCAGTAATTGATAATTTGTCTTATTTTTGTACATCTAAGAAAATAATATTCTGGCACAAATAAATCAATAATTCCCAGTATAAAATAGAAACTATATATAAAATAGTGAAAATTTGATGTGATATAATGAAAATCATTTTAAATCTAAATTGGAATTTTACACTTAAATACTAAAAATAAAAATCAGTGAAAATGAAAGTTGAATATTGCGGTACAAGGAAAAAAACCTTGCTTCGACGCACTTTCTCGATTCCTTCAGCATATGTGTTTACCATAACAGTATCTGAGGTATTAAGGTGCTGCTGGGTACGAAGTTGATGAGTAAATGTATCGTACATAAAGCTCCACATTTTTTTGTACAAAGGTACAGCTGAATCCTGTATTTACTAATAATCATTTTCATGTTAAAGTAAGAATAAAAATTTATTACATATCCACTTTTTTAAATTTAAGTTTTCGAATTAGGATTATTGAAGTTTGTTTATCAAAGTTAGCTAATCTAAGCGTCATAATTATGATTGAAAAAAACAGTTCAGAACAAATACTATAAATTTTGATATATTGACAAAGTTCAAATGTAAAATTAAGTTTTATAAATAAAAAAAGAGCATTTTTGTCGGTCAGTTTCTCATCATATTAGACATTACTGTATATTGTTTTGCTGGTTAATTACTATCATTGTTTAATATATTACTGTATCAAATTAAACAGCTAATCGTCCATTTATATAATTAGCATACTCTGAAGAATTCTTCAGTTGAGCCACCTTTGACAATACCGTAAAGAATTCTTCGCTGTGCAGCTAAATCATCTACTGATTCGATCGGTGGGGTCATTTTTTCAAGGGTCAAAAATGCTGCTAAATTTGCAGTATACGAAGAAACAATGATAAGAGTAAAAAACCACCAAGCACCACTTGCAATCCTTCCTGAGGGTGCTCTAAAGTTTCAATTTTCTTTACTTCTGTCAATAAATTAATGATCATGATTTCAAATAATATCAAAAATAAATCTTATAAGCATTAATAATCACTATAAAGTATTAATAATTATACTTTGTTATATTTTATTTTAAAAAAGAGACCTAGGCAAGATATCTGTGCCCTGTTGCATTAATGAGGACAGTGTGAAGAAAAAGCTATTGTAAAGTGAAAGTTGCGTTGGAAGTTCTTCTGTTGTCCGGTTTTCATAAGGACTAAATGCACTAACCAAAAATATTGTAAATGAAACCTATAATTTATTTAAATTAATCAAAACATTTACAAGCATTTCTTGCAAAAATGTTATTTTTTAAATTTAAATTTGCTCATTTATTTTCTAATATTTGAATTATATTCAAAAAATCACTCACTCCAACATATGAGAACAATATAAGAAACCAAATATTTGTCCCTAAAGGTTGCATAAATGAAAAAACATTGAATTCTTGTTTTTCTGGTTTTTTGATCATAATGCTAATTCCAGTAGTCATAAATGGTTTCGAAAAATCCACAACTCGCTCACGAGCCTGATTAATCGTAAGTGGTGCTACAGCCACATCCGCCATCTGCATTAATCATACCGTTAGTTAGTTTAATTATGCAAATTTATAACTTTACTACATGTATCAATTATTCCACCATTAACTTTTAGATTTATTCACCTCATTAAGCAAATATCCAATCATTCCATCCCATGAACCATCATCCTGTCGCTGACCATATTTATTACCTTCAGCAATGAATATTTCATATGAATTAAACCCACTAATGTTGATTGCTAGCAATTTAATCAAATCAATGCAATATCCTTCAAAACGATCATTGCCAACTAGTGGAGGATCACCCGGAACTGTTCGTTTCAACATAGCAAACGGTTTTACCTATCAATTTAGTTTTACATTATTTTAATATGAACCTAAAAAAGTATTAAAAGTATCTATTGAAAAATTTAAAGATTGTATTTCATGAATTTTTTTTAGTTCTCAAAAATAGCATCTAAGTAAAATAGCATCCAAAATAAAAATGCTATAGATAATAAAATTAGATGGCTTTTCGATGCTTACAAAATGTAACTTTAGTTGATAAAAGTATTTAAAATAAGACAAAAAATTGAACTACCAATACAGATACAATACGTAAAATTGAATGCTGACGTGAACTGACAATATTTTCTTGCTGAAGCAAATCTTTTCTACCTTCTGCGTTTACTTTAAATCCTTCTCCTTGTCTCCAGTCGTACATCTCAAATTTTGCATATTATTTTATTAATAATTTTATTTTGATACTTAACAAATTTATATCGAAATAATAATTATCATTATAATAATCATTTAAACATCATACGTTTCGAACACTGACAAACTCATTGTTATTATTATCATTTACTATTATTGTTATTATTATTATCATTATTATTATTAGTCTCTCATGCACAATCATTATTTTGAAAAAAAAAATGAAAAATTATACATTTCGAACACTGTACAAACTTTTTCCATTTGGAATAATTTCTACAACTTTTGCAGTATAATTAATTCGATTTAAAGATTTGGTAAATTGTATTCGTCCTGTGAGTGCTCCATCAGCTTCATCTATTGTCACCTACAGAAATGAACTAAACAGTTTGAATAATACAATCACTAAGCAAAATAATAAATTTTGTATATTAAATTATTTTTTTAACAATTCGTTTAATTCAAATTTATAATTTATAATTGCTTAAAAAATAATTCAAAATTTATTTTTTCTTTCTTTTTTATTAAAAAAAATTCAATTTTTTGTTTGTATTTATGCAAAAATTTGTATGCCTTTTGAAAATAGTACAAATATGCAAAATTCTAAAATTTGTTAGTTCAATATTTAGCAGATATAATTGGATAAGTGTGCTAAATTTGCTTTGATTTTTTACTTCTAAAAAAAGTTAGCTTATAAATGAAAGAATACTTATTTCTCTTAACTCCCAAATGAATACAATTTTTAGCTTCAATTCTTAGCAACAATTTCTATATTTTATGCATAAATTTTGTGCATAGAATGTAGCGAAGAGAGGGGAAAAAGCTTAAAATCATTATACTTGCATGATTAATGCAAGTGAAAACGAAAATAGATACACGGACCACTTTCATTTTTAATAGAAAAAAGTTTAACTTACGCAAATAATTTTTTCTTATTAAAATAAAATTAGAAAATGACCAATTCAAATTATTTTTGCACCGTACTTTTTTCCCTTCAAAAAAGCATTAAAAAGTATTTTGTTATCTTTTTTCTTTTTTTTGAAAAAAAGATTTTTAGTTTTTTGTTTTTTGAATAAATGATTTACTTGTTTTTTTTTTAGTGAATAATTTTATAATAATAATAAATTATGTCAAAATGAGTAATTATTTGTTTGTTTGTTTGAAAAATATAAAATTTTTTGCTATTTTTAGTAATAATTTTTAATAAATATTTTCATAACATTTTATAATTATGCTAATTTTACCTCTCTAATAGCTTCAATAATTTTATCACCAAATTCAAATTCTGTCCATTGTGATGCTGAGCTATGCAAATTTTGTCTACATTCAATGCTAGGATGGCTGATATCAAAAAGTTGTAGTTGATTAAAAGAATTGGAAAATAAATCTAAGCCATATTTTTTTAGAGCAATTTCAATTGCACTTCCTGCCACAAGTAAGGCATCGTGTGCAAACATCGCACTCATCTAAATATGCATACTTTTAATTAAGACTACTTTTATTTAAATAATTTCAATTATTTATTTTATTTGATTTTATTAAGCATTCTAGTTATTATATTGAAAAAATTCATTTCATTAAAATTATTTAAATTCATAAATTTACCAAACTTGACAAAATTTTAAAACAAAAAAATACTAACATTTGTAGTTAATAAATTAAATTAACTTAATGTTTACCAAAAGCTAAGCTAAGTTTTCAAGGCAAGACTGAATTTAGATTACTTCAAAATATTTTTGATTTTGAATTAAAATTACTTACAGGTATTGATACGCTATCTATTACTGACCGATCACCGTAGTGATGCACGAATATTCTCCTATCTTTGCTATAAAAAATTGTACGAAAAATTTTAACTTGAATTAATTTAACTAATTATTAGAAGTAATAATTTAGTCAAAAAAAATTATAATTATTTTGGTAATTGATGATAACTGCAATTACATATTTGTCAATTTAATATTTTACAGTTTTCAATCAAAAAAGATTAGCACGTGTCAAATGTTCACAATTTCAGTGATAATGTGTTCAAATTGTTTACAAATTATTTACTATAATTATAATAAATTACAGTCATTAAAAAATATTCTGCAGAAAAAACAAAATATTTTATTTTTGCATATTATAATCACTCATACTAAAATAAATAAAATATGTCACAGTATTCTTTTATTTCCTATTTTTGAATAATTACTATATTTAAAATAATTTTAAAAAATGTTTCTATGTTATAAATTCAAATGTCTAATAATTTGAAAAATTTTTTTCAATACCAAATTATCAAAAACTAACTTTAATCGTTGACTGTGTTTATCACATATTAAAAACACTGTAATATTAATTAGAGTATAATAAAAAGCATCCAGATCATTTTCATCCAATTCCTAAAAATAAACATTAAAAAAATTTTTTTGTTCAAATAAAATAAAGGTTAATAGGTCAAATTTTACTTACAAAATTAGCAAAGACATAATTATATTGTTTTTTGACGAGTATACTTTCTTTGAGTGCTTGTAAAAACGCTCGAACTCGATAACTATTTGAGATATCTACCACAATATTCAATGATCTGAAGTAACAAATGCATTCATCTTTTGAATATTTCAGTTTTTTTAAGTTTATTTTAGTTTATAAAACTTTAACGCTTAATACAATCAAGTTCGCAGTATTGGTTCTATTATTTGCATATTTAATCATTCAAGATAATAGAGAGATTTCTGCAACTGAATAAAGAATCTGAGATAACAAGTAACGCGTTACTGCAATTTTTTCACTATTTGCTGTCTACAGTTGAGGGATTCAATGATAAGTCTGATGGTCGGTCACTCATCTCAAGCCCCTGAATGAGAGTGCATGTACCTCGAATCAGCGAAGTTAAAGTTTTGCATATGAAAATTATTGAGAAATTCTCGAAAATATTCTTCATCTTCGGGAATGCGATAATTATCAATACGAAGTCTATATGGTTTATTTTCTTTTTGCAGATATTTGTATATCCCAGTTAGACTTCGCTTCGCTAAAAATAATATCCATTTTTAATAACTAACTTACTATTACTTTATTTGCTTTCTTTTAATTTTCATGCCAAAGTTAGAACTAGAAGACATATAAAACTGCAAGCAAAAGTGACTAAATATGATCAAAGAATTGAATTCAAATTATTTATGGAAACAAATTCAATTCTGAGAGTGAAATTAAATTGGCTTAGGAATATTCAAATTTCACAAAGCTATTTTAATAAAAGTAAGTAGTTATATGTATGCATACCATTGACTCCATCATGTAAATAAATAATTTCACGCCATTGTTTGACTTTAATATAATCAACAAGTAATTCATCTGCAGGAGGTCTAACGGACGCAGTAAAAGTTGGTGATGAACTGGAGGTCAAATCAGAAGTTTCCCAGTCAATTAATGGCACCTTGAATGCGCTTAAGTACTTGCTAATTACTTAGAAATACTGACAATTAGTTCCATTCAATTTTTGTTTATATTTTTTAAAAACTTTACAAAAATAGTTCATTTCAGCGCAAGTTACAATTTCAGTTATGAGTGAACAGTTATTAAATCAGAAATTTGTTAAGGAAACTTGAAAAATAGAAGTGTTAGCTACAGATCCAAAAAATTAAAGTTATGAAAAGTAATCAATTAGTAATCAGACAAGTCAAACTTTGATTTGTTTTGCAAGTGAACTGTAAAGGCCAAAAGAAACAGGAGAAGTACCAGCCAACATGATCAAAAAACCAATTTTTAGCTCATCACAAACTAAATTTCTTACGTGTTATTTTACGTATAACGTATTGTTCATATACTTATAAAATTGAACAAAATTTAAAATATTTAGATTTAAAATAAATCAATATATAGCTTTCAATTCTCACACTAAAATGACAATAAAAAGTGAAAAGTTTCAAAACAAAAATAATCAGACGTAAAAATATTTAAGCAAGAAGGAAAAACAACCAAAATCGGCTAAATGCCAAAGTAACGTATTAGAATGCATTGCTGGAAGATAACGTACGCCAAGTGCTACGTCTACCGTATTTTTTTCTTCCATATTAAACCAGAATTCAGCCATACGAAGCATTTCTTGAATCACAGCTGCGGTGCTATTATCTATCTCACTTGTGTCTATGAAAGCACCTCAAAATCAATTCATTTTTATCATAAAATTTTTTATCAACGCTAATTTTATTTTATTTTTTTAAATTCATAATTCTATGAATATATTTATATTTGTTAAACATTATTACTTACTTTCAATCTGAATTTTTACGTAATATTTGATTAAAATTTCAATATGACAAATATGAATAAGTATAAATAAAAATTTAAAATACTAAAAAAGCTAAAATTGTAAGTAAGTAATAAAAAAGAACATACGTAATGGCACTTTCCGAATATGAGAATATACTTGTTGAAGGCAAAATACAATCAAAATAAGCCAAGTTTGTTGGAGATAGAAGACTAGCATTGAGTTTTCGAATAAGTGAGTACAACGTTAATAACTAAGTATTAAGCAAAAAAAGAAATTATTCGAGAAATAAAATAAATAATTAAAAAAGCAAAAAAGTAAATTACAAAATAGAATGAATAATTGAATAGTTTGGGAATGTAAGTAAATTTGAAGGAAAGGAAATAACGAGAAATCACTCAGACGAGAAAGAAGAAGTATTATTGCTGGCTGAGCCGAAAAAGGACAAGGACAACAAAGCTAATTGGCTTCAAAGCGTAAATTTGACAAACTTTGCATGAAGCATCATTTACCAAGGATTATCTTTACACGTACGTCGCAAGTATTACTCTATCATCATACGTATTTTATGAGAAAATTATTATAAAACAAAAAGTGCTGAGACGATTATGCTATTGCAGTACAAAAGTGTACTCTACAGTATTCAAGAACGAACGATATATTGTCAAGAAGAATAAATTCTTCTTTCTTGCATACTGATGCATAGATTATTGATTTTGATATCAGATAAATCACTTCTGTAGAATACTTATTCTAGCATGATCCAATAATTGTACAGATTAAATGACTCATTCTAGTCACTTGTTTGCAATTTTTTTCGACTAGCTATTTTCCACTTAAATCAGACAAGCAGTAAAGTTGTTGTTATTGAATTGAAAATGCAATTTACTCAAAAGCTATCTTCAAGAAAAAAGACATCAGATGAGTGAGTTCTTTAACTTTGGCTATTTATCATTTTCTCCCTTAAATAATTCCATTTATTATTATTTTTAGGTTAGCTATTATGCAAGTATTTAATTTTGCTCACTAACATAATTACTTATCTACAAATCTATAAATGGTATTCTGATCAATAAACTTTGATCAGAATTATCACTAATGTGAAATCATTACAAAGTTTAAAAAATTATTATTATTATTAACAAAAAATAAAATGGAATTAATTATTATTTAGTATAATTTATTGAAATTGAAATAAAGCAATAAAATTTTAGCAAGTAATTGCTAATAGAGTACATTTACGTGCGATTTAATCCTAAGGCGCAAATATTAGCTAACGCTAAAAAATAATTTCTAAATTAATCAAGCAAAAATTGAAATAATATTTTTGCTTTAGTTTCAGGCCTAGATTCAAACTTTATGACTACTTTAGTGATATAAAGCATCACTTAGCTTTCTTAGAAAGGCTAATTTGCTGACTGCCTTAACTCCATCTGATATTACTCCATTCTTTTTCAAACAATTTCTCCACTCGCATTCACAATTGTATTAGATAGTAACAATTTTATCGAATCATTAATAATTAACAATTAAAACAAGTATGTGTCAAAGTTCATTGATATTAATAAACTTTTTAATTTTGCATATCAGTAATAATTATTCGTTACAACTGTTCAATTATATGAATTTCATTCTAAAAATAAACTCAGCCTTAGAAAGGCTGAATTAGGAATCCAAAAAGAATCTACAGAACAAGCCATATTATGTTATGCATTTTAAGTAAAAAAATTATAATTTCAAATTCCCACTAATTTCAGATACTTTTCATGTGTGGGAATATATAGGAAATAACGGGCCGCTTTTATTTTAACAGAGTCAATTTTTGCAATTTCTTCATTTTGTTCATATCTAAAATGAATAGTGGATTGACGTCTTGTTTTTACTGCTATTCTATGCGCGGGATCTCGAATCTCACTATTTATTCAATCAAATTAACATATTTTAGTTACGTCTGAGCGTGAACGTATTTCAAGTATTATGCAGTAGCACTTTGGATATATCTTGCAAAGGGTAATTGTTTGATTACCATTCCGTTCTTAATGGCACACATATAATATAAACGCTAGCACAGTTAATTCATTTCCAGGTTCAGCATGTCTAATGTATTTTCGTGTTGCAATTTTTTCCTTTTACAGAAATGCTACAGAGGGCTAGTTGTAGTATATCGCGTCTCTTATCAACACCTTTAATCCCTGCAATATGCCCCACACTCGTACTGACTTGTGATGTTCATCATCACAACGAACGCAAGAATTTACGTCTTTTTCTTGGTATCAAACGCTCTAATAAACATAAATCTAATCGAAACACACACATAAATGAGCGAAAATTTGCTCGGGTCAGTTTTTTGCACTAAAAATTTGAATATTATAAAGTATGAAGCAGAAATAGAAGTTTCTTATAAACAAGCACGCAATGAAAGTAACGGAAAATTTTAGTTGAAAAATGCACAAAATATGGTAATAAGCAAACTTTGGCACAGCTTCTATTAAATATTTTCATGTATTATTAATATTGTAGGTCATTTCTTCTGTTAAATTTGACTATAACTTATAAATTAATAAGCACAACTAAATCTGCAGCTCCGTGCCAAAAAAAATTTCAATATTGATTTGCCTGAGGATAACATGCAAGAGAAACAGCAAAAGTTGAGCCCACTGGAGTTACGGCTTTTATTACTCAAGAAAGGAATTAATCCATACAGAGAAGTTACACCACAAACATGGAAGGAATATCAAATAACTTTCACTTCTTGCTGTAAGATTTTAGATAAATATTTTACTAGTACTGTATACCATACAGTTGTGCTATTTTTTGGTAAGACGTATTTGTTTAGGAAAGTCTCAATAATAGGATTATTAAGTTTAGTAGGAAATTTAGATATTGAATATTTAAAATTTAAATAAAGTATCATTTCAGATCAAGTAATTGATCCTTTAGTATCATTTCAGATCAAGTAATTGATCCTTTCATCCCAAAGGAAGGGCCCTCACCGAATGATCCATACACTATTTTTCGAAAAAATCCTTTGAAACTTCTGGGGTTTCCATTTCTCATACCTCCAGAGTTTCATGAAAAAAAACAGTCGCTGGAATATGCACTCCTCAGAGCAGAAGGAGGGCGTTTCACGGCTTATCAACATAAGTTTGTCGTTCCTTTTCAATTATTGTTAAAAAAAATTACATCAAGTATCGCTATGATAAATAAACAATGAAAGTATTTATCAGTTTCTCACTTTTTTTTAGTATTTACATTTGCTGTTTCAGATATTTTAACTACAAACATGGTGTGAAAAGGATACGTAAAAGGAAAGGTTTCGAAAATTTTAGTGTAAAGGTAAATTTTGCAATAACTTATTGTTTATTTTCATTTTTTATTCCTAATTCATTTAATTTAAAGTCGAGCCAAATCTGTATCAGTAGTTTGCATTGAAATTTTGTATCGAAATAATTTTTTAGACTTTTCCTATTATTGCTGACGAAGTCTATGTTGAAGCTCACAAAGCTTTAATGGCACGCAACAAAAATGCGTTACAAAAATATATCACAGAAACTGCCTTTGGAGTGAGGTTTACAAATACTTTAGAGAAATTTAAAAGTTTTGGTGCTTATTTTTTACTTTTTTTCGTTTGCACATTAGAAGTTTTTTACTTTGTAGAAAATGTGGCCCGATGTAGAGAGTGGTTCGTTGGTTTGGGATTTAGTGAAAAGTATTGAACCATCACGTGTTGTATCTGTTCGTTGTGCAGACTTTCCCAGCCAGTCCGGAAATGACATTGCTCAAATTATCGTACGTATGCATACAATGCAGGTATCATGCTTGTTATAAATTTGAGGATAAAATTTTTGTAAGTAATTCGCAATCAAACTTAGTTCTGAAAGACCAAAAATTGCAGAAAATCGCACTTTACGATCGTTTTGGTCGATTAATACTTGGAACAGAACATGATGCTAAGCCGGTGTTAGAATATATAGTATTTGAAAATCATATTTCTAGTCTTGATGGCGTCTGGCGACTGCACGACAAAGTTTATCCAGAATGGATCAAACCTAAAGAGAATTTGCCAAGGTTAGAAATCATTAAAAATATTTTTACAATTAAATAGTTTATGATTAACAGAAGTTTCTTCTTTTATATGGGTCAAGAACATATAGTCATAATTTTCAGACAAACAAAAATTTCTCAAGAGCAGTCTCGAGTTCAAGTCAGACAACCTCTAAAATTAGGTGGTGGTCGACAACTATCTGTACCAGAAGAAGATTGATGAGCCATAACAGTGATCTGTATAATGCTTATTGTTTAATCTGTAGCTTATGTGGTATATTATTAATATCCGATTTGCAGCGAGGTGCGTGCTCAGCGGTATTTAATCTGCTTTAGCATTTCTGCGTGAGTTACCTTTTAAAGGGCTTTGCAAAATATTGATCTGATGTAGTGTTATACTTTGAAACATAGAATAAATGCTTGACATAATTCAGAAAAAACATTTGTCTCGTTTCGTTTGTTCATCGTTCACTACTTATTTTTATTTCTTCTAGGATACAGTGATTCGGAAGTGGATATCGTTTTTGCTGTAACATCATGCTTTTTTTATCTCTGAAATTAGGTAGTGATATAGAGTTAAAGTTAAGTGACTAAAACAGTCTATGATGATGACTCGTTCGAGACAAAACTGATTGTATCTTAGTTGCAAAGCTTGCTTTTAGTTTCAAAACGTGCATAAATTTAGCTGTGAGAAGGAAGCCAAGAAAGTTATGGAAGATCAAAACAAACAAAAGTCTGTAGATAGCGAACAAAAAATGGATACGCATATTGAGGAGGATGATGAATTCGAAGAGTTCCCACAGCAAGATTGGCAATTTAAAGAAGGTGCGGAAGATGAAGAAGTAAGGATTGCATATTGCGCTAGCCTTTGTCTTGTGTTACAAGACATTTCTTGTAATACAAACTGTAAGACAGTTGTGCTTACTTGTCAGTTGCTTTACATTCTAAAACTTGTATGCATGCATTATACCTACCAAACGAGTCTTTTCGTTCATAGAAATACAATTATTTGTGTATATTGACGTCTTTCAGCTTTAACTAGTGCTATTAACTTTTTGAAGAAAAAAATTATCGTTCATTGCAGGAACTGAACGTTTGGGAAGATAATTGGGATGATGAAGCAAATGAAAATGATTTCTCTAAACAGCTGAGGTGTGTCATGCAAAGCAGTGTTAAAGTGCTTTATATTTAGTCACTTCTGCAATGTCATTAGAAATAATTTTGTGCTGCGAGCAAGAATGATTAAAAAACAATTCATCATTGAAATGTTTCATTTATTATAGGGAAGAACTTTCAAAACATGGCCACGGCACCACAACACAATCGAATGTGTGATGTCGCAGTGTTTTTGCTTATCCTGTTGTCTTTATATACAATAAAGTTTCATTTCCAATTGATGAATTATTTAACTCTTAACAAAGCAAAACTCAATACGGAAATTCAACAAAGTGGTAAATATACGTAAAGTACTATTTTGAAGTAATCATGTATGATAAAATTGATCAGTGTTCAGATCTTACAATCTATTCAATGTTATCTTCTCGAGTATGTAGTAGTTCATATCTGTCATATGTTAACTCAGGATTAATTTCAAAAGTGATCGGAGTTGCTTCCGGTTCTCCAAATTTGATTCCGCTTTCAGTCAAGCCTGCGGAAAAAGCTGATACCTGTAAGATAATGTTGATTTAAATAGCAAGATATTATTATTGTGTAGCATTTGTTCTTTTTAAGCAACCTGAACAATAAATGCATAAGTTTATGGGGAGACTAACGTGTTCACTGCGTCTTATTACGTCTGGATCAATAGCTTGCAAAAAATGTATGCCAGCCATGGTACATCTTAAGCCCAAAATACGGCCTATATTGAAACACGCAGAAACATCCGAAAGACTGAAATAAGATGTTTGGAGTACACTATCAAAAAACATTGATTCGGCAAGCTTACTGTTTCACAGTAGAAACAGGGTCAATATTTCAGCTAATTTGAAGAGCTGATAGATGTAGAGCGTAGTAATATGAGAAAATGGAAATAAAACCGTCTGAAACATTATTCGGAAGTTCACCTGTAAAGTTGTGCAGATATTTGCTGTTCACGTGAAGATACTTTTAACACAATACCATCTTTATAGTGCTCAACATGGCCCTCAACATAATTCCGGTGCCGTTGGAAATTCGTCCTAGAAATTGTTCAGATTCGAAATTTGCAATATGTCGATTTCTGAGTATTCCAAAAACAAACTGACTAGTGAAAATGCAATTATAAGTAAAGTTTCCCAACTGCTTACTTATAAATGAATGAATGCTTATGCCTATCAATATCTAATTCATAACCAGCTGGGTAAGCTTGCAAACCAAGTTGTTCAATGTTTCGCGGATTTCGATTGACAAATTTGGTCAGCAGCCTTAATCGCGTCATCCTAAAAGTTTATTTAAGGTTAATTATTTTATGAATCTTGTGTTTGTAGAAAGTGAAACTGCCATGTACGACTATAGTCAAGTGTCCATCACTCTATATTTCTGGATGAACGAATGAACGAATGCTAGAAAGACGAATGCCATTCATAGAGCACAATTATGTCAAGCCCCTATACTGCTCACATTAACAAAACTAAGCACCTATCTACATACCTAAATGAACATAAAGGATAAACTGTGGGTTAATTTTTAGCACCTGTCCGGTACAAAAAAAATATTGACAAGTTATGACAACCAGGTTCACTGCAGATCTCATGTTATTAGGATTTTATGGTGTATCAAGAGCAATTACGATATAATGACGTCTCAATTTACAAATTTATTGACAGAGAAAGAACTGCATCCATACAAACAATAACAGGAATTAGTGACAAAAGTTACTTTCGAAACAGAATGAAAACAAAGCAGCCGTAACAGAGTAATCCGTATTTGAAAAGATCCGTATCTTGAGCACAAACTAAACTAGACAGCTCTAAAATGTGAATATGAAAGGGGAAGTAAGATATAATAAAAAGCTGAACACTATTCCTAGCAATGAAGCAGCAAATGATTCGCAAATAATTGCGATATTATACAGTGAGCACTAGAATAAATTATAACAATGATACACCAGAGATTGACATATAGATTCTTGACCCAGCTGCTAAGCAATGAACGGAAAACATAATATCTACTTCATTCCACAAATCTTAAATACTACACATGAATTAAAAAAATAACCTACATCTAAAAACACATCAGAAGAGATATGACATCAGAACAAGTATTAAAAACTCTTCAAACTTTCATCAGAGATTTCAAACACTACAATATTAAAATTTATGCGTTCCTTAAGTTCAATGTACTATAAACAAATGCAGGTCAATTTTCTTGAACCTAATTACGTTTAGAAATATAATAAAGTTATTACACATTAATTTTTAGTACATTCAACATTCAAAGATTTAATTATAAATGTGATTACTAATAATATCAGGTCGCTTCAGAATACAACAGACATTTAGTGATAGTTATTTACAACTCAATATATATAATAAAATTTCCTACATTTACCTTAATGAATATACAGAGCAGTTAAGGAAACTAAAAGAAACAAATTATAATAATTACAGTTCGTCACTATTTAAATGGAGAATCACTGAAATACTTTCAAAACAACTGCACATATTCTTACAAGACACAATATTAAAAAATTTTTAATGTAAACATCGAGTTACCATTATCAAATAGATAATGAAAACAACAAAATTTATGTGAAATGAATGCACATAATTAATATGTGCATTCATTTCAAGGACAAATATTTTTCCTACCTTTAATTCAGTATTCTTTAAGAAAGCAAACACTATAAAGAATACAGCATAATGAAAATGGAGCTGATCATCATTTCCCCGCGAACAAAATTTCTTTCCTCAAATGATTACTTTGAACAATTCCCTGCAGGTGCGCTTTCAAATACAGACCCACTTTTCGTGACATCAAATATATTAACAGGATTTCCTTGATGAAGGTCATTACAGTCATAACTAGGAACTGAATAAGGTGTGAAAGGAATGGGACCAATCCCTTGAACATTCGCAACATTCGAAACTGCAAAAAGACAAGCTTTCGGCTCTCTAAATTCAAAATTTAGCTTAATATGAAGACATATAAAACCTAAACTTATAAGAGCTTATCAGCTGTATAATATATAAAAAACTGAAAGCAACTGCGATTCTTTTATGAAAAAAAAAGATTATTACATGAACATTTGTCACTGCCACTAAAAGCCTGTATGTGCATTTTATTTAAAAAAAAACTCTCTCACAGTTTGAAAAGAGCTATGAATCAACTGAAAAATGAAAAAATACCAAAATTATTCTTCGTAAAGGGAACAAAATACTGTGGTGAAAAAACAGTACTAACTTCGGTTGGAACCAGGTACTGCAAACATAACATTTAATAATTTGCACGAACTAAACTTATAAAGCTTTAATACCATCAAGTAAGCAAAAAGAAAGTAGCCCAAAATATTCGCAGTTAATGATGTATCCAGAAATAGTAAATCTTGACTTACGGACAGTAAAACTTTAAACAACACGAAATGTAATAAAAGTGGAAGAAAATTCACTTGCTGTGGATAAACAGTGTGCGCAACTGGAGAAACTAAATAAGGCTGCAGAGGAACAGCAGAAGTGGGACTATTCGTTATATGTAATGAACTCATTTGCTGTGGTAATTTTTGCTGGAAAAAAATAAAAGCAAATGTAATATGAAAAAAATCTCTAAAAAACCCATTATACTAAAAATATTATAAACCTCTGTTCCAGAAAAATAAGTTCGTTACCATAAAAATTTAAAACAAATAAATACCACTAATCTAGAAGGAGGAATTAAACTTACAACTGACAAATTCGGGGAAGTGTAATGGAAACATGGTGGTATGAATGCATATGTTGTTTGCTCTTAAACCAAATCATTATGTTCGTTTAATTATCAAGCAAAACTGGATAAATTAAAATTTTTTTGACAGGAAAAAAGATAAATTGAAAGGTAAATTTCAATATTTTAAAGTTTGATAACTATTTGCAAATATCTTTGTTGCAAAACCAATGGATTAGACTTAAGAAAAATGCTGTGGCTGGTAAGAATGAAAATAAAAATTAAGGATGGTGGATAAATAAGTTTTTCTGGACAATATGAAAGCATAACAATGATAAACCAGACCTTGAACAGGGGTAACGACATACGGATTTGGGATTAGGTCAGTAGATATATGTGGGGTTGGATAGATATTTTGCATCTGTTGTTGAGAGACAGCGACTTCGACATTGCGTTCTTCAGGATGTAAACTACGATAAAAACGATTCGTAAATATTGCAGCTCTTTTTACAACTGCTTGTCCATCATGAAAATCTAGATACATACCCACATTTTTAAGATGATACAGACGTACAAATAGATACAGCAACAAAGTTTGAGGCTCTTTTTCATAATATAAAAACCATACCTGAACTGATCTGATTGCTAAGGGTTTGTTGTTCAGTTACTGATGAATGAGGAGAGAGATTTTTAGATGATAGTGCATTTGTATCCAGGCTCAATCCTTTCTAAAAATTGAAGCTAACAAAAGCTAAATTTTGCAAGAATGTATTCAACTCCATTTTACAGACAATAATGACAATGATAGATAAAAAAAAAACCCCAAACTTTTTATGCTTCTCTCTGAATCAGATACTTTTGCTGTTTAACCCTGATGATAAAGTTGAGCATTAAGTAAGCAGAAGTTAAAAATTTTCTTAGCTTTCAGCAATTCTATTTGAAAAAAAACATAAAAATTTAGAATTTGTTTATTTTCAACAGAGAGTCTAAAATTTGAGATTTCACAAACCGATGAACTTGCATAGCTTTCTGAGCTACTCCATAGAAACCCACGTGCGTTACTGCCAAATGTGTTACCTTCTGATGATTGATAAACACTCATAACTGGCATATCTCCATATGAATAACAACTACCAGGTGATTCAAGAAGCTAAAAAAATTCCAAAAAAACATACAAGATCTCTAACTGAATTCATATTCGTAAAATATTTTTCTTTTTCTGAGAAATTACAAGACGGAAATCAATCATATGAATAAAACTCTTATTCAACTCAAATACATCAGTCTATTACTATTTGACAAGTAGTCGAAAAACTGAATCATTCCAGAAAACAAACAAACAAACATTGTTGCTGCTGACATCAGTTGATGATGTTGATCCTTGCTGATGAAGTAACTGCAAATGAAAAGGTGAAGTAGGGGGAAAGGTGCAGCCGACTGTGAAAGCTGCAGGATCACTTCGTAAGTAGTCACCCATTTCAAAAGAACGTGCACGTCTCTCAAACAGTACGTTTGTATGTAAACACTGCCGGCCCTAAAACTCATAAAGTGATCTTTTAAAGGAAACCAAAAAACAGCTTCTTGCGCAACTAAAAATAAGAAAAAAGGCTGTTCTAATTGCTCCATGACAGAGAGAGCTGAAATTAATCACTTCATCAAGTTGGCTTGATATCAAAGTAGAAACAGTTTCTCTAAACTCTGTCACAAACAAAAAAAATTAGTACAAACCTCTTCATAGCTTTTTGCATCCCTTTCAAGTTGACAAGGTCCATCGGTGTATACATTACCTTGTATGAGTGATAAAAACTCAGTATCTGGCCTGAAAATGATTGTTCATAGAACCATGAAAACGAAGAGGTTGCGATACTACTGTGAAAAACGAAATGTACAGTTAAGATAATAAAGAACTTACAATCTTGTATGTGATGTTTTATTGACAACAACAGCAGTACCATTTTGGTCAACATTATGATCTAAACCAAAGAATGCAGCAACTCTGTGTACTAACATACGATTATACGAACTCATGGCTGGAAATTTCTGAGAGTTGCGGCTGAAACGAGTATACTATGATTTTATGAAATTATATGAATAGTTATTTCGTTCAGTATACTTTATTTGCGAATTCCCAAAAGCTTATATTTTTGAAATATGAGAAAAAAATATGAAACAAAAACTTGCAGAAGTAGCAAATGAAACAGAGAGTTTAAAAATTTTTTATACAAAAGGCTAACAAATTAAAAAAATCAGAACAAAGCTGCATCAGTTACTAGCCTTGGATCTTTAATGAGTTTCTTCATGTGCTGCTCAAGTTGTAATAACATGTGTCGGTCTTTTGAATTTTTATGCAATGTGCAGGTAATGAAAGAGAGCAAGTTAATCCCAGTTGAATCCGTATAGTCATGATTAGAATCTAAAAATTGATGGTTTAAGCTAAGAATGAATTGATTTGCATTTGAATTGCTCTGTACGTAGAAGACATTTCACCGAATGAAGTCGACGAAAAAGTGGAACGCGAAGCGACCAAACGTGACGTTGGAGTATGTCTAACAGATACGCCGGAATCATCATCACCACAAACGGCTTGACTACGCACCAATACTTTATGTTTGGTAGGTGCAATGACATTCAAGCTTACAAGATTTAGATGCTAGAATAGATTTATCATTTCTATTATTCTTAGAAGCAAAAATTTTAACACAATTAAAAAAAAAACTTTATCTTCAGAATTTTCATTTTGTCTTGATTTCGTAAAGACTTGACAATCACTTCCAGAGTGTTGCAAAAAATACTACATTAATAATATGATAAATGAAAAAAATATCCGTGACTTGAAGTGATGCTATATTCAGTGGATTAATTAATGTTACAACAAACTTTAGAAGTATTAATGATATGCTCGAGCAATAAAAACGATAAATTATCAAAAATATCCATAAGGAAGCTGCGTTATGTAAATCAACACAAATTTGATATGAAAAGCAAAGATTTTGCCTTCGAAGACGTTTCTTGTGTCTTGGTGTCATCCAATTCCTGAACAGCTGAAGATAAAATCTCTTCGGTTTCATTTGCTTTAGAGACACTTTCTTCATTGCAATCCTCAATCTCCTCCTACAAGTTTCTCTGAATTATAACAGAATTTAAAAAAAAAAGGAACATAATAATACTACACAAAGTTTAAGCATCATTTATTAAAAAAAAGCATACATAAAAACCCACTTCCTCGTCTATTCCAGTCTGTTTGGCAAGTTTAGCAGGTTTTTTCGATCGAAGGATATCTACTGCAGAAAGCAAATCATCTTTCTTTCTCTCATTTTCCTTCACCTCTTTTTCTGCTGACATTATGCATCCTAAAATAACATGTACAAATATTTTCATAAAATGCTTCACATCACTCATGAGAAAACAAATTGCTTACAGTCCAACTAGTCGATACATATATCTGCCAAACTTGTAATTCAATCAAAGTTTTGCCATTTAGTAAAAAAATGAATTTCATTTATACGAGATACTATAACAAATGGCTATGCAATTCAAGTAAAGTACTAAGATAAAATTTTTAAATAACTGGAAAAAAATAATTACCGTTTGGTGGCTGTGATACTATTAGTATCAAATCACGTGGCCAAATTTCACATGCAGAATCAGATTAATACAAATGACTGATGTAATAAAATACTAACAATCTGTTGCTACAACAGAAGATAAATGCTCCTACTGCTGTGAATCACGTGAAAAATCTGCAATGTCAAGATAACTGCGGCAAGACAAAAAAATTGCAAATCTGATCTGATAAAAGATAGAGCTAACATTAGTTCTGAATAGACACACACACACATAAGTGTAGTATCTATTCCAATAAGTAAATATACATACCAAAAACTTTAATATACACTGAAAATCCGTACATGTTCCAATAACTAGTTATATACCAATAATTTGAAAAATATCAGGATCACATATGAAATGCAACAGCAGTGAAACAAAAATATTCCTAACAGTTTGCATTACATGTTATATCTCGACAGAAAAAACAGAAAGTAAACTAGAATTTGGAATAAGTAAGTTGATGTGTTGCAGTGAAGAGGAAACTTTTTCGAGGATATTAACATCTCTCTCTAGCTCACTTCTCCAACAGCCACCTCTGCAGTTCTATTCTCATCACAAACTGTCAAATCTTTCCTACTGCGATGGTGACTGATGGTTCTAGACAGGTGAACGGATGCATTGATGGATGGGTATCAGCTAGCTAAACAGCTAGAATTCAAGATCGAATTCTTAAAAAAATAGTGATTGGACGAATGGATGACAATGTATTAGTTTCACTTTTATAAACCTTATAAATGCAAATCTATTTTTCTCAGCTGTAAAATTATCTCGAAATGCTCTACGGCTCCACTAATTCATTTACTATAATTTACAGATTTTAATGAAATGAATCTAAACACCAATGGAAATAGAAGTTCCAGAATTTTTTCCCTTCCATTTAAATCAGCACCATAATTTTTACGAGGTCAGATCTAATCAAACTGTGTCAACAAATTGACACCTTGCCACTGTTGCAAAGCCAAAATTTCAACTTTCATGTCATAATTCACTCACCAATACTACTCATAATTGTGCTGAGCGTATATTTGATGATAATTTCAATTCCTGAATCTAGCACATAACACCTAGTACTGCAATCAAGAAAAAACGATCTATCCTCGGACCTTCTCATGAATAGACAAGAAAACCTCTCAACAACCACACATGACAAACCTTCATGCGTTTACCACGAAAATATGCATATATAATTCGAAAATACTCTAATGAAATTTATCACACTCATATCCACATCAATTAACAGAACAGAGAAATACCATCGATCGTACGAAATCACTCATCAACACTGTGATTTTAACCACTAACTTTACTTTTAACCGCTTTGTGCAAAATACTCATCTCCATGTGTTTGCAACACTCAGCAGTCTTAAAACAAATAACTGCACTAAATACACCCTTTTTGTTGTTAATAGAAATGAAAGTAGCTAATGTACTCAACACACTAGCAAATTACACCTCTTGGACACAAGATTCTTAAGCACAATTTAATGAAGTAGAGAAATAAAGTATAAAAAACCAAAGCCAAAGTCATCATTAAAAATTATGAGCAACTCAAGCCAATTATCCAAGCAAGCATTAGTCTATAGGAGCTAAAATAATTGAGAACAATAATTACATAAGAATGTACGTAAAGAGCAATCAAAAACACATATTTTATCCGCAAACATAGCATTTTATTTTTTCTGTTTACAATACGTATCATGATGTTATTTAACCCTTTCCATGAAAGTAACAGTATTCGAAAATATCTAGTTCTAGCACAATAAAGACGACACAATCCTATACATTTATAATGCAACATTTTATGAATTGATGGTTTCTAACTGATCAATCTCCAACAATCAATTTGTTGCTATCAGTTATTTGGTACGGGGGTACCTCCAAATTATTTGGTGCTGGTCCAAATCGTATGCGCCCGGAGGTGTCAAACGTCGAACCATGACACGGACAGTAATAACCACCGTAATCACCTTTTCCTGCTGCAACACCAATATATAAGCGTCCGTATAGGATTGTTTCATACAAAACTGCTTACAAAAACTTGGTCTTTTATGGGCTGATAGATGATAAAACTTAGAAATTCCTTCTCAATAAACAGAATAGATTTTTCTGTATGACACTTCTTATTATCACATATGATATAAATGTTTAATATGATCATCACTACAAAGAGTAGAGTAAAATACAAGACAAATATATATCAACCTTCAATTAATTTAGTATGAATATCACCGTAAATCAGTAAGCTTTCCAATTTTTAAAATAAGAAAACTTGACTGTAAAACATTTTTTATGTTACACAAGACTCACCTAATGGAACACATCCGAGGTGAGGGCAAACACCAATCAATACGAGCCATTCATCCTTTTTCACACGAGCATCATCTGTTTGCGGATCCCGCAGTTCACTTAACTTCGTATCTTTTGCTTTTTGGATATCTTCCTGAGTACGATGGGACACAAATAAAGGTTTCCCGCGCCATGTATATGTTTTGCACTATAGAAAAAGAAAGTTCATAATTTTAAAAAATTGTGAAACAAGTTCAGTAACCACATCTGTAAATTGGTAACCATGATTGCATGACTGACCAAATTCTTCGTATTAATTAAAATGTGATGAATTTAAGAGCCAAATATATATATATTCTGATAACTGATGTGAGTTTTTCAATCCTTGAATGATTTGAGAAATTACTTTTACCTGTCCTTCAGGAATCTCAGTAAGATCAATTTCCGTGTTTGCCATCGCCAACTGATCGGCTGGCATACTTTTGAAAGTTGTCAGTGACTGCACAAATTTTGTAGCCATAAAAAGATACGCTGCGCCAGATACTGCAAATAATATTGCATGAAGCAGATGAAGTACAATTATGAGCACCGTTAAATAAGATTAATAATTAATCTAACCTCCAAACAATAGTCCTTGAGCTGTTGCTCTTCGGTAATCTTCTGTCTCTCTAGCCGCCTTAGTTGAATCGACAGTGGCTTTGGACCGTTCTTTACTGTCATATTTAGGAAAAGTGATGTCTGTATGACTCAAACGACGCGACGTGACTAAAATATTTAGTTAAGCCTAGATCAAGGAAAAATGCCGCTAAGAGGGTCGTTTAAAAACAAAATCTACTGCACTTGGAATTAAATTTGAAAATCTGATCAAAAATTTTCTATATCCAATTTAACATGCACTACACAATTTTTCAACCTAAAATTGGTTTGATAGACATTGTCGATAACATCAAGCCTGAAGATGTGCGATCTCGATCGAAACCAGATGACATAACTACCGGAACCTTGATATGACGCTTACTAGGAGCTGGTATTTGAATGTAGCCAGCAGGTTTATATCCACATACCTGTAAAATGTGAAAGAAATTATTTTAAAGGCAATGATACACAACAAAGTCCAAACTACCTTATTTATGAACTTTTTGCTTTGGTTCCCAAAAACCACGAAAACATCTTACTACATAAAGATAAAAATCAGTTTCTGAACCTATACTATGCCCAATACTATTTGCGGAACACGACGACAAGGAATGCATATATAATAATAAACATTACATTTTTCGTTGCTGCTTGGCTGGTCCTAACTAAAGTTCCCATATTCTTTAACACCTAAAATTATTAAAAACGAAAACTGAAGCCTTTGATGAAAACACTACAATCATTTAATGCATAATAGTTTATGTAAGTATATTTGATTGAAATTAACAAGATAACGAAGCAAACTGTAAAAAGTTTGATAATCATTTATGCATTTTCACACATCTACGACAGTAATTAAAAGAAATCTCTAATATTACATTCGAAAAAGTAATTCGTGTACACGTTAATAGACCAAGCTACCGCTCAAACACCAGAAACACAACTAGATCAATACAATCACAATCTATAATCGCCACGAACTCATGCCGATTCTCATTGTGTAGTAATCTGGCCATGCTTCCGTACGTCCTGTAAAATAGTGGAATTTAATGCCCAAAAATTAGCATCTTTATAAGCTTATTTTTATCTACAAAATAAGTGACTTACTAATATATTAGCTAAAACCAAATTAAAACTATGACTTGTAATAATCGATTTCCTATATGAAAAAAGTAGCATACCAATCCCTGCAGCAGCGAAATCTCGATCATAAACATGCTGATCCATAGCCTCACTTAATGTAGTTTTATCAACATTATCAATAGCAAAATCAAGATCGGATAGTGACTGCGCTCTGCCAGAATGAAAGACCTAAAAAATTTATCTAAACATTTTGATGCTGAGTAGTATTTAAAAACTTAATTTTTATCATAAGATACAATTTTTTGCGCTGAAAATAGCTTATTTTTATCTACAGAATAAGTGACTTACTAATATATTAGCTAACTGTTTAAGAACAATATTTATGCTAATATTTATTTTACAAACTCAAAAAACATCATACACATTACATCATGAAAAATTAAACAGCACCTTCACAAATTTTTTTAATCATGATATAGCAATAAATTTGAGTTTGCATCATTTTCATTAACATGAATTAACTTAAGATACAATGTTCACTAAGCTTCGGCAAATTCAGCCATGTATTGTTGCTTAAAGTAAAATCGAGCAACAAGTCGATTTATCAATTATTAACGTACCTGCTTCGCAATATCATCAGCTCGAGCAGTATTTGATTCTAATGCCGAAAATACAACCGTTTTATACATATTCTTCCCTCTTTCAACTTCTTCTTCGGATACACCAGAGACCAACTTTTTCCTTCAAATTTTAAGCTGCATGCATAGTTGGAAAACAAATTTCACAACACTATTCTCGCAAATTTAGCTTTAATCACTGCTGTTAACAAATGATCCAAGCTTATGCCCTGAATACTTACATTACGATTCAAATCATGATTGTAGTGAAAATAAAAATGAATAAATTATATAGCTAGTAATGTAGAATGTAGAAGAAAAGAAGCGCACCATCCTCTAATTACTTCTTTCATACCCAAAGTAGTCTTCGCTATATCATCCGCCGTCATAACTATATAGAATCCAAATAAACCACAATCACTATAATTGATGGAAAACGATTTTAACTGATGGATATCATAGCCATTGGAAATTTTTTGTACAACAGAAGTAGCAGCATTACTTGATGACAGCTGTGTACAATCCCAATCACCAATCATCTGCAAATAATGTCTTGACCGACAATGTAATGATGACATTTTTTCGAAAGAATTTTTAATGCTTTCGAAAAAATTTAACAAAGTTTGAAAGAAGATAAAAAAATAACTATTCTAAAAAGTCCAACTTACTGTGCTAGCAATCTTTAACGGAATAGCAGCAGGGTGATTGAAGCCGACACCTTCAACTGCTAGTGCACCATACATAAAAGGCATATTATCATTCCGATAAAGAAACTGCAAATAATATCGTCGTTTTTTATTTATTAATATTAATTTTTGTGAGATTTTAATAATTTGTTGTAGTTTTATTGGAGGTGGATTTGTATGTTTTCAATTTTTTTGTATATTTTCAATAGTCTGCGATGTTTCCAGAAAAACTACAGTAAATGCTGCTGTTGGAACACTTGTACTAAAGACATAAAAATTGAATGCGCAGCTGAAAATTTATTATGTTTCGAAAGATGTTATGAACACGAAAGTAATTAACTAGAACTACCTCGCTGCCTGTGAAACGAATCCCAGTAATATAATGAACAGGATCTGATGGTCCATTAACAAGATCACCGAAATATTGTTCAGATAGCTTTACAAGACGAGAATGCTTAATGCCCCCAACTCCACTCAAAACCATTCGCAAAGGCCTATACTGAACATCTGCGTACTTCCGTAAGTTATTTCGTGTCAAATTCCTGCAACAAAATTTCCAAAAAATTGAAAAAAAAATCTACTAATCAGATTTAAACAATTTTATTCGTTTTCCAATCTTTTTATGACCATACAATAAATACAATGTAACAAATGCTAATTAGGTAAAGTCAGTTCTTAGAAAGTTAAGGATGATAGACTACTACCTCTGCATTACTTACAGTTTTGAAAACTGTAGGGGAATTACCTCACTATTTCTTCTGTACCGTAGATAGATTTAGCCATTGGCGTTCCTTGAAAAGCAGCGTCATGAAGATAATCAAAAACAACTTCGCTGGGATTATCTTTAAGTCGATTCATCTCGCATAATATGCGAGTACGCTCTGTTTCTACAGCAGCCTGATCTAACTTACTGTTGCGCACCACATCCGCTAGAAGTCCGATTACTGTAACAAATTAAATTATGTTTAGCAGTAAAGAAGTCAAAATTTTAAACTTCAATAGTTTATATATACCATTCTCCACATCCTTTGAGGCACATTCTACGTAAAATGCATTATATTCTCTTGAAGTATATGAATCCAATTTAGCCCCAATTTTTTCCAAATCTATTTCAAGTTGAGTTGGCGAACGCTTTTTTGTACCCTATAAAAATCTTTCTTCAACAAATTAAAGTTTTGTTACAAGACAAAGCTTTCGTATATATCTATTATGAATAAACCTACACGGTATAACATGTGTTCCAAAAAATTCGCTGTTCCATTGTTTGTTTCATCTTCAAAACGACTTCCGGAATTGATCCATATACCGATCTTAAAATCAATTTTTACATGACTTAAGGTGAAGCTGCAAAAAACAAGCGGTTAAATTTAACATGAAATTTAAATTCTCTGGTGCAACCTACAGAAAATTAGTTTCAGGATGGTTGAAACATGGATAACATGTAACTTGACTAGTTTTAGAGTAGCATAAAAATATACACTGCAAATGTCTAAAGAAATATCTGCAATACTACCGTGGCAGTTGGCCGTTCGTTAGCTTCCGTAACAACTCGAAAACCATTTTTCAAAGATGTAACTTCAGGCGCAGACAAATTATGCAGCGTCTCAGATGCAACATTAGCTACCGCTGTTCGTACCTGTAAAATGATGTTTTCAAGTTCGAATATTAAGCCCATAGATTGCTTTCTTCCTTAATCCCTGAGCTTCATTAAGAAAAGTCTTTCTTTAAAACATTCTTTAAGATAACGATTTCTTGCATGTAATTCAACCTATACCTAATTTTACTTTCTATACTACTAAGAAAAACAGAAAAAAACATTCCGGATCCATTTAATTAGCTTCTATAATAAAGTTAATAATTGTATGATGTTTTATCAAATTAAGAAAATACAAACAGATATATGAGAGCTGTGCGCAGCTGCAAGGGTCCTAGGAATGGTATAAAGTGCTGCTCGCCACGCCATTGACTAAATATTGAGCACTGGTTGAAATTTAACTCACGTTACTCTAGAAGCAATGCGCGCAATTACACGTGCGCCTTATGCAACTCCAATGATTAGTTAATGCTATTGCATAGCACTCAGTGCAAATCACACATCTCAGAGATCAAAAAATACTTTAAAATTTAGCAAAACAATTAACTTGTAATAACTTTATTTTGCTCGACAAATGTATAAATTACATTATGATTCGTACATTAATAAACTACATTATTTAATAATTTAAAGCAGTAAAATTCGATTCAATATAATATCTTGCAAATTTATCATTTTTGTTCAATACAAAAAATTTTGTAATGAATTATTAAAAAACTGTTTTATTATGATTACTGTTGGAGAGGAAATTATAACGCAAAGATATTAGCTACTAAGCAGATCACTATTGTCACATTATTGCTATTATATTAGCTATAATATGACAGTAATAGATAGTATGTGTGATTGACTGTACTGAGTGCTCTCAAACAGTAATTACAAAAATTTGGTTGCAATAAAATTAGAATTATTTTATCTCACAAAGGTGACAGTGAAGAATTAGCATATGCAATACATAAAAGTTTGATAATATATGCATACAGAAGTGGAAACGAACTTGAGATCATAACAAATTAAACAAAAAGCTTTTAGATAAATGAAATGTTGAAAATGTATTAGTCAGCAAAAAAATTAATGCAGTGCTTTTGCTGTGATTAATTTTTAGTTTATTTTCAATTTCTATTTTTTTTTTACTTAAAGGTCAAAGTTCATTCAGTTTTTATATGAACATTTTAATTTTAAGTAAACAGTAAACATAGATGAGATTGTAATTTTAATTAATAAAATTCTAGCAATCATTGATTGCGTGCGATATTTTACCATCAAAGTTTACACATTTCTTTTCAGCATTCTGTTGTGAATCATTTTTTGCCCTTTTTTCCATACTATTAGTATTAGTTATGGATTGATCAGTTTTGACTATAATTGCATTCTTAACAAATTTGCCATCAAATAATTCAGTAAATTGCCCAGTAATCTGTGATACAATTTATTCTCAAAGCTTCAGAAACCTTGACTGATTTGCGAGATTTGAATAATATCCGAAAATAACTCTAAAGGTCACTTTTGATAGGAAAGTTAATTTAAACTAAATGCTTGAAATATTTCCCTCACAAAATTTTGGCTTAATATTCTTGCAAGGCGGAAAATTTTCTGCTTTCGTCCATTTATATATTTAGCAATAAAAAATAATTCAAAAATAGTCTTTTTTTAAATGACCTCACTGATTTTTGAATTTACTTGCTCTAAAATTTATCTTTCATTGAATTAAAATTCTAATTTTAATTCAAGTAATCAAAGAAAATTGATTACTTGAATAACGAATAAATTCTTTTGTTTTCTGCTATAGTCTAACACATTGAGTACGAATAAATTCAATTCATTCGTTATTCAAGTACTCAGTCTTCTTTTATTTTTCCAGCTATTATTTAAGGGATTTAATTTTGAGTATTCATTTTATGTAATGAATAATATTTGCTTACTATATAATACGCTGCAGTGTTTCTTACTTTCTGTATAATATGCATAAGAGATATTATTAACATCACTACTACATGAATCACAAGTAGTATATGTGAGAATTATTTCAAGAATACTTCCAAGACATTTTCTATAGCACATCTGCAGCTGTTGATCATTATTTGCATACGATTAAAGATATGAAAGCAAATACATTCTGTGAATAAATTTCTTTGCCAAACTTTTTTCATTCACATTTTACGGCAGATCTCTCATTATTCAATTAACAAACGCATCTATCGCTATGATATAGTAATTTTGACAATTTTATTTCCTTAATTCTTAATATAATGCTTATTTTTGCCATCTTTATCAGTAGAGTAATCGCTGTGATTATCAATTACATTTGTTTTTATTTACATTATTATAATTTCAATGATTATTTGCACTATAATCATATCATTATCATCAATACAATGATTACATTTGCTACTTTCGTTATATTATCGAGATTAATAAACTGCATTTTTCTAATTAACGCAAAAAGAAAGTCTTTTATTATGCATTTTTTGAATATTTCTGTACATGTACAAAAATTTTTCGCTAAACTTATCAAAAGTCGCAAAGTGATATGTTTTTTGAATATGAAAATTATATTTCGAATATGTCTCTGGCATTTTTTATTCTTGCATTTCAAATTTTTGTAAATTAAAATTGCTTATTTGCATAATTTTTCAAATTTGATTGGAATTTTAGCTAGCAAATCGATAAAAATAAGAAAGTTCAAATGAATAATTTTTAAGCAAATATATTTTTATAAAATTATTAAGATTAATAATTTAAATTTTTGTAATTAATTCAAAAAAAGTCTTTTATGATGCATTTTTTCAGTTTTTTTCTTTCAAAGTAAAATTTGTACAGAAAAAGAGAATACTTACCTAAACAGACAATGTCATATGCAAACATTTTGAATATATTCGCAAAATATTTTCAAATTTTCTCAGACAACAAAATGCAAACAAAGCTTTGCCAATGTCATTACTAAGTTAATCTTTTTTTAATTTTCATTCTGTCTTTTATCATTTGCATATAAGTAAGTGATAAGTAGTACTGTTTGAATATGAAAAACTAAAAAAGTCTAAAAAAGACTTTTTTAGTTTTTATGTTTTTTCTAGCTTTTTTTTAAATTTTTAAATTAATCTTTTGCCTAATTTGCTTTAATAAAAATAATTAACTGACAAAATTTGTTCAAAAATGCTCAATCACAATAGGTACAGTATTCTTTTTCCTCAAAATTAAGCCAATTATTATGTAATTATTTTAAATTAATTAACTGTTTTAAATTTTGTTTTTTGTAAAATCGCAACGTTCACAATTTTTTTTCAAACTGAAATTAGCACAAAAAAATACTAAACAGCCATTTTTGAAATAAAAATGGAAATTTTAAATTTCATAAATTATGAAAATTTAATACTTTTTCGTTTTATTTATACTTTATTTTTCCATAAAAACATTTTTTTCTTTTTGGCTGCCATTCCTTACTTAGCTATTAAATTTAGCAATGCAATAAAACATCAATAAAAAGCTTTTTATACTTTTTGGATTAAAAAGTTCGCAGTGCTATTATTAGTAATAGATATCGTTCAATATTATTGACCCCTAACCTTTCTTTTCTTGCCTTTCTTAATCTGTACAAATTTTAAAAAATTAATTATTTTTTAATCCGTTCTTTTTCTTTTTGTTACTGTTAGCAGCCTTTGTTGAGAGTTTTGAAAGTAAATTTTATCCTTTGCATAAATAACAATTTGATAATTTTATTTTCAGTTTTCAATGCAAATCTGATAAGATAATGTCACGTAATGCTTCATCATATCGATGCTTTCAATCAGTAAGAATGGCAAATGATTCTGTGAGTTCACTGATTCTAACAAGATTATTTTTGAATCGTTTAGAAAACTATTTGTGCTAAATTAATTAAAAAAGATTTTTCAATAAAACAAAAATATTAATAAATTTGGCAAAAAAGATAACAGTAAACAGTTTCAGTAACAATAATAACAATAATAATAATATTGATGATAATAACAATGATAATAATAATAATATTGATGATAATGATAATTTGCGAAGAAAGTAACAAAAGAGACATACACATATATTCGTTATTAATAAATAATGCATAACTTTTGACAAATATTAAAAGATATTCATTCTTCAACATTCCGAATATGAATATTTTTATGGCTGCTGTTAGAGATAAATAAAAAGCCATCTTTGGCCTTAAAATGCAAATGCAATGCTAACGGAGAAAGCAATGGAAAGCTTTCGGAGACAAATTCTCATACAAAAACATTAATGACAATACTATTATTATCACTTCTTGCAGAAAAGTAATACAAATATGGCTGTCATTGATAATGCAATCAGTCTTAATAATTAAATTACTGCGTCATTTACTTTTAAATATTTTATATCAAATTCCTTTTAAAGTATTTAAGTTTTGACAATCAAACCTAATTGCAATTAATTTCATTAAATATTTTCATCTGAAATTTCGCACTATTCAATTGCTTGTTTCAAGAATGATATTATCGTTTACATACATTTGAATTGACGAATTCTAATTTCAAATTTAAGTATAAATTTTAATTCAAATTACATGAGCGAATTTGAAACTTTTCTGTTTTGCAAACCTTATTTTTGTTAATTTCTGTTTTTTCGTTTTTGTATATGTATGAATTGACCTGAATGAATGAATGGAACTGTGTATTGTAAGAATGCGCGAAATATTACAAAATTTCAGAGAAGATGCGGGAACTCAGAGAATTCCGCTCAGAATACTTCACGTAATCGATGTTACTCATCTCAGACAGCTCGATACATCTCTCGACCGAGCTATAAACCTATGTTAGATTGATATATCTAATTTTCCATCATTACAATTAATTCTTAACTGATTGGTTATTGATTTCATGAATTTATATAATAATCTTCAGAGGGGTTCATTTCATTACAGAATATGCAAGTTATTAGCATTTTTGAATGTTTTGTTTCAAAATTTTCTGAATAAATCAATAGTTTGTCGTTTGCTTTTGAAATTGTATAATGTGAATAAGACTTCCCAAAGATCACTCTTAATAACTAAAATTTGGCATAATCAATCTGATGAGAATAATTATTGC